AACAGTACCCCCCCTTCAAAAAAGGTCGTCCTCGACCGTATATCCATGATTATGTCGTTGTCTAATTCATCATAGTCGTCTCTTCCATCTTCCCAAGCTTTCAACCAGTCAAATAAGCGAGCTGGCGGGCCAGGGCGAGTTGGGTTCGCTAAGTGAAAATCTCTGACCTTGTAAGGGGCGTATTTACAGTCAGAGGCAGGGTACCATTGTAAATCTTCGTCCCGGTTTAGCCACCTAACTCTATAGTAGAGGTATTTACGTCCCTTACTTGCAAGGATCTCCTGGACCTCCCACTCGTTGTCGCCTGTAATATTAATTACTGGTGGTCCCGGATTACTCTGGCCCGGGAGAGGGTCTTGGGAGGCTTTTTGGTGCGTGTTGCTCAAATCTTGTATATAAGCTTCCGTACCTCTGGAACTCTCTTCTTCCCTTACTTTGTTATTCGCTCAATATAGCAGTTTACACTTGACTCCGTATCTTATCACAGCAAGTAGTGGTTTACTCCACACGTTTACATTATAACAAAGTAAGGGAAGAAGAGAGTTCCAGAGGAACGGAAGCTTATATACAAGATTTGAGCAACACGCACGTGCCGTGCTACACGTGATCTACCCCTTGTCCCTCCAACTCCGTAACACCTATTAAATTATAGTTCGCGGGGTTACCTCTTTCTAAGTACAATATACTTCCTCTACCTCTATCTTACTAGTATAGCTATTTAAAACCTACGATACTTGTTTATAGCTATCCTTATATTCTATTAGCCTACTATTAGCCTTAAGCTAAATAGTTCGCGTTTAACTAACTAGTAATAAGCTAATTAGCCATATTAAGAATTAAGAACTATTCTTTATTATATCTGTTAGATACTAGATAATTATCTATAATAGTAGATCTATTATATTATACAAAGTTATTATTTAGTTAAATTCTAAGTCGACTTTCGTAGATCTTATATTTCTAAAGAACTCTTATATAAAACCTTTAATTATTTAGCCCTAGCGAATATCTACTAATATAAGTCGCGCTTCTATTATTTTTTACTTAAGCTATATTTATAGGTACCTTAAACCTAGTAATTAACTGTTTCACAAGATCTACTATAAGACAAAGTTCTACTCTAGGATCTGTCCTCCTAGATAGTCCTCTTCTTCCTTACACTATATCTCCTCTTTCTACTGTTCTTTGGTCTCTGTCTTATATAGTTCTTCTCTTGTTCTCTACTCACTATCTTGTACACTGTTAACTTATTTTTACTCTGGCTCTTAAACTAACTCAGAATGAGAGCTGTTCCGGAAGTGGGGCTTCTCTTTAAACTATCTCTTGTAAATTAGCGCACTTTCATTTACACCCCCTGTAGCCTAGGGCACCCCCCTAGCGTCATTTGCCCAACAATGGGACTTTTAGGACCTAGCCCACGCGAGTTAGATTCCGCCTGACGTTAAATAGTAATAAATAAATAAATAAATAAATAAATAAGTAATCTATAAATAAGTCTTTTTCTAAATCCGTTAGTTTATTTATATATTATCTTACTACTTTATCGTAAAGGTATTTAGAGAAAACTTTATATATACTCTCTTCTTCTTCTACTTTGATATAGTAGAGAAGTATATCTATAAAGGCGTATATATTATTATAAATAATGTATTTACCTATATTACTTTTATTATTAGTATTTAATAAGTTAAAATAGCTTATATTCTTAGGTCTAAGGTTATTTCTAAGGTTATTAGTATAAATAAACCCTACTAGGCTTTTATTATCCTAGTTTAGATATGTGACGACACGTACGCAAGGCCCACGGTGTAGGTTGTGGAATCGTAGAACTGTCAATTAAACAAAGATTCTAAGCTGAGGAGAAGAGGAGAGCTCGAGAGAGCTTCGATCTAAATACTTGGTGTGGGTCGCTAAGCGAGACCACGTGATCCGAATGGTGGTGACGGTTAGAACCGTCACAAGATAGCCTAGTCTTATCTCTAATACTACTTTTACTATACCTATAATTATCTTTTAGATTAAGTCTTACTAGGATTAGGAGAACTCTTCGGGCGTCCTAGATAATAATATATCTAGTCTTAGGATTTCCTTTATTAGAGACCTAAATCTATATTATTCTTCTAGTAGCGGCCTTTTTCTTTTAAACGATTATAAGGTTTATCTTCTAGTATTATAAATCATAACTCCTAGTAGTAGAATAGGTTCTTCCTTCTTACTTTTTAAGTCTTTATTATAATTAATAGTAAATTAGTTCTAGGCTTCTTCTTATTATAAAGGTAGTAGAGATAGATATACTATTTATATATTACATTATCTAAATCTAATTAAGAACTATCTTAAATTATAACTAGCTTAGAGTTATTCCGGCTAGTTATTGTGACGACACGTACGAGATGTTGCTCAGAGAGCGTCCAAGGTGTAGGTTATGGAATCGTAGAACTGTCTATTCGAAGATTCTAAGCTAAAGAGAGAAGAGAAGAAAGGACAGAAGTCCAGGAGCTGGAGGCTCTTATATACAGGAGGGGTACCAAGGGTTATAGCTAACCGAGCCGGGCTCGGGAAGCACGGCGGCCGACGGGTGCCAGCCAGGGGCTGGTTTGAGGCATGGTGGCGGTGAGAACCGTCACAGTTATAGTAGTTTATAGCTATATAATACTAGAATTAGAAACTTAGGCTAGCTTTTAGTATTTTAAAAATATTAGTAAAGCTAGCTCTTTTATTACTATTCTACTATTCTAGGTAGTACTTAGGCTTATCTTTGTACTACTTAGCTAAAACCTAGATAACTTAGTATTCTACCTCTAAAATCCGGCTTTTAATATCCTAGGTCTTTCTATATACCTTAATTTATAACGTAATCTAGAAAAACGTTCTTAGGTATATAGTCTAGTATTTAATAAGAGAACGACCTTATATACTAGCTAGTATAAGAGAGAGGGGAGATATATTATAAGTAATAGGTTATTTCTTCTTTAATAAGGTTTTATTTAAAGTAGGAACTTCCTACTTTTATTAAGACGCTACTAGCTAAGGTAGGTATAGCCCTAGTACTATTATAGGATTAGTTTCCCTCCAATATAATAGTAACTAATTTATATACCTAAGTATTATCCTAACTAAGGAGACGTACGGTTTTAGCGTAAGGCTAGTATAGATATAAGGTTTGTTTTAAAGTAAGCGTAGACTCGAAGTAAGGTTTATAGAAAGTAAGGTCGTTACTAATTAAGGTTTCGTAATATAAGGCGTAGGGTTTTAGACCCCTCGAAGATCGATCGAATAGTATTTACAAGTCTAGAATAAACTAGTAGACTAGTACTAAAGATATAGCTAGTAAAGGACTCGAATATACCGAGACCTAATAGTAATAGAGTATTACTACTATCTATTAACGGTACTATGTAGTACGGTATAAAGGTGTGAAAGAGACTAGAATAACTAACTAAACTATCTGGCCGGCTAAGTACTAAGGCTCGGCGACCGCCGAGTCATGTGACCATATGACCGTGTCCTGTGACCGCGGTCTGTACGTCACACTATTTCTTATAGTAAATTATAGATTTACGCCTTTTCTAGGTATGTTTTAATAAACAGCTGTAACTCGAGGTGTAATTACTATACGCGTTCGAAATCTGACGTTAGGGCCATGCCTTAGCGCTGTATGTGTTACGCACAAAGGGATAATTACTAAAAGTACTTTACTAGAAACAGAGGGAACAGAGTAAATAGTGTAGTAAAGGAGAAAGGGAATGGGCATGGGATGACGATAACAGGATAGTAAGCGTTGAAAGTTGTCAATGCATCCCCTCAATTCTGCACTACTCTACAGGAAACAGAAGAATATCCCACTTCCGCTTCAAGTGCGTATCGAGGATCAAATGTCCTTTCCCTGATCTAGACTTGCTAGCTAGTCCCACCCATCATAATTCTTCATCACTTCATTCGTATTCCCACATGCAAAGCAAGACCCCATCCATCCATCCATCCATCCACTCTCAAGTTCCAACAATCCTTCCCTCACTTCCTCAACCGATACTTCCCCCCATTCAACTCCAACTCCCCCTCCGCGACCTTTCCCCCCAAAAACTCCTGCAGCTCCTCATTACTACAAGGAAAGCCATCCGCAATCAGCATCTTCAACATCATAGCAATCTGCTGCAACGGCATTTGCGACGACGAGTTCTTCAACATGCCCTGGATGAACTGCCAATACATCTGCATCTTCTCATTCGCCACGCCCTCATTTGTCGTCTCGATGACTTCCTCGTGGTTCGCATGTGGAGCAGATGCAAGGGCATTGGAGAGCGCACGATCACTGGAGTTGAGAGTTTCGAGGACGGTGTAAGTCGATGGCGCCGTTTCCTGGAGGACTAGTTTGGAGACCCAGAAGTGGATGGCGGATCGAACAAGCGGTTCTTCCATTTCGAGGGCGTCGACTAATTGTTCTACGGTGCGGGAAACTGGCTCTAATTCGGCTGGATCACCGAAGGCGTGGATTACTGTTGCTTGGAAGGTGTGTACTTCCTCCACGATCTTTCGGTCCTCGAGTTCCAACTCGACTTTAGCTTGTCCAAGAGTGTGTAACCAAGTGAGTTTTCTCGATGACTTGAGGGTTTCAAATCCAGCTGCGTATGCTTCTTGTAGCTCAGCAATCACCGCGGGAACAAGATAAGTGTCGTCTTGAAGCTGAGGCCAAAACAAACGAGACAATATTTTGGCGTGCAGCGATGGCTTAAGAAGTCCTTCTGGATCAACGTCTTCGTCGAGCATCTGCGGATTAGCACGAGCAGCTTCAATCTCCGCAGGCGAGGGATCAAGCGCCTCGGCTCTCCTGATTACGGAGTTGACGCGGGCCGAATCTTGTATATCTTTCAACATCACTTCGCAGGCTTGCAATGGGGCTTCACCGAATCGAGTTTTAAGAAGCTCTAGAACTTTGATCTACAAATCGTTAATTTCTCAGTGAAAAAGAGGGAAAAGATGACCAACCTCTTTCTCAAATGCACCATCGTTCCTCAGAAGATGCTCTCCGATTATATTTTGGAACTCTTTGATAAATACGTCTTGCGATCCAAGCGCTCCGATCAAGGTTCCGATGATATCTGCTTCTTTGGATCGTTTGTATCCTGGACCCGCATCAACCGGATCAGGGACCCATTCTAGGTCATCCCAATCTAATTCTTCATCATTTGCTTGGGTTTCAGGTTGACCCTCTTTGTTGAGGAGTTGAGCAAGCTCTACAAGTTTCTCAGGTCCTGCTCCAAAGTCTGAATCTGTTTCCGTAGCTGCAAGCATCCCTGTAATTATTATCCGAACGGTGTCTTCTCTTGAACATAGATACAGCTGAAGAGGGTATGCAACGCGATCCAGAAGTACCTTGGAATGGTCAAGAGAATGAAACGACCATATCATTGCTATATATGTTCGTAATATTTGCAATGTAGAAGCTCCAGGATGCAAGAGTTTCTCACTCAAGGTTTTTGAGAATGCCTCTGTGAGGTGCAGCCGCCTCTGAGGGGTAGTGATAGAAGTTCTGAGGTCATCTAGAGCACCATTGCTGTTGGGCCAATTTACAACGATATCAAAGAGCTCACTGATGCGGAGTTCAGCCAGATGGCCGATACCCATCTCCTTGTACTTCTCCTTGTTAGCCCAAGTAACACTTGTGTCAACGTCGATGATATTGATTATCTGGACAGCAAGTTTGGCATAGCGGTTTTCAATCCATTCGCATAGGTCTTGGGTACATCGAGATGGTGATGAAAGGTGAGCAGCCCTAGGTAGAATAGACTTTCCATTTCCAGTGTTGGTGCTTGAGAGGTCTTCACTATCGTTGTGGGACCATCGTCCCTTGAAGCCTTTGCTAATATATTCGGTCATCGACCTATTCATAATTTCTGCAAAAATAACTTGAAGTTCCTCTCCAGCTAGACCAACCTCTTTCAAAGAACCAACAAGAGCAAGAATCTGCTGCCGCGCTGCCTCGGAAGCTGGACCCTCTGGCTGTATGCCAACTTCTCCGTGGTTGCTTTGGGGCAAGCCAAGAATTATAGAAACACGCTTTTCCAAGACCGTCTTCAAAACGATAGAAATTGGTTCCATGGCAGAATGGCCAATAACAGCATGGAGGTCTCTTTTGAATTGAGATATCGACGGCAGCGACAGATTGGGCACTGACTTATCCATCTCTGCTGCGATAAGAGTGAGGCCATGGAAATACTGATGGTGCGCCGTTTGCAGGATTTCAATGCAGCCAGTTATCAGGTTTTCAGCAACATCTCTGCGCTTTACCAAACGAACGATGGCTGGGAGGACTTGGTTCAAGAAATGAGATCGAACCTGGTGCGTATGCCATACAATGATGTTGTCAGTATGGTTAGCATACGGCACCCTTGAGGCGGGGTCAACAACATCTTCCAAGGCCTCATAGAAAGAAGCATCGAGCATTTCTTTAGTCGGCCGCAATACCTCTCGGAGAGCATGGACCTGGCGATATGAGATTGGAGCCAGCACCAAAGCATGCGTGACACAATGCCATGACCGATCCCATCGCACCTGATCACGGGCATGTGGTGACTCGCCCTCGTCTTTGGCGGCGGCGTCGGCGGTACCTCGAACATTGGATGGCTGAGGGTCAATGTGATCAGTGAATAATTTGGCGCTCCGACGAAGGGCGATTTTTTCAGTTTCAGGAAGGACCCCCCATTTCTGGTCTGACGTTGCGAACGCGTTCGCTGGCGTTGCGACGGGCGTTGGTTGCGAGATATCGACAGGCCCAAACACGGAATCGAACACGCGTGCCTGCCGACTTTGAAATCGACTATCGGGTCTTTGCGAGAACATGTTGAACAACGCTTTTGGAGCAAGAAGAAGACTATGGTGCCCGGCGAAGAAGTGAACACATCTCACGTATCCGATGCATGTTTGGTGGTGGTTATGGTTGTGGTTGCCATCTCATCGTGTTGTTGAATTTGACCAGACGAATTTGGCTATGACTGGCTAGATACGGATACGGCGATAAACCTTGACGCGGCTAAATCTCGGTCTTTCACTTCCATCAACATTCATATCAACCCAGCCAGCTGAGGCCCAGCAAGTGCCTAGGTAGCTAAGTTCCAAGTACAAGTAAATGGAGAGCACAGCACACAACATAATTGATGAGTATCTATTGTGGGATTATATAAAAGTCTCCTCCATGTACATACAACCTTGCGGCAGGTTTTATCCTGGGTATAATATGTTCCCTACCTAAGTAGTAACGCTCAACGAATAAGCAAAATGAAAGGCAATTGAGCATTGCTGCGCTGGTCAAACCCCGAAAAACTCCGACCTTTTCCTTACCACGCAATCCTAGATGCTGCGATTCCCAAATATTAAACAAAAGAGAAAAGAGAGTAGACAAAAGAAAAAGAAGGGGAAATAACATTAACCGTAATTCATATCGACGTAATCCTTCGAGCCTGTTGTGCTTTGCTTCTCGGTCTCATATTAATCACCGACTCCAATTCTCGAAGCATTCGCGTGCTTGCTTCTGTTTTGTCTCTCATCGACTCACGTTTTACCCTATCTTCCTTCATTTTTATTATTCGCTCTTCTCTCGTAAGCGTACTTCTCTGGCGTGGTGGATATGCAACGGCCTCAAAGATTTCTTCAGCATCCGAAGAGCTCAGATCAATGCTCCGTGGGGGTGTCTCCCCATTCAGTGCTTTGAGAGCATCCATGGCACCGCCTCCTGCTTCATCGACTGCGGTAAGTCCGCCCAATGACAGGGCTGGTGAAAGCATCCCACTCATAGAAGAGATTCGCTTCTCGTTTCTGTCGATGTTTGAGGCGAGTGCGTTCTTTCCATCTTCCCACTCTTGCATCAGACCCTTTAAATCCATTCCAATGGATTCATACTGAAGCATTAGAGTCGTGCCGAGTTCTGACACATCCTCTGCCTCATTCAAGTTCTTGTCGGATTCGTCCCTAAGAACATGGAGTTTTGCTTGCAGTCCTCGTATTCCTGTCGACAAAGAATTCAACTTCCGTAGTTGCGCTCTCCAACGCTCGCGATTGGGAGTTAGAGGCATTTTTGGAGTAGGAGGAACCGGGAAGGCTGTATTGGTTAGCACACATTCCTTGTCTATACCATAAAGAAGTAACCTACATTCCTCTTCGCTAAGAATACGATGCAAACGTTCCTCGGCCTGTTCTGTAATTGTTGTAATTTCATGCAACTCATCAGATGCGATTCTCCAACGGTCGAAATCCGCTTTGCCACCATGAGCATCCAAAGCCATGAGACAACATAATAAGATCTTTCTGCTCGTGTAGAATCTTGCACCAAGAGTCTTCAAAATACGAACAGATTCATTGTCTTCAAACTCGACATCACTATAGCCTAGCATCGCTTCCGCGAAGTCGCTTTCGCTCATGTCATATATGTCATAGTATTTTTCCAGGTCCATCTCTTCGGTAAAGGGTTTGATGGCTGTAAAAGCTTGGTTATACCGTGGTATGATCTCAGCAAAGCAAAGACGGAGCTGCTTCCGAAGTCGAGCACATCTTCTAGTCTGCTTTGAATCGTCCAATCGGCTCACAGGTGGTAAGGGGATGCTACTGGAAGATGTTAGCATATTCATGGTATCTGTATGAAGTGGTTGCTCTAACATTCTGTAGCCACGAGATACGAGCTCCACTTCTTGTATGAGACTCAGCGCCCCAGAGGCAGCCGAGTCGAATTCCTGTCCCTTAGTCACAAACGCTGAGATCTCTGTCAAATTTTGCTGTCGGAGATATTGAAGCCATTGCCTGCGGAAATACGTAAAGGAAACTACGACCAGCAGGACCACCGCATCGAACAAAATGAATGCACGTCCAATGCCAATCGAAGATCTTCCATCGCCTAAAACCCAATTTACTGATATAGCCAATCCGAGTGCAGACGAGACTGTCAGAGCCGCGCCGGCAGTGGTGAGAGTAGAAAGCTGGGGTATCTCGGGAGATGGAAAGGGGGCATCCCTAGATCTGTTTTGATTTTGTCCCAAGTGTGTGTGGTTGCTGAGAAGCTGCGAGGCCACGATAATATAGCGAAAGCGCTCCAAGAATCTCGCATTGTCTGCCCTGCCTATTCTAGCATTCACAGCTTTCTGGGAGTATTCAATCAGCAATGGGGGCTACAGAGAGATGTAGCTCTCTTACAGAACAAGTCCGGTGGATGATGTTAACAGCATTATTCCGTGGAATTGCCAATCGCAAAGGAGGAGGTAGTTTGCTTCGGAATTTGAGGGGTGCCTTCGGTTTGCCGCGCGGTGCAAAGGAGGGACTGGGTGTTTTGGGAGAATTGGTCTCCTGGCTCGGGCTATCGGTCGAGTTATCGTTATCTGCGCCCTCACCTAAAAATTCATGTTAGCAAAGCTGTACCTTCTCGACCACCGCTGAATGTGCGAACCTTCAAAATAGTTGGCGAGGGGCGAGTCTTCAAGTACAACGGACTCCATGGGATGTTGGGGGCTATTTTAAGGAGCTGTAGGCCATTTCCGAATGTTGAAAACACAAGAGGCGTGCGGGGGATGGTAAGTGAGTGGCAGAAAAGAGGTGCGGATGATGGTGAATGAGTGACGAGGTGAGTCGACAAGGCTGAAGGTGAATTATTATTAGAAGTTAGGAAGTAGGAAGTGAGGTGTGAGGTGTGAGGTGATGTTGATCTGGTTTCCTCTAAGAGTCCTAGCTACCGTACGGAGTAGAGCCGTGGAGGAGATAGAGGGCCCGTGGATCAGGTCCAGTCGGATCCGGTGCAAGGAATCATCATTTCCGAATGACGGTGCTGGGTGGCTGACGGGATGGCTCGAGCCCGCGTGTGCCACCAGCAGGCGAAAGTAGGGGTCTCGGGTGGCCCTGCACGGTTCCTGACACCAAAACAATCTTCCAGAATCGTCAAAGGGTGGAGGAACTCATGCAACGGCCAACACAAATTCTAAATTGGATAAACTTTACTGCTGCCGACCGCATCCATAAGTTTGCACAAAAACACTTCACAACCGTTGCTGCGTTTTTGCTTCATATTCTTACCGAGTCCGTCCTGGAAGTAAACTCGGTTTTGCAATACCGGTACTTGGTACTGTCAAGGGCTATAAGCGCCCTTAGCTTCCATCGGTAGTCCGGCGAGCGAATCGAAGTCCAAAGCACAGTACCAGTACCAGAAATTGTACGTGTAAGATCGATCACGGTAGTTCCAAACCGTTTCTGCTTTCGAAATGTTTAGCAAACTTATGGTTTCTGTATCAGCTTCACAACCGAGCACTGGAGATGCCCCATTTCCCTTCACTCTTGGCAACCTACGAACATGGCAAAAGCGCCCCGTTCGTTGTTTTGCCAAAGAAGTAGTCCTTGAGGTACGCGAGTGTTTGAATCTAGGCACCTCAAAAGAACACCTCGCGAGGTTCTTTGGCTACCTTTATTATATCTTCGGAAATATCTCCCTCGCAGTTCTCGAAACTTGATGAGGTTCCGCCGCGGGCATCAGTACGTACAAGTGCTCGATCAAACGACATCCCTTGAAGACGAAAATACTCATGAATACTCTATTATCGACCGCACCATCGATATTCAATACTTTCTACCCGTGCACTTGCATACATATTCTATTCTTTCTTCCTTTTCAGCGAGCAAGATGACCAGTTCGTGTCATATATTTGCAATACCGTATCGTTCTTTTTTGGTCCATCTCGGACCCAGAGAACTCGTATCCGCGGCCTTCCCTGTCATGCGTGGTGAACCCCGTTGTTTCGTTTTACGACAAGCATGAAGCCATATCAACAAGCACCGATCTCCAGCTCATCGGACTAATGCACCCTTGGCAGTTCGGTTTTTTTTCCAAGTTATGATTCTTGGACTAAAATACCGTTCTGAAATGATTATACGACTTTAATAGCCTCCGGTCGATCACTCCGCGACTCCAATAGCCTCTTGGCGATAAACCGCCGCTTTTTAGAAGAGAGTGGGTGTAATACAGGCAAATAGTAAATTTTTATCCTACCAGACTATGAATAACCTTAGGATAATAGAACTTAGGGACCATAAATTAGATAGGATATTCAATAGATAGCCTACGTATTCGTAATTAAACGAGAGAAAGATAATATTTACCCATATCGTCTAAATCAGCGCCCTTATATTGTATTCCTAGGTATAGTATAACTTCTCGTCCCTAGGAACATAAAAGCTAGCTTGTTAGCTTATTTTCTTAGGCACGTAATTCTAGAGTTCTGAATAGCGTTAAGTTTCCCCGGGAGTACTTGTAGGTTATTAGATAAAGCAGCATTAAAGTGCGTGCCTGCGAGATGTATTTTTTTGGAACTTTACCCACGGGCTGGGCAGAACAGGGTGCAAAAGTGAGTTTACAGGGCTAAAGGCCAATAAAGTCGTATAATCTTCTGAAATGACGAGAAGAGCACGATCAGAAGCTAACTTATATAAGCTAGTGCGGTAGTACTACCTCGATACCACATATTTATAACATGTAGACTTATTAGCTTGTTAGATTGTCGATGATATCTGAAATGCAGGGTCAGACTAAAAAGGTTTACTACGTTTCTGGTAGCAAAGAATTTTCACTTTACTTGGATTTCATCACAAAAAATTTGAAAAAAGCCGCTACAAGGATACCCGATAATGATATCCTCATTTATATACCTAGCATATCCGGACCCGACCATACCCTTGAGGCGAGTTTTTTCTGTAACGGCATTCACAAAATACGTGAAGAGAAGAAAAACCAGCCCAATGTGAGAAAAGAAGAATCTCCAGTTTTCCTGAACATCGAGAGAAAGAATATGTTATAGAAGTTCTAAGGCCGATTCAATTAATTCAAAATCTACTCAGTACCCCTACGTTATCCCAAACAGCTCGCATTATCGGTTTGATTATTCGGAGCTTTCTGGAATAATACCATCTTCACGCCAAAGTATCTAAAACGATGGCAGGGGCTTCTTAACTTGTGGTTGATCACAAATCTAGAGTGTAATTGAGCAAGACAAAAATTTGGGTTCAAGATCCCCATATGCAAGAGCTTCTCTATGATATTTAGGTTTTAATAGCTGCACCAGAGCACTCACTTTAAGTGAGCGGTATATAGTTAAAAACTTCTGGTTTTATTATTGACTACACAAATGACCCACCTGTAAACCCAATAAACCTCAATAAAATTATGCTAGAAGTCCTAGTGTAGTCGATGCAGCTGTCCTAGAACACTTGGTTGTTAGGTTTATGAGAAATAAATCTGGTCAGTGGAAGCAACCAAATTGGTTATTTAAGTTTTATGGCACAATTCCGTCTTTGCATAGGTATACGCAAAGTAATAACCACAATTCGTACTTTCCTGTTGTCTTATATCAAAAGATGTGCTCGGGAACTTCGGCCAGGAATACCTATAGCAGAGGAAACCAAACCATTTCTTAGATGAGCGTGCAGTCTTCTTGGTACATTAGTTATCCTCATAAGGCGTAGTAACTCCATTACAGCCTCGGTCGACTCGAAATGGGCCCCCTTTAGGTGGTCGAGTAGGAGAACAACAATAGGTGTTCTTATTACATCCCTGGCTGCTCTTTGGCAGATGATATCCATTGTGTTCGCAATATATCGTGAGTGTTAACTCTGCCGTGGTTAGATGAGCAATGATTATATGAATCTCTGTGCTTTTCATGGCAAAATATAGATGCGTGAACTGGTGGTTATGTGAATACGCGATTTTTGGAAAGTAAGGAACTGTCAAGCAATTAGATGAGACAGTTCGAAATAGGTTAGGAAGAAAAACGGTATAGCTGTTCAAAACCCTTCAGATATAATACAAGACACATACTAGAAACATTAACAGGATATGGTTATACGACAAAACTGTAGTAAGGAAAAAAAAACTCTCTCAATCGAATCACGTGCATATTCGTGACACCCGAACCTTGATAACTCTAGCATCATTTTTCCTTTTATCAAGTAAAGTCCGATTAAATGGCTTGGTCATGCGGTTAGGAAAGGGGAAGACCTGGAGTTCTGGCTTTATCCTTGGATAGGTCTTACTAGAGAGTGAGGCCGGTATTCGGGGTTTGTGCAAGTTCGGGGTTTGTTTATGGTGGCTTGCCAGAGAGTTTTATTACTAGTGTTCTTCGCTTAATTTGGCCTCTTCAGCCCTAGAAAGGGCTAGTCAATCAAGTTGGCTGCCAAAAGTAACTACATTTCTACTTTTTCCTTGCACACATCAGGAACCCGCTTACCAACGCCATGTGGTAATTATCTATTCCCATACTCAACAGGGATTACCACATACCTACCCGTTAAGAGAGCAACCTTACGTTAGCTGTCATATGCACTCAATGACGATGCCAATACGTTACACTTCGTGATCTGTTATTTCTTCGAAGAAAAAAATATGACAGTCGTCTTATTAATCATAGGAGTGATGCCAAGGGTACTACTCATGCATAGCGGGTTTACAATCAGCAAGATGAGCCCCACGCAAAGTTTCTGTTCCGACCCTCCCCCCTGATCTGTTCTACCTACGGGTCGTTTATTATCCCTGCCTACCAGCCACAAGCGCCGCCAACATACATGAGATTTAAGCTTCACTCGCTTCAAGTACTCCTCCCATTCACAGAATATTCCTCAGGATATCAAATCCTCTCTTGATACGAGTTCACGACATCATTTTGCACCGTATTTCTGCTGCGCATTTTTTCCCACAGGCCCTTAAAAAATGGGTCCACACTGGTTACATCTACTTTTTTTTAGGATGTCTTCTAAACGATGCTTTAGGATTGGTTCCGGGGATACACCACATCCCACCACATGATTTTTGGCAGCCGTAAATATTAGTAGACGCTTCCTCTGACTAGATGACTCAAGTGAGAACCTTCCAGCAGGACATCGATTGCCTTGGATACCCAGGCATTCGAAAGTCAGCAACACCACGCTCCTCAAGCTTTGCTCTGAATATTATCACCGATCCCTCGATCTTTCACCTATCAGAACTTATGGCCCCATCAGCAACTTGAGCTGAGTTCCTCCCAGTCGACACCTTTTCCAATGTCCACAGAAATCCGTATGGTCTATGTCATGTTTGATAGTACAGCAAATTAGTATATTATACGGTTGTTCCCCCCGTCATCATTTATCACAATCATCCACATCTCAAAATCTCAATCGCTTCTCCGTCGAGCATCCTTACCTCATTATTCCATTTCTTTGTGTCTCTAGAGTTTCTACAAGTCTATCCACTCACACGTATCAAAACTACTACAAGCGAAATGTCTCGCCAATCTGGGTCTTCCAAGCATCGTTCTCACCACTCCAAGCACACGGAAACAAACAACGAGGACTTAGTAGAGCAAATCAAGGGTATCACCACTCTGCTTTATGAAGTTGCTTCTTATCGTCCTCACGAGTGGGAAACTTATGTCCCTTCCGCTCGTTCTGCTATGGCAGCCCTTGACAGAATCCACTTTTTCAGGGATCCCCAACGTTTCGCTGAACAAGTTTGGATTTTGCAAGGACTTCAGAACTATGCATTCCATGATGCAGATTCTGGATGTGTCAGAGACGTAGCTGAGTTCTGTCAAGCTTCTTGGCTACGAATTTTGCGAAATTTCCCTGATAATGAGCAGGTTCTTTTGGGTGAGTTGGCACCTATCCAGATAAGCTCATACTTTAACAAGACAATTGCTGACATAGTTGAGTATAGGTTTGGCATCAAATTGGCTACAGAGAGCCCAGGCAACCATTTCACAAATCCAACGGGAAGAGGAAGCGGGTAAGAAGTCTGCGATATGTAGCATTACAACCGCTAACAGCCAAGCAGGATCTGACCCAAGACGTCAAGGCCCGTTGTATGTCGAGGCTCGAGGATACCTACAACCTGCTGTAGACTTCTATACACGAGCAGTGAGAGCAGCAGATACTGCCGGCTCTACCACAGGCGATCTCTTGTCTTCGGTAAGTTTACAACCTCCTACCAGTCTTCGAACCATTCTCACACTTCATAGGCCGCTGAGTCTCAAATGTCCTTGGGCAATGTGACTGCACCCCCAGGAGACGAACGCTATTTCCACCAGGCAATTCGATTCTTGCGTCGTGCCGAAGCTATGCCACAGTACCGACTTTCAGTTTATATGCAAGAGTATCTCAACGACTATGGGCGATATGTTTCCTGAGATCGTCAGCTTTATTTTGCGAATTCGTAGCGAAGCATTGCGAGGAGTCTAGATTTCACTTGGTTTGATCATTGCTTGAGCTGGAGTTGTGTGTTGCATTTTTCTTTACATTTCTTGGCGCCTGTTCTTGCTTTCTTCGCATTCTAAGGGGTGGGAAAAGGGCATATCTGAGGATACACGAGAATTGGAGCATGGTCATTGTGTTTTTCATTTCACATCTTCTGGGCTGTTTTACTATACATTTTTTTCTTTCTTTCATAAATGGCTGGGTCATTTCGATTGGAATTTTGTTACTGTACTTTTGGGATGCTGGACTCATCATTGCGTGTTTAAGCGGTCATTTATTAGATAGTTGTATTCGTTGAATCAAGTTTTTATCAACAAATTTTGTCTACAGCATATAATAGCAACGATTCAGTCAAGTGATTCTCAGCATTTTAGGTCTAACGGCAAGGCAATTATTTTCTATACACTAATCAATACCGGATAACAAACCAAAACCTTTCACGACGTCGTGAAGCTCATGTGGCATGACGTTGGAATATTCGAAATTTCAGGGGGGTCTCCTGTAGGTTTGCAACCAATCCTATTCCTTGACTACCCCAGATCGGCCATAAAGGAGGCCTCCCGCGACCCAGGAAACACGACGATGGAATGTTCCCTAGACTGATCCTCAGCCACCACAACCGCGGCCGCGGGCTTGACCGCGACGGGTGGTAACACTTCCGGACCCCAAATCATAAGTATCTGATCGATGCCATTTTCTCCATGCCGGTTGATTACTGTCAGATATGCAGGCGCGCGGGAATGCGAGAAGCCACGTGGGTACAGATTTCGAGATTCGGACCTCATTTGGATCATTGTATGTCGTATTTATCGGCTATAGCCGCAAGCGCGCGGAGAGTTACTACCGGTAGGTAAGGTAAGGTCGAGGATAATAAGAACATGATTAGTGGTCTTTTCGAACAATTGCTCGAACTGTTCCCTAGATATTGTAATTAGATGATATTGTAGTAGTGCTTCTCAAAGTAGCTGTAATCAAAAATTGAAGTGAGATCTATCAAAATATCTCTGCCGTCTAAATAAGTGGAGTAAGGCGGCTCAGGAGGTCGCTTAATAAATATCGGAGGATCGGGGGTATTCTTCCGCTACGGACTCACTTCGGGGCAGCCTCCAACCCGGTAGGTAAACCTCACATCATCTCCCACCACGCGCCGTTCAGCCTCCATTATCAGATTGATCACACATACTTGCACGATTGACCTTACAAGACCGATCTTCCAGTATCGCAGAGTCGCATCAGTCATGTTATCTGAAAGGGAACTGCAGATTAGTCCGATTGTGCAGGATTCGGTTATGCACAATACCAAGGTTCGTTGTTCTTTAGGCTCTAGAAGCTGGGGATAGCTTCAATACCCGTTCTGTATATCCTTCGTCAATTGCACCGCCAGTCTGCCCCCAAGTCTACGCTATTTGTCAGTTCGAGCATTATGCTAAGCTGTTAACAATTGCGCTCGTGGCTGCATTATCGAAATCGTCATTGGCATAATTACGACGTCTTCCAATTACTTGTCGACGAAAGCTAACCTCTTCGCTCTCACAGACGCTCACGACTCTGCACAACCTTACCGCATCCCTCTTTGGTGTTGGCGCAGGGATTCTCGGTCTGGAATCATACTCGGGGTTTATCTTCTACATCATCTTCACCCTCCTCACATCTGCGCTGGTCTATGGCTTACGGGTACGGCCTGCGGGTGTACAAAATGGCAAAGGCGGGATTGAGCGATATTTCCAAGGGAGCATGGAGCTTTGGACGGGAGGACTGGTAGACGGGCTGAGCGGATTTGTGTTGACTTGGACACTATTCTATGGACTTGTCAGAGCATGAAGAAGGAATACCCTTGGCCAGCATCATTATTGGTGTCGTGGTGGTGGTGATGTTGTACTAAGAGGCCCTACTGGACACGGAATCGAGATTATGAATATCTCTGTACGATAAGATGATGGCGCTTAGGCACGGTATACAAATGCGGTAGGCTTTTAGGGCTGAGGATCAGGACGATATGGCGTCACACAAGTACAACAGGTCAAATTGTCAGAATCGGGTGGCAGAGGTCGGCAATTCCTCCCGACATTTGGAAATTCGAGGGGTAGATCTGGAGGCAATTTACGAATGCCGGTATTGCGACTCGATGGGATTGAAGACAATGTTCCTTTGTCAAACGGGCCTTTTGCCAGCCACAGATACCTTTCACGTTGAGGCTCTCATTCCTGAAAAGTGGAACAATCCAAGCAGCTTTCAAGAGCAGCCTCATAGTTTCACAATTAAAATTGAATCCATTGATTCTTCCGTCCATCATTCATCTCAATTTCAACATTGGCCACTATTCCTACACAATGCAACGTCCCCTGTTTTCCTCGGCTATCTACGTGTATATATATTTAGGCTACAGCGAAACCGGTCTTATTAGTCTTTCTTCCTACGGAAAAATTCAAGCGAAGCTGAAGAATCATTTACCACACTAGTACTGCTCCTTAATCTACACATCTCTAGAGGTGCTGGATTCTATAAATTTGCTTCCCAGTTACTTGGTCCGTGTTATAATATCAGGGCTATGTAACATTTTGGACTTTCGATAAGCCTTTTCTGACAATCCTTTACAGCTCATTTACTATCGAAGTTTGTTGTATCTGTACGCTCTGATGGCGTGTTGGAGACGGAATTAGTAGCCATCTGAAACGAAATAATCCTGTCATCGTTCTTTCCATCTCTAACTCTTTTGAGAGAGTTGCTCTCCTCATTTCCCTTCACGCCACCATATCATCCAGCCCATTCGGCTCATTTTCAGCCCTATCTTCAATTGCCGCTGCCACACCTCCAATCAAAGTGACTTCACCGGATTGACCGTTGGAATCTGGTACATTGCACCTATCTGCTCTAAGTCGAAATTCAAGCTGTGCTTATTAAGGTCCCTGCTTTCCACCAATGCTGATCATTTCCATTTACCTATTCTGGAAAGCAGCAAGCTGAAAAACTTTGCAAAGTTCTTCCAAATTACAACTTCGATATCCCCAACTAATTCCAATGCCGCTGCCCATTCAAAAACTCAAATAGACAATTGACCCTAAAAAGATGCATGTCCTGTGCACACTAAAGCCTCTCAGAGCAATCTTTCCTTTTGGCCCCCCCTCACTTCCCGGAGGATCTAAGCGAGTGTGCCACGCAAAGAATCTTGCGACAGGTTTAGGCGGTAAGGCTATGAATGGGATTTCGCCTATCGCTTTTCCTGTGGGAAGCAGGAACGCTCGTCGGCTCTTGGCGTGGAGTGCTCAGTTCGTAGCTTGTGCCGTGGGGTTTCAAGTGCGCTTTTAATTTTCTCTTGGGATTACTGTGTTTCGGTAATATTTAGATTTCCGGGGTTATGTGGATTCTAGAAGGCTGCTGCATTGTGGTACGAGGGAATTGCAACGTTGGATTTGGATTGAAGGTTATGATTGGGGGTGTTTGTGAGTCTTTGGGGAAATAGGTGGTTGATGGTGCAGTGTTTTGTAAAATGTTAGATGAGCTTTAACTTGTGCTCGGGATTTGGTGATTTGTAATCGAGCCTCTAAAGTGCTAATAGATATTTGTTAACGTATTCAGAGCTATAGACTTCTGTGGTAAGAGACAGCAGGGCTCCGTACTCACTTAATTCTAGGTTGCTCACTAGGTCTCTTAAATTCAGCTTGGCAATTCTATTTGTACCCAATCCCTGAAGACTCTCAACTTCCCAAGTGGCAGATGAGTTCGGATTCGATTAAGTACTTGGAGGTCTAAGTGCCTTAATTTTGTGAGGAGTTGTGGAGCCGTATTTGGTCATACATCTAAAATAACCTCCTCCATAGTTGGAATTCTCTTTGATAGCAGCGCGCGATTATCTTTTGCATGAGACCATTACGTCTGAGGTCATTTCCGTCTATTGTTATGTTATGGACCGTGGCTTTGATAGTAGGAGTTGCTTGTAATTGCAGCTATATAACCTTGTATCGCTAAACCACCACAGCCAGACAGATTTGAGTTATCTCAGCGTTCCTCCCCGGCGCAGGCTCTCTTTTCTTGAAGCCCTACGTGCATTGTTCAATTGGGACTTTTTATAGGACAAGTCGTTCTTCCAGATGACCCGCAAACTTAACAATCGAGTTGTACATATGTGAGGTTCAGGAGATGTGATGCCTTTAGTGTAAGCGATCGAGTAAGGAAAGGCATCACGCAGTAGATAGTTTTGAAGTATCATAAAGAAAAAGGAAGAGGGAGTAGGAGCGAGATGGACAGGGAATTAGCTAAGACTCGTTAGCACGACAAGTGCGATAGCTTAACCTCTTGAGAAAGGTAGTACTAGAGGGCTAGGATTAAGCAACACGCACAACTAAAATATTCCCCCGCTTCTATCCCTCTCTCTATTCTCCAAATAACATTCTAGGGCGTGAAGCCATACGACAGATAGTCTAAGTGACAGTGAAAATACAACAGTAGGGATGCGACAGCAATCATACCAGAGTAAAAATGCGGCAATAGCGATGCGATAATAAGAATGCGGTATTATCCATGCGACAGTAAGGATACGACAGCGAGGATGTGACAGGTCTCCAGGGCTAATTCCTTGTGAGGTTTGAGAGTTGAGTAGGGGTAGGGGGTGCAAGGGGCATAGGAGTAGTAAATACATGGCTTTTAAGATTCGCGATTCGTTATTTGCGATATATTCGTCGTTGGTCTAAGTATACAAAAAGGATGTCGAAGGTAGCCCAGAGGATTGAAATGGGAAATATTTCAGTATTGAAAGATTTAGGACCTAAACACTTGAGAATAGTCCTTAAAGCAGGGATATCCTTAAGTTCCTAACAAAAATCGTAAACCTTAAAATTGAGGGATGTCAACTGGGATATTATTATAGCGGATATCCTGGTAACGAGTTTCTACTGTATAAGAAAAAAGGGGATATATGTTCAATGGACCGCGTCAAAATCTGTTAGCAGCTTGCACGTCCTCAATTTTTACAACCACCACTTTCATTAACTCAATTACATCTTTCGTTTCAATTATCGCTAGCCGATAAAATGCAATTTTCAAACCTCCTCTTAGTCGCTACTTTTGCAACTGCGTAAGCACCTACGTCTCTTCACCGACACAGAAAAATATAGGAGCAACTAATACCTATTACTAGTGTTTACTCTAGCCCTTTCCTTGCAAAAAGAAACACACAACACCAAGCAATCTGCGTCGGCCCCTACCCCGGCCAAAAAGGTGTAAGTATCTCAACAAAAGCCTTCAACGTCAATTCTAACACTTCGCTATAGGATGTACACCTGTTGACGGCTACGCAAAGCGCATGCACAAATACAAAGCACGTCCTCCTGGAAACGAAGACTATGATTCGTGCCCTGATTGTAGAATGAACCAAGACGATGTCGCCTCAGGTGGTAATTCATTCTGTGAGAGCAAAGCAAAACATATTGGTGGTAATGAGGTAAGTCCCTGTCTTTCTCTCTCTCTTCCCCATAATACTAAAATAGAGTGAAACTGTGAACTAATTGTGGCATTCTTGTAGTGGGAGGCACACTGTAAAGAGGCAGGAGCTCCACGTACGAAGGTTTTCTAGTTAGCCTCGGGATATATGAAATTTGAGTTGCTATAGTGAGATCATTGCAACGGCTTTTTAGACGAATCAGGACGCCCTGCTACTAGAACGCGTTGATCGTGGATTAGTATAATTCAAGCTCTATTACCATTGTAAAGTTTTCACTATCTGCCTATCTTGAAATTGCTTTAAGCGCAAGTGAGTGGCTATACCATTTTGTTAACATGATAGAACGTTCCAATTATTAATCAGATCAATGGAAATAATGTGATCATAATGAGCCAATCACTTCAAATGCTACTTCAAGAGTTCAGTAACTATTCATTACTTGTACAAACTTATTTAGCGTTCGGCAACTGTTTAACCAATTGGACTAATAATACGTAAAATTTCTCTCTATTTACTGATTAGTATGTACACGTAACTATTTGTACACAGTAGTATACCACACTAGTCCGTCTTAAGCTGTCACGCTAGCTAGGGTATGTAACTAACAGATCATATAAACAACTGACTGATTTACAAATTATTAATTAATATCTTATTTCATTTTAACTTAAGCTCTCTTAATAGTCAAAAGCAACATGTATATATCCTCTGAATTTTCATATTCCAGAGCCATATACCTTGGAATATTCCATCCCATTTAAGAGGACTTCTGGAATAATACGGAATAATGGATTTTGTAATTCCATGCAATCGAGATCCAGATGGCGAACGCTGCACATTGGTCTTAAAGGGTATTCGTGCCATTGATTCTAAGCATATCTAACTTCACCTCTGCGAACTTCAGAGAAGTGTTTGTAATTTGTATTTTCTACGGAGTTACTTGGACGATGCGGCGGTAATAAGGGCATCCAATAGGTCTATCTAGCCACATACCAGCGATGTTATACCGTCGTTAACAACTCAGGTAGATTACTTCCCCATGTGAATATGCACTGATACAACCCTTAAGTGAGTAGCTAAATGCCTTAATCACTTTCACTAGACTCACTATCATCAGAATCCTCCTCGCTATCACTGGTATCAGATCCTGACGAGCTACTACTAGAAGAACTTGAAGATGTATCGTCTGCATTTTCGGTTCTTGTTGTCGTCGTCGTTGTTTCGTCGTCGTCGCCAGAGCTGCTGTCAGAGTCACCAGAACTATCCGACGAACTTGTATCAGAGTCATCGACGACCGTAGTTCGCTGTTTTCGTTTTCTAGCAAGCGATGAGCCATCGTTCACTTTGGCCCGCTTCTGGCCCTCATCATCGTCAATCACAATCACTTCCTTTGAAGTCCCATTTGTTTGCTCTCCTTCACTTGCTACCCCAAGTTCTGCCAGGACTCGTTCGGATCGCATGCGCTTCAAGACCCTTCTCGCCATCGCCGGATCCTTCTCGGTAAGGTTCATGAGAACACCTTCTTCGTACCCAACATTCGATGGTACCTCCGCACTCATCATTGTCGTGACGTATTCCTTCATAGCAACATCATATTTTTCCTGCCTCTTGGTTCGCTCTGCCATCGTTTCTGGAAATCCGGCAGCCCCTTCCTCTAGATCTTTAACTTTGATTGCTAATGCGCTACCCCTCAATCTTGTTCGCACTCCGCCTTGCAATCCCCTCACATATGGGTAAATGAACGCCTCGTATTCGGAGGGAATTGAATCGAGGTCGAAAAGGTGCTTGATGAGGTGGTTTTGGTGATTTTTATTGAATTTCCAGGAGTCGCGATTCTCAGTATATTGCTTGAGATATGAGAGGAAAGGTCGGGTTTGTGGCACGACAATTGATTTCGACTTCTTCGGAGCCTTTTTCTTCTTCGGTTTCGATTCTGCTTTTGTATCTCTCGTGTTAATGGCTTGATTTGACTCCACTGCTAGGGATGCATTTGATTTGGAGGCAGTAGGTTTCACTCGTTTCGTGCGCCGCGCTTTCTCGTCCAAGGTCGAGTCGAATTCCTCTTCAACTTTGGTAGGCTCGGGGGTGTTGAATGCTGGCTGCCCAGATAATTCCTGCGGATTTTGGTCTGCAACCCAGGCGTTGTATAATTGCTTTATGCTATCTCCATCTGAAGCCTTGGTCTCAGGTGTAAATGTGACGGACTTTTTCCTGATAAGACCGGGAGCGTCTTGATTTGCAGCGGATAAATTAAGGGTGTTTTGGGAAGCCTTCTTTTTCTTTGGATGAGCGGTGCCTTCAGCTTCATCCAATCGCTTCCTTTTGGGTGTATCGTGGGTGGTTGTGCTGGCAGCTACGGTAACCTCTTGGGCAGGTGTGTCTGCCGCAGACTTAAGCTTGAGGCCTAACCTCTTCCACGCAGGTATCCGTGGCGATGCATTGGAGATGGTGGCGGACATTTCGATGGAGGGGGGGGTTTGTGAGGGCGCGCTATCAGAATTATAGTCGCATGAACTCTCTGGCAGGGCGCTCCCCATCGCCAACCACCACTGAGAAAAAAAAGTCCCCCATTCATATCCATGGCCCACCCGTCTTATCGTTATCACACGTGACTAAGTTACTTTGGCCACCTGGAAACCTTAGAAATAAGGCTCCCAACGCTGTGAGGACGCGCGACAGGTGGGAACCTACAACAGCTATCCCAAGCTTCCTCGGAACTGCCATCAATTCCATTCTCCTACCACTTCATATCCACCACTGTCGCCAAAGTCCCTTTGAACTTGGAGATACAGACAGAACTCTTGAGTTCCTACAATTCTTTCCGAAAATGTCGGGTCAGTATATTGGAGCCATTTCGAGCCGTTCTAATATTGTCAAAGGCTCATGCTAACCAATCTTGCAAATAGGCAGTGCAGGATATGACAGACAGATTACGATCTTTTCGGATCAAGGCCGATTATACCAAGTCGGTACGTGACGAAGCTCGCCCTCCAACTCAGCGAACCATATTTACCTATGCCCAATCAATACTGCCCTCTGGGTGTTTCCCAAGCAACAACTAATAGATTCCACCACAGAATATGCCTTCAAGGCCATTACCGCCGCGAATATCATGTCAGTTGGAGTTAGAGGAAAGGATTGCGCAGTAGTTCTGTCCCAGAAGAAGGTTCCCGTATGTCATCACTTTCCAAACGAAGAGAGTTGTGTTGACATTTGAACAGGACAAGCTGATTGACCCCTCCTCCGTATCCCACATCTTCCAAATATCGCCTTCGGTCGGTTGTGTCATGACCGGTTCGATTGCAGATGCCAGAGCTTTTGCACAGAGAGCGATTGGCGAGGCTGCTGAGTTTCGATACAAGTTTGGATATGAGATGCCTTGCGATGCATTGGCAAAGAGAATCGCCAACATCAGTCAAGTCTACACTCAGAGAGTAAGCTGGTTTATGGATAGCTTAGTGCTTAGGAGATTACCCGTGTTAACTAATGGTTAGGCTTACATGCGTCCATATGGAATTGCCACGACCTTAATTTCCCTCGACTCGGAGTATGGACCGCAACTATACAAGTGTGATCCAGCGGGATACTACACGGGATACAAGGGTACTGCATCAGGTCCCAAGCAACAAGAGGCTTTCAACCATCTGGAGAAGAAGCTCAAGAACAAGGATTGTGCAGAAGGTACCTGGGAGGAAGTCGTGGAGCTTGGAATCACTACTTTGAGTACGGTTCTTAGCGTGGACTTCAAGAAGGGCGAGTTAGAAATTGGAATCGTCGGTGGGCCAAGAATAGGCAAGGATGGGAAAGTGGATGGAATTGACCCAGGATTCAGAGCTCTGACCGAAGAGGAAATAGACGAGAGACTGCAGGCGATTGCGGAGAAGGATTAGAGGGTGTACTTATAGGTCTTGATATCCTCTAGAACGGATTTTAAGCGTTGGGCGTCACCGCAAATTTACTGGCTCCGAGAACGTTTTTTGATAATTGTAAGATGATCAGTTAGTCAGCGTCTTTTGGGGCTTTTTGTTATGTTGATAGATTTCATGAAGTGGATTATTATGTGCCTTACACTACAGCCTCTCCTTTCCCCTATCTCCTTAAAAGAAAGCACAAATACAGCGAAAAATCGAGCTCCGAAATCTATAGACTTTTGGGTCCAGGGCAGCTCGCATACTAGATATTTGTGTGTATAGATAATGGGAGTATCAGTTCTCTCTTTTTTTGGTACTCCTTGGTTTTCATGATTGGAGGGGACGGCCCCGAAGGGTTTTGTATGAGCACAGGGGATTCATCTGTGAGGACTTTGATTCGCGATATACTGGGGCCTATTCATGTCTTGTTATTTGTATGGTACTGTAAGGAGGGGATGATGATTGGGTCATGCGCCTACAACTTGATTTCTTTCCAAAAAGAAAAAAACCACTTTTTGTCTCATGATTCTCATTTTTGTTAAACACGTAGTGGGATTTCGCCAAACACCTTTAAGAAGACCAGAATGAATAATGGATTGCAGTATAAATCTCAAAATATCAGATTGAGGGTCTACCTACTCTATCCAGGTAATTTCCCAGAGCCAATGGCGGAAAATGCCCTTGTCCCTTGCTTGCTACCGGAGATAGATGGCTTGAGCTATTTCTACCTCACATTTTGAACACCTCTTTGCAAAAACAACCCATTTTAATCGCTGGTCTCTCTACGTACTATTCAAAACACTTCCATCAGTATCCTCCAACGTGTCTACCTCATCATCTCCATCGCCGTCATCATTGTCACTATCACTTCTATTCCTCCCCAACTCCTCATCCATACCCGCACACAGCCTTCCCAGCATCCTCTCAATCCGCATCGTGCTTTTCTCCAAAGCAGCAAGTCGACTTTTGATATCCGCTTTTGAACTCCCAGCGTCGTCATCACTCATATTACTCAACTGTCTCACCATGCCCGCAAACGGAGCCACACTATCTCTTCGATCCTTCCGACTGATCTTCTTGATACGTCCACCCGCGGCATCTGGTCCGAATTCTCGTTCAAACTCCTCTGCTAAAGCGAATGTTGCGTGTCCGACATGGGCAATATCATCATCGTTTGCGATTTCATCTTCTACTTCTTGAGGAGGTTCCGTATCGAAGACTCTCTCGATGTCGCCGTGAACGGAAAATCCCCTCGTGAGATCCCAGGGTCGTTTTGGTGGGGCTTTGGTTTTGGGTAGTTGCTCGGGATCGTTGGGACGCTTGGTTCTAGGCCAGAGACAGCGACGTTCGAAATAGCCGATTATGAGGAGTACGGGGGCATTCAGAACCTTGACAGCGGTTACATTGACTTTGTGAAACCATCTTGGTGTGACCATAAATTTCAACGGGATGAGAATGATAACGGCCAATAGATTGAACGGTGGTTGATAAGCGAACTATGGATTATTAGCTGTGTCCAACATCGTAGGAGTCAAGCCAAAGCGAAAAGTTTCTGGGGGTAACATACGATGGCATCTGACTTGACCCCCTCCAGTGTGAGAACGGCTCTCCGAAATTGGATCTCTGCATTCGCATTGGCCACAATGTTCGAGAAAGTGGTACTCAGCATGGACACCAGAATGGTAAGAAAAAGTGTGTTGCCGAGGAAGGCAAAGGCGATCATAAGTATGGGACCAAGAATCCAATGGAACTCAGTTGATCTCTGGATTCCTGTCCCATCAAGTCCAAACCATACCCAGAGCATCCACTTCGAGATGGTAATCGTCTCATGTGCTCCTTCAGCAAGCCAGGACATTGAGAGTAAGAATCCGGCAAAACACCAAACCGCTAGGACGGTAAGCACAGTAAAATCTCTCATCATAGCTCGTAGAGAGACAAATAGAATGTTCTCAGACATGATATTGAAAGCTAGCCGAGGAACAAGGACTGGAGCTCCCATAGCTAAGACGTCCATGGCTTGTTGTCCTGGCACGAGTTCCCCAACACGAAGCCCGTGCATACGCAAGGTAAAGTATATACCAAAAATAACGGCAAATGTCACATCAAGGAAAGACCATAAGTTCTGGGTATAAACACGCCAACCTGAGTTCCGTTAGCGAGGCAGCGGCATTATATATCACTTTCAGAAAGGGCGGGTAGTACCGTGTTCCAGAATAGTGGAACAAAGATCAAGCAAGAATCCGAATGTGTAAACGATGAAGACTACCTCAAGTGTCCCAAACTTGGAAGGATCCCGGTCGGCCATAACAGAAATATACAAGGCCAATAGAACCATAAACTGGAGGATCTCCAGAATATTTCTGGTCCTTGGAACAATAAGACGGTATTGATTGAAGATTGGGGCCTTTCGTGGATTGTATAGAGACACAGGTTTCTGCTTGTAGTGATCCGGCAATATGTCGATGAAAGATGTAGGCGTATAAATTACACGCCCTTCATAAATGGCCTGAACCACCTTCTGGCACGCTGAAGAGCAGAGGAATATCTTGCTCTCAGAAACGATAGCAATCTCCAAGGCCGGGAGTTTTCTCTGATACCCAGTGCGTGACTGAACCGAAAATGAAAGGCTCCCGTGGTTACTTGATTCTAATACTTCTTGCGGTGCCTGTTGGAACGGGTCGAAAGCACCCACAAGAATATGGGCTAAAAGTAATAGACCCTGTACTCCGGGGTTGTCCTCATTGAAACGTCTTAGAATTCGGCTCGCGAGGAGTTCGCAGAGTAAAGCGCGTGTTGCGCATACACTTTGCTGGTGTGGTTGTGCTTGTTGCTCAGTTTGAAACTGGACTCTGTTCACCAACAAGCAATAAACTATGGAGGTCAGTAGACAAAACTTTGAATGATAAGTATAATATGGGGTGTGATTGAAAGCATCCCGAATAAAACTACGACAATGTGCATATTTAGGAGGATATAAGGAAGAGATAGTGAATAGATGGCAAGAGCTAAATAGCAGATGTGCAATTTGAAGATAATTCAGAAATGCAAAAGGGGATGACTGAAAGGATTGAAAATTCGCGGACAGCTTAGAATTTAGACATTGTTGATGAGTGTTGCGGGTCAATTAGTATGGAATCGAGGAGGACGTCATGAACTAAGCCATGAAAACTTCCACCATGCAGGTTGGTTTGACAGCTCAATTATAAAACAATTACAAATGAAATAGACTGCACGTACCAACGGACACATCATTCAGGTCATAAAGTGTGTCCACAAGCGGCCTCACCACAGACAAATTCATCCGGGGGTCTCGAAGCTGCTCAATGCTATAAGGATCATCTAACAAAGTGTTAGAATATAGTTAATTCATAACTCGAAAGGGAATGTTACGAACCTATGGCGGCGATGATGTCCCTCCGAATTCTATTCACGAAACATGTTAGTGTGGTAACTCACAAGGGATGGTTATTCCTGATTTGGAAAGCTATACCTATGAATGGTAATATAAACAGGCAGTCCCGCATGCGGGTTCGCTGGACACAAGTCACGAACTCCATGAGGCGGAAAACAGCCGTCATGATTGACTTCCTCCTCAGGATCTGGAAACAATCTCGAAGTCTCCGACAGAGCTCCACCGCCCCCAGATTGCGAAAGTTGCTGTCCCATGGTAAATTCGATGCTCTGCTATTAGATAAAGCATACGATCCAAAAAAGCACTTGATAGACCTTTCATGAAAGAGAAGAATTCAACGCCATCATTCTTGACGCAATGAATTTGTCTTGTTTCTGATAAGAAGAAAGAGATAAGACGGAGGATTGTAAAAGCGGCGTAGCGTGGAGAAGATGGACCGAATTGGCCAATCAAAGCTCTTAGTTGACATGGCGAACTGCGTGCATAAAGGCATAATATATGCTCTACATATCAACTGTTGTGCTGGAAACGAGTGGAACTTGAAACACTCGAAGACTTTGTACGAGACAATTTGTTTAGGGGTTGTTAAAACAAGCTTTCAAGGTGTGGAGTCTTGGGAATCAGCCCGTGGTGTTTCCCTCCTCCTTGTTCAAAAGTCGAAGTGGAGAAGTATGTTAGCTGCTTTCTATACGGAGTATCAAAATGTGCGAAGTACAGAGCTATACGAGTATCTATGTTTATATACTTCGACTTGGACTTCTTAGCAAATCCAACTTGAAAACGAAAAGGTCTGATTCAAAAGCAATTGCCCCGCTCTACATTAATACAAATCTTTTTGATCAGTCACTAAGTGCATTTGAACCATGAGCGAGCTCCTTCGGAAGGAGTCCCCGTCTTTCATTACTCGTGTTTCTACAGTTTTGAAGAGAAATATTAACAACAATTCCGGTTCTAAAAGTACCTATCCCCTCAACTGCGGCCAGCACCTCCCAATACAAGGGTAGGAACACCAACTTTCGTAGGATCTAGAAATTGATATAATTCAACACCACAATACCTAAAAACACACGAATAGATGCTACAGATTCAGGGATTCGCCGCCTACATATTGTACTCTTAGAAAGTTCTATAATACGTTTTAAACTTATTAGAATACTACTAAATCATACTGCCCGAGGGAATAGATATAAAAAGAGTTATATTAGCCTTAATTGCTAATAATAACTAAACTACGGCAATAATATACCAAACCACCTTTACCTACAATAGTTATAATGCTTGGTTATATAAAGAAAGGCCGTTGCCCTTACTTTTTATCAAATATAGTATATTCTTCTACTAAAGCTGGTGTTCTATTGGGTCGCTTACCCTTCTTGGCACAATGCACAGACCAGGGAGGTGCTGGCCGCAGTTGAGGGGATACTTAAGGGATTAATTCACTTGCTCCTCCCCAACTAGAGCTACGTAATTGCGCACCCAAGGCTGCGTATGTAATCAAGTGGGGCCAGTCATACTGGACTGGACCATCCCAACCTTCTCTTGGCCGGATGACACAGCTTGGATGTCATGACCGCCATTGACTGCCTGTGGGTTATAGCTTCATACTCACTGACTCAACACTTCTTCCCACGTACAATCGACATACAGTTCACCATCACAATCAACATGCATTTCCATTAAGAAGCACTCTGTCGTGCCTTCCTCAAAACTCCAACCACCAGTAAGCCTTTCCAACGCCGGCATTTATTTCAAGATGCTTCAACCATTGTCTACGCTCTTCCGAATCCACTACGCCCATACCAACACACGGCCTGTGACGCCCATATCCTTACCTCTATTACGGCAGCGGTAAATCCCATATCAGGAAGCAAGATATAGCTGTAAGAGGAAGATCATTGAAGCTGTGAGGAGTACAAAAGAAGTGAGGAAGGTGTTGGGCAAGACATACTGTTTCAATGGCTTCGATTTTCACCTACGATACGGAACCAACACTAGTGGCGTCACCATGGCTTACTCCTACTCACACCCCCAACCCTTCGACACCTCAACCCAACGTTCGAATTAGATCTCCAAACGCACCCCTCAATTCGGCACAACTTTCTGATTATGGGGTCACTCGTTTGGAGGCTGAGCCACAGGAGGGCCCAACCGAATACAAGTTGCATCTTTTATTGAGACCACGAAGGGGATATAGCTCTTCAAGCACGGCATCAATAGCTTCAACTGCTCTCCAGCAAAGGCAGTCGTCTGGTCAAGCTCTAGCTCCTTCAAACCAGACTCGACAAAGTCGTCTAGAGCAATTGACCACTCAACTCTTGTGGCGACTTCAGCAGTCATCTCCCTATCACGCATCTACAACTAGCGATTTGGTTTTGCCTAAGCTTCCGGAATCTGCTTCCAGTTTAGACACGCCAACAAGACCCGGGAAGCTTCTCGCGGGGCTGGAAGAAAGTAGAGGAGCTCTATATGAAATCGGTGTATCTGACGATGGAACTTTTGTTGGCCTTACCAAAGATGAGATGGACGAAAGTTTGACGAACTTGAAAGCAATGGCAGCTAGTCTTGGTTGCAATGTTGAAGTTGTGCGTATGGTAATGGTAGGGGATTGTGAGTGGCATGAATCGTCCAGCCCAACACCAGCTTCGATGACTGGTGATTCTCATCTGACCCAAGCTACGAATGGCTCCAGTGAAATAAAAGTTTTACGGCATCAAGCACAGTTATGGGTTGCCGAAGCACTTATAACTCCCGATTTGTCTTCTAGAGAAACTCAATCGCGGAAAACCCCTGTCAATGCAGGAACCGCCGTTGATGTACCCACTCCCCAAGGAAACGATGTTCTTGACCTTCCAGAAATGAAATCTTTTGAGACCACTGAGCAATTACGAGTCACCTTAACAGGACCAACGACTTCTGGGAAATCAAGTCTTCTTGGTACCCTATCCACCGCGACACTCGACAATGGTAGAGGGAAAAGCCGATTGAGCCTTCTGAAACATCGCCATGAGATTGCTTCAGGAATGACTAGCTCTCTAGCCCAGGAATTGATCGGATATAGTGAAGGCAAAGTCATCAACTTTGCCTCTGGAAATGTTAGTTCTTGGACCGATATCCACGCTTCTGTAGAGCATAGCAGACTGGTGTTTTTCTCGGATTCAGCAGGTCATCCAAGATATAGGAGAACGACCGTTAGAGGTCTTGTTGGTTGGGCCCCCCATTGGACGGTGCTTTGTATTGCAGCAGATGACAGTGAAAATGCCCCGGTGAGCGCTGGTGGGACTTCATCCGCTCAAGAGATCTTAGGGACCACCTACGCTGGTATTGATCTCGCGAAAGCTCATCTTGAGCTGTGTCTGAAACTGGACAAACCTTTGGCAATTGTTGTCACGAAGCTTGATCTTGCATCGAAGAATAGTTTACGACAGACTCTGGCAAAAGTTCTGACGGCCGTCAAAGGCGCAGGTCGCATTCCTTCGATAGTTCCCCCAGATCATTCTAAAGCAGTATTGGTGTCGGACTTGGCTACTATCCCAAAAGCCGATGCAGACATAATTCAACGCACTGTTGACCAGATGACAGCTGCTGATGGCCTTACATCCATTGTCCCTATTATCATGACTAGCTCAGCAAAAGGCACTGGCATCCGTTCGTTGCATGCTCTGCTTCAGCAGCTGCCAATACCACCCATTCCAACCGCACTTGACTATATTGGCCCAGTCCTCAATCCAGAACAACCTTCTTGCCTATTCCACATTGAGGATATCTTCGGTCTCCCTGCTGCGTATGAGCCACTCGCCTCGAAGGGAGTCGTGACCGGCGACAAAAGTGATACTGGAATCGTGATAGCTGGCTACTTGAGGTTTGGTCGACTATCAGTTGGAGATGCAATTGTTGTTGGCCCTTTTCCGGCTGAATCGGACGATGAAGATTTGCTCCTGGGGAACCCAGTTGCCAAATCTTCCCCCAACAGCTTCGGAGCATCATTATACCATCCATCGACCACTGAACTCTCAAAGGTTGCCTCTCGAAATTTGGTCTCCGCGTCTGTGACTAAAGGAGAATGGCACAATGCTCGTATCGTCAGTGTACGTAACCTTCGACTCCCAGTTCACACACTTGAAGCTGGTCAGGTTGGAACACTAGGCATCGTTTTTGATCTATCTCATGAGGAAGATCTAAATAGTCTGTCCGAGCCAGCAACTCCAAAAATGCCTCGTGTACGGAAAGGTATGGTTATTGCTGTTCCAAGTCGCCATATGGTAGTCACAGGTCATACTCTTCAAGCAGCAAGTGGTTTCACGGCATCCTTTGAGGACGGAGACATCAATTCTGTCACGCCTGGGAGTCTAGTTGTTGTGTACATTGCTAGTATCCGAGCCCCTGCGAAGGTCTTGAGGGTATCACCACATGAAGAGAATAATTTTGTTAACCATCTCGCGGATCAGATGGATGATGTATTTGGATTGGATGACGCAGCAGAGAAGGACGATGAGCATGAACCATTAGTATTCGGTTCAGATGGCATTACGGATCTTACCTTCGAGTTGATCACCACGCGTGAGTGGATAGAGCTCGGGTCGCAGATTCTGGTAATGCCTGGTGGAGGTCATGGTTTGTATTACGGTTCGGAGAGGGGAGAAAAGGGTGTTGCTGGCCTCGAAGGGTTTGTGGGTAGGGTCACTGAAGTTGTAGACTAGAAGTCTTTGTTTCTACTTTAATCTGGTATCATAGAAAATCAATTCTCTATTCATGGTTCTAGATACAGTACAATATGTACACCCCTCCCGTATCCGTTTTCCTTTCCATGAAGAATCCCTCCCTTTTGCAAATCAAGGGTATTTAACAAACTATCCACAAACTCCAAATACGAAAGAAATAAACAAGAAGAAATCTAACAGAGAGCATACTGTTCAGCGATCCAGTTCGCCTGGATGGAGCTGACTTTCTTGGCGTAATTCTTGTTGGTGTAGACATGCTGTAAGAACATGATGGCCTCTAACTTCTTACCATGTAAAACGCTTGATGGATGGACCTGGATCGTCTCTTTGCCATTGGTAGTCTTGTAACTGCCATCTGGGCCCATGATAGCAGTCTCTCTAACAAAAGCCTTGAGAAATACCTTCATGATAATCTCTGCTCTCTCCGGGGTGACGGGTTCGAAGGGTTGCGGATCGGCGGGAGGATTCTCCTTCAACAACTTGAGTTTCACACACTGCATACGGAGTTGCTTACGCACAGCGTTGGCCATTGTCATTGCACGGACGGAGATGAGATGGCTCTCGCACCAGACTCTTCGATTGGTGTTGTCTGCTGCGTAGCGTTGCATGGTGGTCAGGAGGGTAATCAAATCGCCTTCTCGACGGTAGATGTCGGCTCTGGTGTTGCTCATTTCCTCTTGCTCTTCTATTGACTTGGGGTGCAAGAAAATCTCCTGATCCGTATTCAGACAAGCGAGAATATCGATGACTTCGAGAAGGCAATCGGCGGACTCGTCTGCTGCCGCGATCAAGACGCATCCGTGGGTCGCTGGGAGCGGAAGTTTAGCCATTGCTTTCCCGTTTTTGGTGAGTGAGCCGTCGGGTTGCAAGGCGCCCATGGCATAGAGTTGATTTAGGGCTTTCTCCATGTACACGACATCAGGCGAATCCATGAGAGGAAAATCCAGGACATCAATGATACCGCGGGCCTTCATCTTGAGGACTGCTTCGATCACGTTGCAACGCAGTATCTCGGGCTTTCCGTCTTCGTCCATCTCTTTGAAGTCGGCCTTTGTATAGATTCGGTAGCATTTACCAACTGCCTCTCGTCCAGCACGACCGGATCTTTGAACTGCTGCAACCTTCGAAATTGGTTTGATCAATAAGGTTTCCATGCCGAGATGGGGGCGATACTGCTTGACCTTGGATTTTCCACCGTCCACGACATAATGAACACCAGCGACAGTAAGGGATGTTTCTGCAATATTGGTGGCGAGTACAACTTTTCGTGTGAATCTCTTCTCGACTTTGACAAAGGCATCTTTCTGTTGGTCTGGTGTCAAGGATCCATGAAGAGGTTTGATCTCCATCCTGGGAACGGCCGCAATCAACATCTGAGAATATTTTTCTAGTTCGGCTTGAAGTGCCTCAATTTCCTCTTGACCTGTCAGAAACGCGAGGATATCTCCAGGAAGTGGTTCTTGAGTATGCAACATAAGAATGATTTCGAGCATAGCATGAACATAATCTTCTTTTGGTTCATGTTCGTAGAATGTCTTAACCTCATATTGGCGGCCGGCAATATACTGATATGCGACTCCAGTTAGTGAAATATCTCCGTCCAGAATACCTGGTCGGCTTAAGGGTCGGTCCTCACTTTTCAAGGTACTGGCACCAGATTGAATATTGTTTTGGGTGTCGTCTTGGGTAGGCTGTTGCTTGCCTGCGTCTTGACTTGCGACGGTTGAATCAGTAATTCCACTCCAGGATGAAAAGGTAGTATCTGTCGATGAGCGTCGATTATCAGGCTCTTCCTCCGCCGCCTTTACAGGTATTTGTGCTCCGTTATTTCGTAGAGCCATCTGCTCAATCAAATCTGGCGCAATAATCCTCCCATGATTTTGACCAGGCACATAGTCAGGTCTAGTATTTGGCTTTGCGAAGAAGGCTTCGACTCCGCCTTGGTCAAGAGTAGCGCTCATAATGACAAGTTTCAACGGTACCCCACCTCTACCCTTCAAGTCACCGTGAACCAATCTCCTCAAGAATCCCGCAATAAGGTCGACGTCCATGCTTCGTTCGTGGATTTCATCAATCATGATAGCGCTATATTTGCGAAGGTTTGGATCACTCAACATCTCCTGCAGCAACATACCCTCCGTGACGAACTTGATCTTTGCTCCATTAGGAACCTGATTGTCGAATCGAACACTGTAGCCTACAGTTCCCGGTTGTCCAGCACGAACTGAGCCTTTACTAAGAGGTGATCCCATCTCAGCAGCAACACGTTGGGCGAGAGTCATGGCAGCAATTCGACGAGGTTGGGTAACTGCAATCATGCCACCGACATTTATCTCCTTTTTGGTTCCATCACTTTCTTCCACTGTGACCAACTTCTTCTGGCACCATGGTTCCGTGTACAAGAATTGTGGGATTTGCGTACTCTTTCCTGAACCCGTCTCACCGTTGATGATGAGTATGTCATTGTTTCGTAAATCCCAACGAATGTCGTTCTTTTTATGATATACTGGCAATCTCATGCGAATTTCCTCGAGTTCTTTAGCAGCTTTCTGAAGTTCTTGAGACGATGGGCCATTATATGGGACTTTCGCATTTTGGGTATCGTTCGCCTTTGCGCCAGGCTTATGGGGGGCTCGAGTTTCCGACTTCTTGCTATCCAAAGAACTTAACTTTGGGGACTTTCGTGCTCTGCCACTGTCGTCATGCTCGGACTTGTGGGATGTTTGGGATTCGGAAGGGGTATTGGATTTTGGGTTTCCGTCTTGCGAGCGCTTCAAGCCGTTGTTCTGGTTGACGTTGGAGGGTGCCCTCGAGGCATTGCTGGTCGAGTGTTGTTTGGTAGATTTGTTCGATACATCGTTCTTCTTAGAAGATGGTTTTGAGGTCGAGGATGCGGGCGCGGGTGCGGGTTCCGCGTCGCCTCCAAACTTCATGTGTAGCTTTGGCGGCATGGTTGCAGACTCGCTGTGGAGGGTAGAAAGATTCGATTGTGTGAATTGTTGAATGGGATTGAAAGAGAAATAGGAGATCTATCGAAGTTTATCAATGCGCAGAAGTGTTGGTGCCGGTACATCTGCCATAATAGCTTTGGCGAAGTATTGTCTGCGGCTGTTGTCAGTTTCGCAACAATAGGAAGAGGCTTGCTATTGAGCTTGAGTCGCAACGATTTTTTTCCTACGATAACGCTGCGGCGATAAGATCTCCAGCCATCGGAATTTAGATTGGCCCCGCTGAATTCCAGGTTGGGTGGGAATAGTCACGTGTAACAGTGACCAGTCAGTAGTTATCTACCCGATATTTACCCTTCTACCAATGCCAATAGCGCAAGACTTCGATTGTCCATTGCAGCAATTGGCCGTTGATGTCGTGATATGATCTGCCGCAGCACACCATCCTTCCTCTTTCCATGTTCCTGGTTGCGGATTCGTACAACCTTCCACTTCCACTTACGATGGTGCAATCACTTATTGACTTAGATAAACTAGTTGCACATGCTCTCCATGGATGGGATTTGAACCTACTTAAACGTTCTTGTTGCCATTCATCTCTCGCTTCCTCAATCTCACCCCAAGCTCCCACTTCACTTTCCCACCTTTCAATTCATTGTACAAACCTTCAATCCTTCCATCCATATAATTATGGCACCTTCCATTCTTGAAACTCTGCCTACGGCACCCCACTCTCTGACCTCACCTGCACAGAAGTCCGTAGACAGAAAGATATTTCCTGATGGGATCAAAACCAGCGGCCAGCACCCACCTATTCTGGATCAACTCAGACCGTACTCAGACTTTCCCAAGGAAATCATTGGAGAAAGTGTTTGGAAGGCCGAGGACTATACAAACAACCCGGAACGATGGGTCCATGTATTCAATGACGAGGAAATCGCTGAACTGAGCGCCGTTTCTGATAAGTTTCTTGCCGAGAAGATCCCATTGACTGGTATCTCCCAGGTAATATATATTTCACGAGTTGCAATGGCCTACAGCTTATAGTCTTAGGATAACTTTGTCCTCCCAACCCTTTCCAAATTACTCGCTTCCATTCGCTCCGAGATCCTGAACGGGAAGGGGTTTATCTTGTTTAAAGGGTTTCCAGTTGAGAAATGGGGCAACCATAAATCTGCTGTGGCATATATGGGGTTGGGAACATATCTAGGATACTTTGTCTCACAAAATGGACGAGGCCATGTTCTAGGACATGTGAAGGATCTTGGTGACGATGCTACTCAAGTATGCTTGCACTACCGTTCACTATCTTCGATTCAACTAACACATGCATAAGATTGATAGAGTACGTATTTACCGCACGAATGCTCGGTAAGACTCACATCTCAACCCATCTACTAGCACGAAATGGAACTGATAGTTTTGTTAGTCAATTCTTCCACGCGGACGATTCAGACATAGTCGGTCTCCTCTGTATTGCCCGCTCCCTCGAAGGAGGAGAATCTGACATCGTCTCCTCCCATCACGTTTGGAACACTCTGCAAAAGGAACGCCCAGACGTCGCCGAACTCCTTACGAAGCCCATCTGGTACTTCGACCGTAAAGGAGAAGTCTCCATCGGCGAGGACCCTTACATCAAAACCTCAGTCTTCTACCTAGAAACCGGTCCCAATCCACGTGTATACTCAAAATGGGATCCCTACTACATCAAATCCCTAAGTCGATTCGTGGACGCCGGAATCATCCCAGCACTCTCCCCAGAACAAGTTGAAGCTACTCAAGTATTAGAAGATACCTGTCATCGCTTGCGATTGCACATGATTCTGGAAGTAGGAGACATTCAATTCCTGAGTAACGAACATGTTCTCCATGCTAGAACTGCATACAAAGACCACCTCCCACCAGCCCCAAGAAGACACTTGATGAGATTGTGGTTGGCAACCCCAGAGGACGAGGGAGGATGGAAATTGCCATTCCATGACTCGACTGAGAAGAAGAGGGGAGGGATCCAGGTCAATGACAACCCACCGGTTGCTCCTTTGGACGCGGAGTAGACGGGCTGTTTTCGTTGTACATGATGTATTAGCTGGTTCTTCAATCCATGCCTTCCAAAATGACCCAATCTCCCAAAGTGCACATTTCCCAAACCATCCTACCAACCTCCTTTCACATAATCGCACATGGCATCACCGGGCGGCCCACCGCTATACCAAAATCCATCTTCGTAATCATCCGGACTTTGTTGTAGTCATAGTATCCCTGTCTCAATCCACACTTGGGACATCGAAGAATAGAGACCTTTTGCGGTAACCTCGCTGGTACCAATCGTCCATTGTCTTGAAACGTGGAGCAAGTGCTGATTCCTTTACCCTTCCCACATGGTGTCTGGATTTCCAGCCAGCGATGATTGCACTCTCCGCTTCGGTAGAATTGGAAGGTACACATTTTTTCTGTAGTTCTTGGTTGATGTGAAATGAGGTGTGGGTGAATAATGGTTGGGGTTGTGTTAAGTGGTGGTTTTGGTGAGTTGTGGAGAGCTCTTTCCTAACGTTGAGGAGAAGACTCTGAATCGGGTTTTGGGTGAGGTTGAAGTAGTGTGAGATATGGTAGCCGAGGAAGATAGGGGAAGCGGCTTGGAACCAGTTCCAACCTGAGTGAGCTCTTGATTTGCGGAGTTGGAGGCTTGCCAAAGCTTGCGGCTGTAGTGGTTGTCGAAGTAACCTTTTCCCCTTCCTGTTTGTTACCGAGAAGAGGAAAGAAGAGGACATCTTCATGACTGAAATATATATACTGGAGGGACTGAATAAGACTGATATATGAATCACTGATCTTAAGGGTTCGAATGATACAATAATAACAGCCACTCAAACTCACAATAGCTCCTGAATGTTCTTAATCATCTGCGTCGAATCCAGTCATCAGATAGATGATTTAACACCACAGTCATACCTCCACTTCCCTATTATGGTACAACCGGTCCGAGACTCTTCGTACAATATTATCCCCCTTACCTCCTGAGTCGTTATAGCTGGGGGATGTCGCGCACCCCAACAAGCGACATGCAACAAAAGGCTTAAAAGCCTCCATATCAGGCCATCATCAAAAGACAATAATCTACAAGCCCAAAGACATTGCGCAGTCCCACAACTCCTCCTTCTATATGTAGCAGCCATGATGTCACAGCGTATTTATACAATCCAGTCCAGTCCACTCTATGAACCAGCCGAATAATTCCGTGGTCGCTTTTCATTCTGATTCGTTGTCGTCCAACTCTTTCTTGCGTATAGCTTGCATGAGTTCATACATCTGTCCGAGTTGTTGATCTACTCCCCCAAGTCAGAAAATGGAAACCCAGACAATAAACATCAGTCCCCTAGGAATAGACAGAAGAGAAGAAAAGGAGACACGCACCACTCATCTTATCAATCTTCCCCTTATCCATCCTCTCCCCAATCCACTGGTCTCCCTCCAACTTCTGCGCATACAACTGCCACTCCGTCAAGAACCCAATCTACACGCCTCAATCAGCTTCTACTCTCCATTCCCATTCCCCCATCCCATCCCATTCCCATAATCATAGTAACCAAATCAATCCAGACAGAGAACAAACAAAGAAAACATACAATATGCACCGGATTCTCCACATCCCGATGACTCCTAAACTCGCTCTTGATATACTCATCACCCAACAACCTCATATCCCGCGGTAAACAATTCCGATGCGCGCGCAGAAGTCGTCTGTACAGCGGGATGGGAGGGAGGAGGGCGAGGGGAGGCGGTCGGAGGGGCTTCGAGGGCCCTGGGATGGTGTGGGAAGCGAGGAGGAGACGTGGGGATATTCGCATGGTTGGTGGGGTTGTTGTGGTGTTTTGGATGCGGAGGTGGGAATGACGAAATGGATGTCGTAGCGATGCTTTTTGGGAGAGCCTCGGGACGAGCCGAGGATGTTTTTGGGGTTCAGCCTTGTGGTTTGGGATTGATTGTTGGTGATGGAGTTTCTTTGATATTGATTTGCTTGAGGGTTTGAGTAAATAACAGCGTTTAATAACTTTCAAATTTCAATCTCAGAACAACGTGGTGAGAAGGCCTCAAAAAGCCTGTATCTCTTGTCCCAAAATCGGCTCACTCTACCAAATTCACAAACCGCCAATTGAACGCCCACCAAACCCAATATATACAAACAACCCAAGAAATCATGTTACCAACACCCTCAACCTCCCACGTCTCATTCGACCGAGTCTACGAGCCCGCCGAAGACTCCTATTTACTCCTCGACACCCTCTCCTCAGAAAGCGAAAAAGAATTCCTCCAAGACCGTTTCACTCACAGCAAACCCCCAACCTCAACACCACCAAAAAACTCCCCCTCACCACTCATCATCGAAGTAGGATCCGGATCAGGAGTAGTCCTCTCATTCATCCACGCCCACGCCCTCACCATCTTCGGCCGCTCAGACATCCTCACAGCAGGCATCGACGTAAACCCCCACGCTTGTCAAGCAACCATCCAAACCATCCGCTGCGCGGAAAAAGAGCAAGAGGTATCAAAAACTTCTCACGGGTTTTACCTGGGGAATGTGGCTGCGGATCTCACGGGAGCTTTGAGGTGTGGGGAGGTGGATGTTTTGATCTTCAATCCCCCTTATGTTCCTACGCCTAACTTGCCTAGTCTGGTGGGTGATCCAAAGCTTAGTGCTTTTGATGCGGATTCTCATTTATTGGAATTGTCGTATGCGGGAGGTGAGGATGGAATGGAGGTTACTAATCGTCTCATTGAGTCTTTGCCTGGGATATTGAGTCGGGACAGGGGATGTGCGTATGTTCTTCTATGTGCTCAAAACAAACCCGAGGTAGCCAAAGAAGGGATCAGAAAATGGGGAAGTAGATGGATGGCAGAGACCGTTGGATCCAGTGGGAAGAATGCAGGCTGGGAGAAATTGCAAATAGTGAGAATATGGCGAGAGTCGCCGCCCATATCCACAACATAGAATAACAACAAACATCAAAATAGTAGCTTGAAATCGTGGGATCATGCAGAACGGTCGTGATTTCGATTGCCCCTTTTCATAACCATAAAAACGCCAGGAAGACCTCCAAAAGGCTCTGTTTCTGTCAAGATATCGAATCCCCTTCGCTCAGTAGAAGATCCAGCAAACCACAAATGCATGATCATTGCCTATCAAAGTAAACATCCGCCCTAAAATCCTCTTCCACCACCTCGTCCTCGTCCACCGCCACCTCTTCCACGTCCTCTTGGTCCACCGCGTCCTCTGCCTCCTCTAACTGGTCCTCCTCGGTCTGCGACCTCCTTTCTCGCCTTGTTCTTTGGCTTGGGCGCATCGTCAATCAGGAGAGTGTCCAAGGGGAGAGAGTCGGGTAAGATGTAATATCGTATAGTCGAACCGCGCAAGTTGATTGTATCCAAAGAGATTGGTTCCCGACCGCGCTGGGTCATCTTGACAGTTCGTAGCGCCGTGTTCATTTGAGGCGATACTGAAGTTATGGTACCATGGATGATTGTGCCTTTTCCTCCCAGTCAACAAAAAAAGCTTCCGCCTCGAGAATGTTAGGGGAAACTAACCATTTTTGAGTTCAATGGTTACCGTCTCGTTCGCGCACTTCATCAAAAACCTACCAGCAAGCAAGGAGGTCAGTCAGAGAGCTTGATGCGGGAGCCTTGAGAATTGAGAGCTCAGCTTGTGCCACACACGGCGGGTGTTTTGGGGGCAGAGGCTTACCTGACGAGCTTCATATTGAAGTTTGACACGCGTCGACGCCTCTAGATTAAGCTGTATTGGGCGTGGTAGCGGGGTTGTTGTTCGCGGGGGACGTCGGTGTGAGCGGAGTTGGCGTACAGTACAGATGAAGCTCTCCAAATTTTTGGAGTCGCTATCAAGTCACGTGATAGGTATCAAATTGCTGAAAGAGGCCCCCAAAAGTGAGTCCAACTAAGTGAATTAAAAGTTTGGATCAATATTCAAATCTGGCTAGTCTGCTGAGTATCTAATGAAGACTTTGAATTTGGATCTACCGCGAGATAGAGAGTTCCCCCATGATAGAAATACAGACCTTTGTACAAGTCTACCGTCGCCATCATCAATTATATGGAATCCAAAAGACATAGAAAAATCGCCCGGGGTATAAACAGTCGAACGCAATCAAAAGACTCTCCTGCCCCATCCCATCCTCACTTGTCCTTCTCATTCTCCGAAACCCTTTCCCACTCATCCTCAGTGCTATGCTCCGATTTACTTCCCGCGGCGCTTCCACGACCCTTCAACTCTCCAACCTTCGCAACCGGCTCGACCTCCTTACTCCCAGACTTGGTATTCCCAGATTCTATCACGGTTTCCGCCTCCGTGCTGCTATCATCCTCCGATCCGATTTCCTCGAGTCTTCGCTTCTTCTCTGCCTCCTCGGCTTCAGCGGCGCGTAACTCGGCCACGAACCAGTTGATAGCCCACCAGAGACCGCCGCACAAGAATGACAGGATGAGGAAGTGGATGCTGTACGTTGCGATCAGAAGAAGCCCTAGCGTAGCTTGGAGGCATGCGAATGCGACGTTGGTTGCGACAAGGAGGGTATGCGTTGGCCCGGGGGTGAAGATGGACTGCATGAGATCGGTGATGAAGGTCGCCATGATGTCGGAGTTTTTTGCGATTGAAGAATTATGTGCAGTATTGATATGCTATGTCCAGTTCGAGAAATTGCGATCTGCTGCGGCGTTGTTAATCAATGACTGCTCCGAGGCGGGGTATCGTAGGTGAGGGGGAGGGGGAGGGGAGGTTCCGCTGAGGCACTCACTGCTTTGCACTGGTGACCTCTTCTTGAATGAAACGCTGACAGATGGTACTTATGGTTGCCGAAGAAAATGACAGGTATCAAGTGCTTATCGGATCTCACGGTAGCCTGGAGAGCTACGGGAAGTGAATATGGACAGAGTATGAGTTGAGAAGGAGATGGTGAAGGAGGGACAATTTGTTGATTCTGCCTGATTCGGCACGCGTTCGGTTCGCAAGGGGGAGCGGAGCACTGACAACAGTGCTTTGCTTCTCTACTGCGAGATCCCTGCCAGGTGACATGTCATCACTGCAGGCACCTGCAACCTTCCAATCTCCTTCGAGATGACTGCTTGTACTCGTACATATGTGAGTTCTTCCTGGCCCCCTTTTATCTCTTTCTTTACAATATGCCACTATTGAATTGTTCTATGTGTGTCCCATACTCGTATATCTCACTACTCACTCCCGTAGGTAGCTCATCTAGCCAAGTGGCAGTTATCCGATCCGACTCCTTCTTTGACTTCATGTAGTGTCACTTATGCTTGCACTTCACATCATATTGCGTCTGAAATGCCATAGATTTACAATATTGGCTAGACTTCTTTTCACTATAGTCTTGTATCTTACTTGTTTTGATGCTCCATAAATAAAGTAGGGTAGGAAAGTAAGTCTTACACAGCTAGAAAAGGGGTTGATACGAGATAAACCAGTACAATTGAAAGTATATTCTATTCAACTCTTTCTCTTCCTGATACCTACTTCTCACTTTAGTATTTGTACTTGTAAGATCTTACTGCTTTTCTTTTCTATACAAATACCTGACTCTTTACCACCGCTCCAACATCCCTCAAATCCCAATACCAAAAAGAAAAGCCCATCAGAATGCGCATCCCGTCTCTTTAAGCCATACATCAAGTCACAAAGACCTTCATAACTAAATCAAAGAAGCAACCTCTTCAAACATTCCACCATTTCCTAGACCTACCTACCTCCGTATGAAATCCATTCCAAAACCTGACGCTTCGTCATAACCCCACGATCCGCGTTTCCCAGACACTTCCCCTCCAACACCTGGGAACACTACCTCCGCGGGATTCCCGACCATCTATACACCAAAGAGTATCCATCTCTACTCCACGACAACCAAGAATCCCGTAGCGAGCTCCTGTTCTACTCATACCGCACCCTCCTCCATCCAAACCAAGACATCTCCTCACTTCTGGACTCCGTCTCGCTAGATCTAAAAAGCGGAACAGGAACAGGAATAGGAACGGGAACGCTCTGGTGCGAAGAAGACATCCCCTACATCAACATCCTAACCGCAAACGACATCAATACCAACAAATTCTCCGCCCTCCAGCAATTTGAGCAAATAAATCACACAGCAATCTACTCCTCCGCCTCACCTCACCCAATTACCCCTCCTCCGCTCCTCACCCCCTTCTCACTCTTCACCAAAGTCCCCAATTCAAAAAAACCCTGCACACAACATTCTCCCATCCTCCCTTCTACCTTCACTATATCTATAGCACTTGGAAGCTGTATATAGAGACACTAGGCATTACTCAATTAATTGATATTATCAGGACTAGCACCTCAGCCAAGGTAACACCTCAAATCCACGTGCGCCTTCACAAGACTCTTAAGCGAGAAACCGAACTTCATCAACAACAATCTTTTTTCTTGTGAACTCTAACTACTCCAAAGGCCCGCGAAGACCATGTCGAGTTATTCACTTCTAATGACACCATCATCCGCTTTCCACAATCTAGCAAGAGTCAAAAAGAATGCCCAACAAAACAAAGGAAAGAAACAAATCATCTCCACTTTATAACGCAACCTCCTTATCAATGAATACTCAACCTCGCTCTATACCACACCTTCTTCCCAGCACTACTACCAGGAACCCCATGGCTCACTGCTCTACCACCCTGTTGCCTTCCACCTCTGAACCGACGATAGGTGTACCCCAAAAATGCACCTCTTTTCCTCAATTCAAGAACCGTAGGCGCGGTATCTCGATCGCGCAACAATCTGTCCCTTGGCCTCTTCTTTTCTTTTCGTCCATAATGCTTTACAAAAGCCTTCAAGTACTCCTTTTGTTCATCGGACATGACAAAGTTGTCAATTTCCTTCTCGACCTTTCTAAGTCTTGCTGAGTCATGGGGACGCTCGATAAAGCTAAGAGCCAAGATCTGGATTTCTCGATTGAATTGCTTCAGAGCCTCATTTGCTTCTTCCGACGTCGGTTGAGGGCCCTGGATGGATTCCGAAAAATCGGAAATTGGCTCTTCCTCATCGAAATAATGGGTGTCATCCAATGATTTGATATTCGGCACAAACGGTGGTACCATTGTGTGCAAGCGATCCCATTGTATGTCTCTGAACCACTTGTGGCTTTTGATATCTTCCGCATCGTTGGCGTACACATACCGGCCAGCGTAATCTCTGTTGTTTGATGACGGGGATTGATCGTTGTGCTTATATCGTTTAGAGCAAACTCGGTGGTCTTTCTCCTGGATTATGCTTCTTATGAGATCCTGGCATCTCTTGCTTACAATCGGCTTGTTTGGGAATGCGAAGGTATTTTTATGGTTCTACTCAATTGTCAGGTTGGATAGTCAGCGATCGCAGACAATTTTTGGACTTACGAGAATGTTCATCTTTGTCTGTTGCCGACCTCCCTCTTCGGCCAAGAAGGGAGTGTGACCATAGAGACACTGGCGAAAATATTAGAAATACCCTGAGTCTCCTTCATAAATTCGCATGCTCACCTCATATATAATCACTGCTACACTCCACCAATCGCAACGTGCATCATACAACTCGCCTCTGACTACCTCAGGGGCCATGTATTGACTAGTTCCGACAACAGAACGTGCCAAAGTTCTATTCCCATTGCGGTTTCGCCAGTTGAGAATGCCTTCGGTTTCCGAGTAGTTTGAAGAATTCCTTTCGTGACGTTCTTTGCCACCCATAATAACGTGAGCCATCTTCATAGCTGCGGCAATACTTCGACCTTCTTTTTTATCAATAGAGTCCCCTTCTACTTCGATGCCGAGTTTAGTCAACAAGGAGTATCTGTGGTTGTTAAAGTACGATTGATCATGGGACCAGTGCCCATCGAAAGCAAGACCAAAATCAGATATCTTGAGATGCCCTGAGGCTGATATGAGAAAGTTGTCGGGTTTGATATCACGATGAATCCAACGAAGTGCATGTGCCTCTTCAATGCAAAGGATCATCTCGGCGACATACCATCTAGTGACAGGCTCCGATAGTATATTATCGCGGATGAGCAAGCCCAAGAAATCACCACCTGGCATATAATCCATGACAAGGTACAAGTTTTGAAGATCCTGAAAGCTGGCTATGAGCGGCACGATCCTACAACAATTAGCAAGATGCTCAAACAAACTCAATAATATCTTTCATCACTCACCATCTGGATCCTTCAGCAGCAACGAGGAAATCGCGCTCAGCTCGGAGATGGCCTTCTTGGCTATTTCGAAGCATGTCTGACTTTCGGATAACTTTCATCGCGAATATCTCCTTCCTCTGAGTTGAGCCAGATGGCAAACTGCAATTATCAGCTTCAAAGTCCAAGTGAAAGGATGTGAGAGCTTACTCTTGATCAGACTTCTCTCGAACAAGACGAACGACTCCAAAGCTGCCTTTACCAAGAATCTTCACGACTTCATACTTTGAACTAAAAACGTCTTCTCCTTGTAAAGCTTTGATGCCTCGAGCTTTCATGACCCGGGTCTCTCGGAGATGATCACTCTCCATTTGGTGCAAAGCACGACGTGTGAGGTTCTTTTGAATCTCAGAAGAGACCTCATCATCATACAAATGATATTCGAGTTGTCGGCGACGTAAAGATCTGCCAGACAAAGCAGAAGAGGTCAACTCATTATAGTGGCATTCTAGAAAGACCTTTGCAGCAGAAGCTTTTTCGACTGTGACGATTGCTATCTCAGTGTCAGTTATATCGAAGGATTTCTTTTGTGTGGAATGGCCTACTAGGACATTGAACAGGGGGGTCTTCCGTAACCTCTGTTTCAGCAATAGAGCTCAGAACCTTCTCATTAGATCCTCCTTCTGTAGTCACTTGCTTTGAAACTACTCTTTTGTTCTCCGACGAGTGTTGGGAAGATGTAGGTGCTCCCTTAGAGAACTTCGAATCAAGTGACGTCTTTGGGGTTGATTGGCAGCCACCAGGGGACGAGGACTTTCCATTGCTCCCGGCCGATGTTGAGGGCGAGCTATCTGGAGAATTTTGAAGTGACCCCTTCTCTGAGTTCTCCTTTTCTTGCGACAGGATAATTGGTCTAGAGTATTGTGCGCGATGGACTACCGTTGGTTCGAATTGTGATTTCGAGAAAGCCATGGAGATTTTCTTTCCTAACGCAAGACTTTGACCAACGGGAGTACCAGAGCTAATTGACTTGCAATCAACTTCCTCTTCAGTGTGGTTCTCGGCAATAGAGACATGCGAAGCTAGAAATGTCTTGTTAGTATTGAAAGAAGAAATTTGGAAATTGGCACAAAACGGACCACTGTTTGCCATCGAGCGTAAGACGGAAAGGATTTTTGATCCATGGCGCCGGAACTTTGAAGGGCGCATATCCTGTTCTGGGGAAGGCGGAGGCGTGAGTTGCGCATTGTAGGTTGGGTTGATTCGTAGAGGATCTATGTCCATGCCATCTTTGTGACCGTCACAATCAAGGTTGAGACCTTGCGGTCGTGCCTTGTCGTCGGCTATGGCGTTTGCTCGTGCTCGTTTCATTTGTGAGAATTAGATTGTACTGGGCAGCTTTGCTGTGTAAAGTTCAATATACTGATAGAATAACCAATGCTCAAACGATGCTGCGTATTGATGTGCGAGACTGCAAGTGTTGAAAAAATCAAGTCCCAGCAATTAAAGATCCAATTCAGGCGGACGCGGACATCACTGGATAAGATCAACTGACTGAGGAGCTCTCATCGCTCTTGCTACTCAGACGAGTTGATGTTGTGCAAAAAATGGAAGGAGCGATGGGAAAGTGACGCATCAGAACCTAGAAGTTTTCCGAGTAGTCCCCTTTCACACCTAGACGTACTTGCCTGGTACTAAATTATCTTGCGCGCGAGGGATTTTGAGCGCAGGTGTAACAAAACCTGAGATGAGAACTGGGTAGAACTAAGAAATTCATTAAAAAAGGGGGTGAAAGTTACTTACAATAAATATTGGGAAGAAATAAAAAGGGGATTTAATTTATAAGCAGAATCTGCACCTTTGAAATCCATCTAGGATACGATTCAGATCATCAAGTTACGAAGTTCTTAAATTTTACTGTGTTACTAGAAATTACAAAAAGACACCCAGCCCCTTAGATTCTCATGAAATAAGTGACAATCAGAACATGCCCACCTCAAATTACCTCGCTTAAAGAAGCTCACATAGTAGTATCAGCTAGTATAAATAAATATATACAAGCACCTAGTACCTACCCAATCCTTAATACATACATAAATCCCCTCAAACAAACCACCAAGACTCTTTTGAAAACCCCCTCCATTCCTTTAAGGTAGTCCACTCGTAATTTCGTAGAAGCAAAACTTAGCAAACTCGGACAAACACAACACTCACCCCTAAGATAACCGAGAAAGCGAAGTTGTTGCTTAGCACCCATCTCCCTCATACCTGCGAAAATAAAACAAGTAATCTCTACCTAGTCGCGAGTTCGAGAGCTAGAGTAACCTAATTGTAATACCCACCTGGGTATAAGGTTTGCAGAAGTGAGGGGACATATAGGGCTTCTAGTAACCGGAAATAAGAGGGATGCTGGCTATTTTTGTATCAGCGGGGTGCATGTTCGGAAATTTCTAGTATGTCAGTGCCTATACAAGCGAAAGGGGTCACAATTCGGCAAGCGGAGAAGACAGTTTTATAATCTTTTTTATTCTACTGTCTAGTAGACCAAGTAGGCGCGCACAGAGAACTTTTTACAGACTGACTAGCAAATGAAAAGCAGACCCAAACTTTTGTCCATACGCCTGTAATGCTATGCAGAAGAAATCCTCATCCCATCTCGCTTTTTCTGCTTCCCGTCGACATTATGTATGACGGTTCATCAGAACCACGCAGGTCGGAGTTCTATGCAAAACATAGATGGTATGATTGCAAAAGAGGGACATATGAGGACAAGAATTAAGCCGTAGCAAAATGGTATGAAAGGGGTGAGGAAAAGTTGTACAGAAGAGGGGAGGGTCGTAAGCAGTGCTTCGTCTCCGTAGATTATCGGCCTTCGAGTGTTCATCACAGGTAAGCCCTGGGCATGGTGCCTTATCCAGACAGGATTTACTTGACCTCCAACAGCTTGACATCAAAGGTCAATTGGCTGTTGGCTGGGATTCCAGGCAAAGATTGGCCGCCGTAGGCGAGTTTTGCTGGAATGACAAGTCTTCGCTCCCCACCGACTTGCATACCAACGATACCAACATCCCAACCCTTGATGACCTCGCCAGCACCAAGCTTGAAGGAAAATGGTTTGCCACTCTTGTTTGCTAGGAAGCATTAGCTTTGATAATCGATGGTGAAGCACAAAATACTTACAGTCGAAAACCTTTCCGTTATCGAGCTTACCAATGTATCTCATACCGACCTTGCTGCCTCTCTTGGCGGCCTGGCCCTTTCCGAGTTTCTTGTCATCGATCTTGACACCATCGACGTGCTTGACACCTAAGGATGCACGCTTGGGGGCAACAGGCTTAGCCTTCTCCGCTGAACCAGTTGGTCCTTGCTCGAGGTTCTTTGCGAATTGAACTTTCTTGTCGCTCTTTGCAGAGGAATCGGGGGTCTTCGCCTCCTCAACCTTTGCTGCCGCGGCCTCACCGTTGTTCTTCTTTAGCTTCTTGATCTGCTTCTTGCTGAGCTTTGGCTCTTCGGTTTCGGGCTTCAATGACTTGGCCATGATATCATCCAAAGAAGCAGCCTCCTCAATCTCGTCAGCGGCGCGCTTGTTCTTGCCTTTCTTGTCTGCCTTGGTAACGAGCTTTGGAGCTTCCTCTTCGTCAGACTCGATCTCAGTGATGCGTGGGTTCTCCAAATCATCCAGTTCGTCCTCCTCATCGTCCTCTAGAAGGTCGAGCTCATCCTCATTTGGAGACAGATCGTACTCATCATCCTCGTCATCGTCAGAGTCGTAGACTTCGTGGTGGTGGTTGTGTCCATCGTCGGGGATAACAAAGTTGCCAGTAAGGTAGACGGTGTGAGTACCGGTAACTTTAAAGTAAACCTGCTCGTTCTCGCCAACGGTGATATCCAAGGTTTGTTGGTAGTGCTGAAAGTCTTGTCAGCTGGTTGATACAACGTGCTTTGAAAAAAGACTCTTACCTTCTCTGGGTCCAAAGTGCACAGAACAAATTCTTCAACCTCAAGCTCTTCCCCAGAACCCTCACTATCGTCGTCGCTATCTTCCTCGTCATCGTCGGTGGCCTTGGACTTTCCCTTCTTGTCGGCTTTACCATTGACGGCATCCTCCATGTCCTCATCAGAGTCTTCAGTAGCACCGATAGACTCCATGAGTTGTTTCAAAGCAGCCTCCTTACGAGCCTTCTTGGACTTGGCTGGGTCACTTGGGCCGCCATTAGCTTCCTCGTCAGACTCGCTTTCGTCTTCAGAGTCACTCTCAGCCAAAAGAGCGCGCATATCCTCGTCGTCCTCATCGTCCTCATCATCCTCGTCACTAGTGCGGATGATCTTCAAGGTAGCGCGAGGAATAACGGTACCATTGGCACTGTCGTCGTCGGACTTTGGAGCTTCGGTAGGGTCGATAGCAGCCATGGTGATTCGGAACTATGGTATTTATGCTTAGCAGAAGCTCCATTAGACTGCAAAAGCCAAGATTTGCAATTTGAAAGAGGAGATTTTGTGAGATAGAAGAAAGTCTGGAAGCAATAGGGAAAAGAAGAGATTGCGCAAACTCACAGAGGCTGGGAAGTCTGGGGTTGCTGGAACCATGACATCGCCACAAGGGACCTCAAGCCCATAGAACGCGACTGTGTTGGTGGTTAGATGATGTTTTGCGACTGACAATATACACAATAGATGCGGGCAGGCAGCAGGCAGCGGGGACCAGCAGCTAAGCTCTGAGCTATGCGAAGCGACTTACCTGGAGTGAAAGGCATGGTGATGGTGATGGTGATGGTGATTGCGATTGCTGGAAGATATCCAATCAAAATATCAATGCGACCGCTGGAGGTTGTCGCTTTACACGGGCGATGCGAAACCTGTGAGGAAGTCTTCAAGTTCTTGGAGTTGAAGAAGATCTGAGCAGTGTCGTACAAGAAAAATCTTGGAGAGGACGAACTTTTCAGAGACAAATACACCAGGGTGGGTCCACCAGGGTCCTGATAAACGATAGCAGCCTCAGGCTGATAGGTACATTAGCGTTAATGGGGGACCCACTAATCTGACTACCTAGCTGCCGTTGCTACAGCTGCAGAATTTCTTTTTGCTTGGCACGATCCTCTTTCACCTGCAAGTGCAACCTATCAAAGCCCCGCAGCTGTAATCCAATGGACTTATTTCTTGAACTATCTACTGTTTCTATCTTTCTTCAGCTCTACAGTATTTCAAGGCGTTTTCTCTTCTTTCAACTCCTTTCTCTACTTGAAGTGCTCTCTTTCTCTTCTAGTTCAACCTTTCTCGCCTGAACTAGAAGAAACACCCAAAAGATCAGACTGTCAGACTAGCTAGAGTAGCTATAAACTAGTCAGGTAACTGCCCATCACAAGTATAGACCAACAACAGGACTTGCAATCGAGTATGCATGTATCCAATTCGAGTTTTCTCTCAATTGGTTACAGAAAAGCTCGATGTTTCTTACAATAGATTAGATTATACTCTCTCATCATAAACTCGCATTCATGTCCTTTTATCCTTTCCTACAAGTTCTTCTTTGGTCTACCATTTCCAAAAGTCGCAGCTTTCAAGATCTGCCACAACCACCATACATTATTCAAAACCTTACCATTAGAGTAATGAACTCCCTTCTCTCCAACATCCGCCATGGCCAACACAGCCTCTACTGCCGGGCCGGGAAAGTGATGTCTAAGATATGCCGCAACCATTTCCTGACCGTTTGTAATTCCACCTATGAGTACTCATTATCAGTACGCCATACAAGTACCAAAATTTGAATGAAGATGAGCAAGAAACGGAAGAGTCAAGAAACAATCAAAGACACAAAAGTGAAAACGTACCACTACTCCAAACATTTCCATCCCTCACCCACCTCCTCCCCTCTTCCCACGAAGTCTCCGGATACCTCTCCCTCAACCCCCCCACAATCCCCCTCGGTCCACTCGCCCGTCTCCCATTCAGCACCCCCGCCTGCGCCAGCAAACAACACCCCGTACAAACACTCAAAACATGCGTCTCCTCCCCAGCATGCCTACGCTGGAAATCCAACACAGGCTCTTCAAAGGGCTGAAAGGGAGGCGGACCAGGAACGAGCAGAATGTCTAACATTCCTGGTTGGACCTCAGGGTCGAGCATGCTTTTGGAAACGCGGAGGCACGCCGAGGCTGTGAGTTTGATGTGGTCTGTTGAGGGCGTGGAGATGTAGTGGATGGTTGAGGGGATGCCGAGGGATACTATGGGTGTTGGGAGGGTGCAGGCGGAGAGGTAGGTGGGGGATAACATGGCGAAGAGGTCGATGGGGGAGAGATCTAGGAGTTGGACTGTACCGGGTATGAAAACCCCAATGCGTAGGTGTTTGCGTTTCTGTGGCGCCATTGAAACGGACTTTCTGTATTTGAGAACTCTCTAGTTGTGTGATTTCTCCTGATAGAGAATTTGTGTAATTCCCATTGTTTGATCGAGTTCATTGCGGTGGTTCTCATCGATGGGTGTTATACACCAAGCCGGATATCCCAAAATAAGCGACGTTGGATTTACGGATATACAAAAGAAAACACTTGAAGACATGACCGGATATCGCCAACTGCACATTCGGAAGCAACTTCTGGACGCGTACTTCAACACAGAATTCAGTCCAACTCTCGGGAACCAGCTAAACAACAAAAACGAATAATCCCAATAATCCACAAGATCATCATCAAACAAACCCGAAGCCACCATACAACATCACGCGGCGAAAGAACCAAATACCAGTAAATACCACAATACCCTATGAACCCATCACCAAAAACTCGCACAACATAAAAGCATCATCGGTCCGACACTTATATCACGAACAATGTTTCAATACAGTACCACCAGCACCTTCATACTTTCCCACACCCACCCGCTGAATCCCATTTAGAACTCGTACACCTCCGAGACACCACACCCAACAACAAAACTCTACCCACAAAACTAGGTAAGGTCAAAGTTCGAGTCTAAAAGCCTCCGAAGCTCATGATGATCCTGTTCGACAAGGATACTTGGGTAAATAGTTTCCAAGTATTTCCAGGTAGGATCTTCTCAGCCACGTTTTTCAGATTAGTACTCGTGGCTCTGTTTCGTGAGGATGTTCAACGCCTGCCGCGTACTTTTGTGTGTCATATTCGTCTCGGTTCGTCCTTATATTTGATGGGCTGTGTATGTCGATAGAACAGGATAAGAACTAGACTGCGCTTGTGAAACGACAGCTAGAAGGATGAGATAGCTGGAAGGATGAGATCAGCCAAGCAGTGGCAAGCACCATCATGGGATCGTTATTCATGGGAGCAAGTATACAGAAAAACAAAGGATGACATAATACGCATATGGAAGAAGAAATCCTGTAATAATAATTATGATTCCTGGCCTAGGCAACTTTTGTTCCACCGCCGGTACTTTCAAAGACAGTAATATTGTACACAACCATTCGTTCCTCATGCAGATTCCTTGGACGCCAGACATTGTCACAAATTCTGCCGGGATCCATAAGCATTTTCGTAGCCTCAAATTCTTCTCCCCACTTCTCCCAATCTAGTCCACGCGTGCATTCTACTTCCATTCCATTCCCTTTCTAAGCATATCTCTTTCTCGTCGGCTCCGGGCTAGGACTTCTGCTCTGACTTCTCTCGTCGCGACCACGCATCTTCAACCACTTCTTCGTGCTCAACTCCAGCTCGCGATCCAACTCTGCACTGGGATTCTTCCTGTGGATGAAATTACAGAAGCCCCCTCGAACACATCCCTCTCCGCTGTTCAACCTACAGCAGGCTTCTCGAAAATCTGTAACGGGCGAAAGTTCGCAGTAGATAGGGCGCGCGGCGTACCACCGGCTATTGAGCGCATCGCATGCCTTTTGAGCGGAGTCCTCGTACTTGAATCGCGCATAAACATTTCCAATAAGATCTAGAGAATCCCAGTGTTAGTATTTTTGCATGATTGTTGGGTAACCAAAGGGGGAAAGACATACGGTCATTATTGTTATCACAAACTACCACCTCTTCAATCTCCCCAAATTTACACATCTCGCACCAGAAATCCTCGTAGAATGCGTCAAAGTGGTTCTGCAGCTGGCTGGCGTTCATCTTGTTCTTTGGGTCGTACGCGGGGTTCTGGTAGAGGTTGGGGAGGAGGATAGTTTGCGAATATGAGGGCTTGACGTGCTTTCTTGAGCAGCGATCGCCATGGCGACAGGCACCGATTTTGTAGTAAAAGGAGCAGTTGACTTTGTCGGCCTCTGTTCCGAAGATGGACGCGAGATAGTTGGCCATATTTTGAGTGGCGAGTGGTGAGAAGAGATGTGAGGATCGCGACCGCGGCTGTAGGGGCTTCGCGTGGGAATGCGCGCTTTGTAGAGATTCGTTCGCAGAAACCCTTTCTTGTCGTAAAACGGCTATTTGTTAGATGGGACTTTTTTGTTCGCTGGAGGTTGTTTGGATATCTGATGCGATTTTTTGATGGGGAGCTAAGGTTCCCAAGTCTGTAGAGCTAGGCCTCTAGAAAGGGACTAGCTCCGCTTCCCTGAGGTCCAAGTGCCTTCGGTTGCTTAATAAGCGAACCTAGACTTCCAGAGACTTCCAGACGTCGTTACTTATTAAATTCTATTTGATACTATAATTGCCACCTCAAGTTTTCGTCGCACCAGTACTCGGTATCCATCAGATGACATCGCATCTTCTGTCGCCTTTCTATTGGTAAGAACTTACTAGCTGTACTGTATTTGAGTACAGTACAGTATTACAGTTGATGAAACCAGATTATGCCGAGAAAGCCGAACCCAATGCTGTTCCTGACTCCAGCTCTCGGTTGCGGTATATCACCAGTTTCTTACCGATTCGAAAACATGTCGCTTTGCTAGGATAAAAGTAAGTGGCACCCAAAATCAGGTTGCCTACCAAACCTCCAACATGGACCTGGCTCTTTGTATATAATGCAACACCCATAGCGGTTGCTTACGATGAACGTCCAACTGCTTCATCGTAGTTATACTTCTCACGAAACTGAAGATATTGTTTAGACTAAAGAGATTTGCGCGATAAGAAGTGTGGTGGGATGGTATCAAAACCTGCTGGGCTTTCGTCACTTTGTGATGGAAGGTTAAGACAACAGACCTATTTCGAAGTATGTTTTGATATAAGTAGAGGACTTCTATTGAAGTCTCTCAATCTAGACAATAATCAACTCCATGCAGCTGTCTTCAATACTTTGCGTCTATCCTCATCCAGGAAGTTACAGATCACCTCGTGGACATTCAAGGTTGCGATAAAAAGAAGTAGTGTACTAGTGTTTCATTTTTCTAGAATCCCTGGACTCTCTGGCTATTACTCCCCTACATATTTCGATTCAATGACTTGAATTTCCTTGGAATGTTAGGAAAAAAATTGTAGTTGTTCTAAACAGTTAGTAAAACGATGCATTTGCCCTAGAAATTTAGAACAATAATGATAATTTACGGCCTTTATCATGCCCATAGGCTGCAGGTCTACCAGTATCATGACTTATAACTAGGGAAAAGAAAGGTCACCGTAGATGATATAAAGAAAACTTTGTGTTCAAGTTACTCTCATCTGTTCATAATTCATTGCTCCTCAAACACCCCATTATATTATACAATTGCTGAAAATAGTTTCATAAACAAAAAAAATCTACGCTAGGTAAGGTTAACCTCAAGTAATTCAAGCTGATACAAAATGAAAGAAAATTGGATTAGCGGCAGCAAACGAGCGGCTGGCCATGATGTCAGGCTAAGAAACAAAACATAAGGAGAAAAACAAGAAATCCAAGAATCCGAAAGCTCCAACTTAGCGATAGCCAATAAAATACAGGAGGGTACAGTTAGTAGTAACGGTAATCTAGGATTGTGCCCTCCATCAGAACTTTCCCATACCCATGCTTTGCTCAATATCGTATCGCGAATCGGCGGTGCTCACTCTCTGCAACCCCTCTTGGTGTCGTATGGCAGTAGCAAGATGATCAAAGATCAAGTCCTCCTGTTCAGGGACAGCATCTTTGCGAGGGGCTTTATCAGATTCTGATGGAACCTGCTTGGAATCATATGGCGACGAGATCTTCCATCCGTATCGTTGGAATCTCTTCTTGACTGCGGCATTCATTCCCGCAAATCGGAACTCGACGATATCCCCACCGAAGTCTCTCAATTCCTTCTTAACTTGCTCCAGCATCATAATGGCAGAGATATCGAGGAAGGAACAAGCCGTGAAATCGATAATGACAAGGCGTAGGCGTGTTGTTTCGGCCCTGTTGACGCCATGCTTGCGACGAAGATTTGCAATGTAATTGTCGCGGTGAAAGTTCCAGACGCGCTGCGCATACTGTCGTTCTGTGGGAGGAGATCCGAAGAAATGAATGAAGATTTCATTCATCATGTATTTCTTGATTCGTGGAGCACTCATGTATGTCAAATCGCGCGGGATTGCGATGATCTGTGTTCCGTCAGGGACCTGTTCTCCTATCGACCATACGGATTCTTGGCCATTTCGCTTTTCAATGTCGGCGCCGGAAAGTGGGAGTGGCTTGGTTGAAACATTTCGGAAGATGGTGTACATGGTAGAAATGAAGAGGCCTCCCAAGATACCGATTTCTCCAGATGCCATCATAGCTATGTTGAATGACATCAACATGACCATGAAGTCCGCAAAGGAAGTCTTAAAGTGGACACCGAGAAGAGCCATCGGGGGAGCAGCTTCCAGTACAGTGATGAGGGTCATACCAGCAATCACGGTGTTGGGGATATAACGTAGCCATCCCGGGCTGAACATGGCGACAAGAACCGTAGCCGATGTAAACAAACCGCTCAAAGGACTTTTGGCACCAGCTGAGGCGCTGAAGCATGATCGAGCAAGGTCGCTTGAAACGGGTCCACCTCCGAAAAGAGAGTTCATCAAATTGGTGATGCCGAGAGTAACCAATTCCTGGCTTGGGTTGATTGCATACCCTTTGGACGTCCCAAAAGATCTAGCGAGAGCAACGTGCTCAAGGGCTGTACCCAGGGCAATCCCGATTGTTCCCATGAATAGAGATGACAGCATTTTAGAATTGGGGAGTGCAGGAGACTTGAGTCCTGTATTGCTGGGGCCAATCACCTGCCAATATGGCTCTTTTCGACTGTTGTTGAGACCATAACTCACCCCGGCAAAGATGGTGATCAGTATGATATGTTTGAGACTGGCGGCAAGCCCAATCATTGGTTTTACCCTTGCCAGTTTACCCGCAACAATGCCAATCACTACCATGAGAACGATAGTCGCTACCCCCAATCCGACGGAGGCTCCATTTGTTTTTCCAATCTTTTCAATCATCTCACCCATTACCTTTGACAGAACCGGGGTAATGCCCGTCAAGCCCAAAATCACTGGAATTTGCAGCAGGACGATGATCTGTGTAATTCCCATAACAAAGCCATCGAAGACAGGATTCGAAAACATGGTGAAGATGAAGCCGAAATTGAGGAGACCGAACAACAAAGACCAGAAACCCACCCCAAAGGAAACTACAGCCGCAATTATCGCAGGCGGGATTGGCTGAGGCGACTTTTCCTCTATCGTTTTGATAAGTCCGGCGGTGGCAAGAGACGAAGCCAAACTTGGGCCCAAGCTCATATCTACAATTGTCAGACAATGCCCTGTGTAATTGGAATCCAAGAAAATCTTATACCTTTAGAGGTTCCCATGACAGCATATATAAGACCCGGCAGCCAACTTGACAACAGTGCTGTACTCGGTTTTCCACCCGTAAAGACCGTAACTGTGAGCGATTGGGCAACAAGAAGCAAGCCAACCGAAATTCCAGCAATCATATCGCTAATGATGAACTTGGAGGAGTAGTTTGGAAGCCATTTGACGATCGGAACCTTCGCGACGAAATATCTCGCAGCACCAGCGCCAAACCCCCTCCCCAATCGAGCGATGCCGGCACCTGCTCGAGAAAAGTTGGGATCCATCGCCAACATCATAACTACTTTGTTAGGCATGATGGGCAAGAATTGAAAGTAAGCCTATTGCCCGTCGATGGCGTAAAGGTGAAAAGGAAAGGAAATAATAAGAGGAAGGGAGAAGTGAAAGGTTGTGAAAGAAACATTCCCCGAATAAGATATTTTCGATACCAAAGAGAAATAACCGGTACTTCTGTATTTGATCTCCCCGCTTTCATAAAGCAGGGGCCTTCTCGGAGGGCCATCCGTATAGAGTAACTGGTACGTTTCAGAATAGAGACGTTTGGAAGCATTTTTATCCGCCTACTTGGATGGATATGCTTTCCCCAGCATACCCAGTCTAACAATAGCAGGGTAAGAATAAATCCATCCAGGGGGAGACGACATGGGTCAAAGTAATTACTGTAAGAGCCATGGAGAAATGGATCTAGCCCAGCTTGGCTGCGGCTGCTTCCTCCTCGCAGAAGCCCCACAAGGTTAGGTTGGGCCTGGGATAGGCTTCGCTTGCCGTCTCGCAAGACCCGGTCCGAAAATGTAGAAGTTCTGGCTGACGCGGAATTCGCAGCTCTATGCTTGGGGATGGAGACTTGATGGCTTATTCCAGTAAAACAATCTCGATCCAAAATAGAAAGGAGGCAGATAGACGACCAAATAGGGCGAATGTTTATGGTAGAAATTAGTTCATATAATTTGCCGGAACAAACATTAATCAATAGTGATCAGATAGATGAGAAGAGCCGTTGACAAGAATCAACTAGTGGAAAGCTTCGATGTTCAACTGCTGAGGGACTGTCGTCCATACTTCGCACTTGTTATGCATGGCGCAGTACTAGTAACTGGCATTGCTGCACCGTTTTGAGATGGAACTCGTCCAAAGGTTGTGAAAGGTGTTCGCAGTGCCAGACCGGTGTGATAGAGTTTGCGCTGGTGTTGCCCATTATACCCATTGGCGTTTCGCTTTAGAGCCGCTATTCTTGCTGGTGGCTGGTGTTGGTGTGAGATGAAGATGAAACACATGGCATTTACGGGGATGTTCGCTTGGTGACCAGCATTTGGGGGGCACCCATGGCTGTCCCCTTTTGAGACCTAACATGCTCCTGATGGATAATAAAAGCAGCCGTAGACGTAGATTTACTTGCCGTAAACGGACTTTTACTTGTAGAAGTACATTTCTATTGCTGCAGTTCTAGAGCCATGACAATTTGACCGATCGCCTAATCTGTGTTTACAGTATACTTTCAGTAGTTGTTTCCACCATCAAAGGCTTTAAAAAATCAATATTGGCCTTCAGCTAATGACGTATAAATTTGCTTCTGCCAAAGCAACCTGGGAATTACCTTCACGGTCCGAGAGTATCAAACCAACGGTGGGTTTTTGATGCTGCTTTAACTATTGACTGCCGATATTCGCTAAGCCTTGGGAAACCTTGGAGATCCTTGGGAGATCCTTGGGTGGCTCCACTCGTCTTCCCGCTAGTGGAACAGAAACGAGAACTCTGAGAACATCATCACTATACGGCATCCACGTCTAATGGCCCACGCGCTGTCTGGGGAAGCGAACAGTATCTCCGCCTCGGACAACGCCTCTCACTCACCGGATCATCTTATCGGAACGAGTCGCCTTTGATGGTGGTGTGGTGATGCCGCGAGTTGGGACGGTCGGGTACATACATTCTCATCTGAGAGCGAACGCGGCAGGACGCTGGACGAGAACAGCGAGCACCCTGTGATTTGGGGAGGAGGAATATCACGCATGGGACAATCGAGACAATGTCGTCCGCAGCGGAAGCAAATATCTCTGCAGCAGCATTGGCAATCGCGCTCGTTGCTCTCTTTACAGCTCTTGGCCAGTTAATACAGCAGTATTTCGCCACTGCAGACGGGTATCGACGATGTCAGAAATCGGTCATGGGCGGCTATTCCCGCCACACTAGACTTCGGTGGAGATGGCGCGAATTCCGTTTCGAAACGCTATATACAGTCCCCAAGATCTTTATGGTGGGGGATGGCGCCCCAAGTCGAATTGAGCAGGTCTTGTTGACAGGCAGTGCCTTAACCAGGGAGAAATCTCTGGTTCCTTGGGAACGGCGCAATGGTGAATCATTGGGACCTTTCCACGAAACGCCGCAACAACTGGAGGCTCGGCGAACACAAAATGTAGGGGTGTTTTGTTACTGTTGACGTAAACCCACTGTTTCAACCCGAGTTTTCGTCTTTTTCTTTTTTCTTTTTCTTTTTGTTTGCCACTTGTATACAAGTATATTTTCAGTCCGCAGTTCACATGCTTACTCCTTGTGCTAGTGGTTAGCTAAAGGTGTCAAACCAAAGCCCTCTGCTAGCCATAGCGAGAAAGTCTGTTGGCTATCATTTCTGAGCATGATTCACGAAGCGACCTTCGCCGCGGTGAAAGAGCTACAGATCCATAAGGATACTGTTTATGCACCACCATAAAAAGTGAGAGTTCCATGTATAGTATTCAGCGAAAAGTCCTGGGATTTTGTCCCGCCAGATGTAGTTCGACCTTTAGCGGAAACAACACTGTCTGACATATCGGTGATAGCGCGAAGGATGGGTATGAAGTGGAAGGACTTCCGTCCATCGGACGGCATTCTAAGAGCAGAAGGTCACTCTCACATCATCACGTCCACCATGGTACGTAGCGTTGGCATCGTTCTACATTATTTTTACACAGGCCAATGGCAGCGCTTAAAAAGAGCAGACGCAAATCTTCGACGGGCGGTAGCCGGCTCGCTGTTCGTGGAACAAGAAGAAATTTACATTCCTTCGGCCAGAGCTGATCGTCTTGGTTGTGGTGTGATCAGGACGGAGCCCTTATTTGGGCTACCAGGTTTCGCTGTTTCTACACAACGTGAAATTGTCACTGCCCTTAGTTTTCTTGACGGAAGTGGTGTATCCTCTGCAGTTTTGAGTAGGCTTCTGAAGGAAACCCCAGAATTCCACTTTCGTGTTGCTGATCTCGTGGCTTTTGGGACACCTTCTATTCGAAGGAGAGGCTCCAGTCTTGTTCAAGTACCTGCTCCAAGTGACAATGTTCATGGGGTAATAACAAGTCCCCTTGCCAGGCGAGCCTTCTGTCTGTTTCTCAAACAGTACATTAGCTCTCAGCCTGAAAACTTCGGACAAGAAGCTCGCCATGTACTTGAAATATGTCAAGATTTCAGCACTAAATATACTGATTGGGACTCTGGCGAGGAAGCGACAGGCCGTTCTATAAAATGGGTTGTGAGGAGGGATAATGTTTATCTGGATAGTGTACAAGATATTATGGACAACCTTACAAGCAGGCTATACAACGAAGGGTCGTCATTCCGGTACGCAGACTTATTGGCTCTTCACATCAGGCTTGCCATGCTCTGTGAAGGCGGAGAGACCTCGATATTGCGTAACTGTGGCACAGACTATGCTGCGGATATTCAGGTTTACTTTGACCAGTTGCCTAAGATTGTGGATGAGATGGAGAAGAAGGGCGTGAACCGACTACATTGTGTCGATATGTGGTGTTGTATGATGCTTAGAGGTATGTGTTGGGGGGCTTGTCATTTTTTCGTTCCAGGTGAAAGGGTACCAGTGCAGTACTATGGCAGTCAATTACCAGTCTATATGGGTTGATGAATATTAAGGCGAAAAGATGTTCGTATTTGATGTGCATATCAGATCCAATGCTTATTCCGGAGTTTTGCACGCATTTTATTATTGAAGTTAATAAGCGAGGCTAGTTGTTTTCATTTTAAGCAACATCAATCAAACTTATTCTTCATTGTTAGGATAACGAAATAAAAACTCAAAAAAGAGCACTTACAGGAAGACCTTAAATAATCATCGCAGTACCTCGTTCTGTTGCACTTAGCTACTCAATTGATTAGGCATTCCAGTATTTGTATAGTCAACAAATCTTTCACGCTAGGAGTAACGTTGACAAGGGTTCTTGCATATGGGCCTATGGCTGGGTTAAAATATTGCACGTGGGTTGGACATGAAAATGCCAGCCCAAATCTTTTGCGAAAGTGCCTGAACATTCGCTTCGCTGCCGTTCCCAGCCATCTCACACGGAAGGTGTAGGGTGGAAGACCATAAACTGCAGCTGCCTCGGCAACCGAGAATCTCTTGTTCACATTCTTCCAAGTTACCACCATGCAGAAACCTCAGACTGCCTTCTGGACGACATTGGTCATTCAGACCATAGTTCTGGCCTTGCCTACCACACCTCGCACACCATCTGTGGCTCAATTCGCTTTACAGAAGGTATTGGAGGATGCATCTCCCATTTTTGGGGCTTACGCCACCATAAGCCACAGCCCCACGGCAGATTGAATGAAGCTTTACCCAGACAAAATGCCCATCACCCAAATGAACTTACCAGGAGCACATGATGCAGCAACTTGGAATTACACAATAGAGAGCTTTTGACGCCACTAACACCACTCTGGTCTTCTACCATGGCCAAGCTCTTCAATCCGAGAAAACAACCGTGGAGGACCTCTTGTTTGGGCTTTATGCATGGCTCGATGACCATCCATCTGAGACTCTCATCACGTCTTTTCAATATGAAGGATCAACCAAGAAGTACGCTGCAAACGATGCGGATGTCCAGATGGAAATGTTCAGAACACTCACTTCGCCAGTAACTCGAAAATATTATGTGCAAAAGAAAGGCGAGCTTGGAACCTTAGGTGAAGCTAGAGGAAAAATCACGCTTTTCAGACGATTCAACTTGGATAAACTTCCAAAGTCTTACGAAGATGCACTTCCAGGTCTCCACTTTCCACCAAGCCTATGGTCTGACAACGGGTTGGACATCGAATTAGCCTACAACGATGAGAGAAACCTTACCGCGTACATCGAAGACTTTTACGAACCTGGAGGCCCGATTGGTTCTTCTGCGGCATACAACATAGATCTAAAATTCAATGCTACAGTATCACACCTAGAAAAGGCAACAACTCATTACCCAGAGAGTTTGTTTTGGACATGGGCTAGCAGCGAATGTGATGCTAATATCCCACCTGATTATCCTCGAATAATGGCTTTAGGAAACGGGACGGAATTGACGCCTTTGGGTGGGGTAAATCAGAGGCTGTTGCCAGTGTTGAAGAGACTGCAAGGAAAGAGACTTGCGATTGTGATGCTTGATTTCTTTGGTACACCAGGCAATCTCGTTGAGACCATACTTGGTCTAGATGAGGATTGATTTGCTGGAGCTCCTTGACGGGGGATATTTTTTACCAAATTAGTATTAGTGTTATTCTGTGAAATATCTTCACATGCATTCTTAAGGCGAGTAAAGGAGAGTTCGTCTTTGATGATTATGTATGGCAATTCGGATTTTATTTATGCCGAACCCACTAGCTGCGTGTTGAGAAATGCCAGAGCTTGTTTTAAGAGAACTAGGGAAATCTCACTGAGCGCTTATATGATGAGTCGTTTCTTGCTGCGGCTATCCTGTTATATTATCCTAAAATTTACGCGATCAGATATCATTTGTACAGCCTGTTGTCATGTATAGTACAGCAAAGCGTGGAACAACACTGTTCAAATATTGTGGAAGCTAACTTGAGAGTATGAAGTTTGGTGGTAAAAGGTATAGCGATACAAAACCATCTACATTTCTGAAAGGATTTTATGGTTACAACAATGTTTATGACAACAAGCTGCACAACAGAGTAGCAGCCTCTGTGGATTTGGCTGAGTAGTAAAGTCCTCCTATTTCAGAAATGCTAAGAGTCAGAGAGTGGCTTTACCACCTGGGTTTGAGACTGACTTGCTCAAGAGTATAGTACTTAAAACATGGCCTCTCATCCACAAGTCAGAATTGGAAGAGCTCGCCTAGCTTGAAATACACATAATTTGGTGAAAGACAATGAGTAAAATTCTACAGGCAGAAGGTTCACTGGTGCCAATATCAAAAATGTTCAATTCCAACGGAACACAAGCGTTCAATGAATCAAAGACGACAAGGAGAATCTAAACTTAGAAAGCGGATCCTTGATTCTAATGATCCCTTCGAGCAGTGTTGCGGTTGGAGTGGTTAGACATCAACAGAGATTTTCCTTCAAGCTGCCATGCCATGTACGGTTATTCTGATCCCCAAAGTAAATCGATCAAGGCACAGAATGTATCCGAGTATTGGTTAAGGGTATTGTAGAGAAAGAAACGTTTTGAAGTGGAAAGTCATGGATTAAGTGAGCCGAGAAAATCTTGACTTGACGCTTCTCGAGACCCGATCTTATCTGTCGTGTAGCTGGTGTTCCTCTTCTTGTAGTTGAAAGATTAGGTTATCCCAGGAAGTCTTATGAGAAGAGGATATCTACAACACGTGATTTCCCAAAATGGTTATTTTATCCCTGAAGAGCGGTTTAGATAACAAGCGCAACATCTCTCTTGCAAAGTGTCCACCACAACAGCAATTTCCCCTGCAACGCCTCGCGGACGAGAAGGTAGACTTCTGCAGCCGCCTACCTGATCTGGTCGAAATGTCCCTAGCCATTCGCCATTCGTCATGGCACAACGCAGAAGTTGGAATTGGCACAATCCGCGGTGGACACCAGAACCCCGCATTTCTCATCCCGCCTCACCCCGGAGCCTACCCTCACGCTCACGCTGACCCTCCACCACAGTGACATTGGGGGGTCGTGTCGTATCTGAGCGAGCGAGCAAGTGCTGCTGTTGACGGACGGACGGATTGACCTGCCTCTGCCCTGCCAGCCCTCACACTCAAGCCAGACGCAGAGCACATGAGCGGCGTTCCTGGCATCCCAGACTGGTGACGAGGTGGTAGAAATCGTGGAAAGCTGCGGTCGGGGGGCGACGGATTTTTCCATCCATCTGCTTGTCCTACATGGCCACAACTACGAAGCAAATCCACGTCTACTACGTCGTACCTCGTCTGGGGAGCGACAGCAGCTGTCACTTTTCAGTCCATCCTCCTCCTCCCGCTTCCAACAATCCAGGTGCGGCACTTCGATTTCTGTCTTGTGCTAAGTGGCTACGCCGCCCGCAAGCTCTCCCAGCGCGGAACTGGCCACTTGCCCCGTCGGATTGCTTTTTCCTCTTTTGTGCAAGTCTTTTGGTGGTCTTTTGTGGAGTACGAGTCCCGTTGTCCACAATCACCACTGCTAATGTGGGGTCTAGCGTCCTGGATCTCCTGATTTACAGAGGCCTGTCTTGCCATGATAAAAGGGGTGCGTTGCTGAATCTCTTGTATATCATATTGGAGACGGACTGCCATTGTCTGGCCTCGGGAATGGTCCTTTAATTTTGTCCTCTGTTACAATTTCAGGATCCTGTTGAAATTCTCCAGATTCAGCCGGTTAAACAAGCATCTCTTCGTCCTACCATGTATTCTTCTACCGTCCCAAATCCATGGCTGCTGGGTCTCGGAATAGCATGCTTGCTTTCAACAGTGTCCATGTTTGCGATCAATAAGCGCCCGAGATCTTTGGTGCTCAAAAGATTTCGCTTTGGTCGACGACGTGCTTCAGCTGCTTCGACACCACCACGTTCTATCTCGCCAACCAAGGCCGTCAACATCAATGCGAAAGGACCCTTGTCGGCTATCAGCCCCATTCCAGACTATATTAATACGTTTCCGCCTTCACGGCGGCAAGTACTTCGCCAACTCTCCAAAACTGCGTCAGCATCAAATCGAAAGATTCTGAATAGCTCTGATCCTACTCCAGAAGTTTTGGCCAAGAACGCTCTTCCCATGAATCAGCCTTATACCACGGAGAACGGAAAACCAAAATACACACCTATGGGATTTTCCACTGATGAGATTCGGGCGATGGGCGATTTTCCAGACTACAGCATTTTGACGGAAGTTCCGGACCCTAGACCATATAAGGATTTTGACCCCGTCAGAGCACTTGCACGACCGTATCGACCATTTCGATGGGCGTACCATCAGACTATGTGTAGGTGAAGTGGTCAGATATCCATATATATACGTTAACTAATTCTTGATAAGCTTTGACCAAGATGGAGCCAGATTGGTGGTTGGAGATTGACAACACCTATACTTCAGTCATCAAGAAACGCCAACAACTGTTCAGGGACCATGGTAACAAAGTTCTCGACTTCCTACCAGGATCCGAGCTTGTTTGCAAGGAATTAATGGAGATGTGTTTACGATTTTACTGCGCCCGGTATCCGAGCTACTTCTCATTATCGGCAGACAATACCACCTTTCACAATGCTCTCCTCAAAACCAAGACCGAAATCAAGAGCATGCATCCCCTCCATGTTCTTCTCAATAATGTCCCTGAGGATTTCGCCATTGTCTTGCGTAACGAGACTGATGGGATGTACTACATGCGCGCTGGGGTTATCTGCAGCTCACTTGGTTGGAACGTGAGTACCAAGATTGGTCTTCAGCTTCGAGAAATCCATGCTCCGATTCCAGATTACAAGGAAAAGATGCAATTCAGTATGGATCGGTACTTTAGCAAAATGCCAACGAACGCTCCCATTCAACGTGGAAGTTGGGGTCTTGAAGTCGGCACGCCACTCTTTATGCCACCAGGTGACCCCCACGAAACGCTTCGTGAGTCTCAGAGTCAGGACTTGAAGATCGAGGAGTGCAATTTGCGAGTTGATTGGCAAACGTTGAGGAGGCTGCCATTAAGTGGTGGGGTGGTTTTTAATTTCACAGCTCTGTTCACTCCGGTGCAGGAATTCAGAGACGAGCCTTATATACCAGCATTAGTGTTGAAGATCTTAAAGCAGGGTAAAAAGAGTTTGATGGAGTACAAAAACACATGGCACGTCGAACATGTTGTCATCCCAGAGTTGGAAAAGTACGCCAAGGAACAAGTAGAGAATGGAATGGTTCGGGGGGAGAAAGAGGGTGAAGAGTGGGATGTTGCCACTTTGGAGGAGAACCCTTATTTTCCTGGATGGGAGGAGAAATGGCATCGCCAGCAAGGATACTAGGATTGAGAATATAATCGTGGGTTATTTGTTGGTTTATGGGTTGTAGACTTCGGGCCGCAGCATGTTCGACGACGCATGGCTTAACCGAGTTTCAACCACGCCATACTAACACTTGTTTGAAGTCTTGCTCCTAATTCCAAGTTCATACATTTTTAATATCTGTTATATAGTGGCTGTTGGTAGGGAAAAAAAGAGTAGAAAGAGCAGAAAGAACAGTCCACTTTTACTAAAGTCGTATTCCAATATTGTCAGTCTTTGAGGCCGGGGGAATATACGGTTCTTGCTCACAAGACGTTTTGCCACCTGGGTTCTTCACTCAGCGTTGCATTTGTTTTGGCAAGCAGGGGTTCAAATGGTGGCGTTCCCCGGTGAAATTGCTTGGTGTGCTAGAAGCGAGATTCCGCAACCAGAGTCAACGTGCGTTCCACTTTGTAAATTTCATAAGGATCTCTCCCAAGGTCACGGCAACAACGAATTGTAGGGATGGTTGTAAATTGGTGGTACCACTGTAATCTGATTCCCAAGTTATCTCTGAAAGATTGGCTGTTTTGGATCTGAAGGTCGGAAGACTTGCTATGCCTAAGCATCCATGCCAAGTTCGCTCGGTCAATAGAGGATTCATATATAGATCTGCTATGTTAGTTTGCTATAATTCATTACAGAAAATAAAAATCACGAAAATCAGGCATAAGGACGGCAAGAAAAGCATCGGCCATTTTATATAGTTCCCAACCCCAGAGGAGGTTTCATATATACTCACAACCATGAGGTTGGCATATAGGAATCAAAAACACACTTTGCGTGGCTCTCTTGAGCTGGACTTGTCATCAAGCGCGGTCGATCTTCCTGAAAGATGATTGGTCGGATTCCAACGGAATTCCCCTCCGCCGCCACTCACTGGAGCCATGGCGAGAAACATCATCTAGTTGAGAAAGGAAGGAGGGCATTGCCTTTGATTCTTGGACATGCGCCGTTATTTTGCACAGTTGCAGAGACTTGAAGCCCTTGAGTTGGCTTGCATTGGCTGGACGGATACCTGCTGCCCTACCAGGTCCTACCAGTGCCATACAGTTGGGTTTAGGCGACGCTTAGCGTCGTCTATCAATTGTGCACCAGGCAGGATGGGTATTTGCCACTTTCAAAAAAACGACCCCTATGACCCGAATTCGCCTCATAGCAATTCGGTTGCTGGAGGCGGGTAACGGTTAAGGGCTGGTCTCGCCAAAAGAGGGATGATGGGGATGGGTGCGGGTGCACATACATACATCTGATGGGTATGGCTACGAGTACCAAAGCTGCTTACTCTCAACGATGCTCGCGAAGCCGAGAGAACAACGCAAAACAACGCACCGCAACCATCCATCCAGAACTCACGAAGACCAGGCTCCGTCGTGAGGAGACGGGTTGAGGGCCGACCAGACGACTGAGCCATCGCCTTCCGGATTCGCACTGGCGAGCGTGGCGGTTTTGCGGTCAGGTGAGAGCGAGTGCTTGTGTCGGGTGAGTTCTGTAGATACAAGACCCTCTCGACCATGAGCAAGTAGAAACTCGCACCGCGACCTCCTATTATCGCTGGCACCGCTCCCACCATCACTGACGTCTCGTTGCGCCGCGCGCTCCCTTATTGTCATTGCCATCGTCGCTATAGCCAACGGCCACGGGTGTCTGACAACCGTGCTGTGATTGCCACCCGGGCCTGGAAGGCTCCTCGACCCTTCGAATAATGGAAGATTTTGCAGAGGAGAAGAAGCGAAGAGAGCCCAATTTGCTCTTGTCTTGACGCCAGTCTGCCACGCGGAGGCGGAGCGTTCGCCGGCAAAAGCTCTCACACTATTCGTTCTCGGTTTGGAAAACGTAGCTCGATTGCTTTGGATCCTTCAAAGCGACTCCATACAACGCAGCTCATCCATCGCATACAACCTCGCCACCGCTGCGAGCCACGTTCTGCCAGCCGCCAAAGAGCTGAGAGCGCATCCTCGCCGTAGCAAGAAGCCTCTGAAGCCTCTGAAGCCCCAAGCCCAGTCCGTCCAGCGATAATTGCCCCCAGTGCCACAGCGGAGATATAAACCGGCCACCACGCCAGCCGTTTGCGCTCTACAAGTATTTGTCGCCTGAGTCTGTGAAGAGGGGCGCTGTGGTCTGGTCCCGAGAAATCTCCATAGCCAGTTCCTAGTGACGCTTCAGGTACAGGACTACAGAACTCCAGTACGAGCACCAGAGTATCACGTAGTACGACTTCCCTGCTGTCGACCCAGAACGCACCTTCCGCTTCTCCCCAAAGCCCTCAGAGCCAGATCCGGATCCGGGTCCAGATTTAGATCCAGGGCAGAACTCAGCACTGAGAACGGGAAGGCGGCTCCCGTTGCTTTGCGTTGCATTGTGTTGCGCTACTACTCGTGCTGAGTTGAATCAGAACACAGAACACAGGGAGACCTGGAAAAACTGATCCGAACCCCAACCGCAATCCACTCCCCCAAGGCGCGCGAGTCTGGATATGAGCATCGCATGAACCATGGACTCGGCATCTAGCGCGACATCATCTCACCCCGCCCCCTCGCGAGTACAAAGGGGGGCCATCGCAACTCAGGTAAGCTTCGATTTCCTTGCGCTCTGTCGACAGAGACCTAACCTTAGACCCAACCCTTCTTGGCGCGGATGCTCTGCTCTCTATCACTAAGTTGTCGTTGTCTGGCCTGGCTGGCAGTGTGCAATGGGCACCCGCACCCAGAGAAAGCTCTGGAACTAGAACTGACGTGTGTGGAAAGGCGTGTGAGACGTGCCGACAGAGAAAACAAAAGTGTGACGAACAACGGCCCAAATGTTCCTCCTGTGTGCGGATGAAGCTGGAATGTAGGTATCGAGAGCCTCAACCGACAAAGTAAGTACCCTGCCAATCTGAAGAAGAAGAAAAAGACCCAAATATACACCCCACGGATCTCGGACCATGAGCCTAGCTCGTCAAAAGGCCCCGCCGAGAAACAGGAATCCTTGCGTTGTGTTGTGTTGTGCTGCGTTGTGTTTTGTTGCAATCATTGCGTTCATTACCCTTCTTTGGCCATCTAAAACCATCAAATGGCGACTTACTGGTAGTGCATAGGAAAGACAAAACCCTGGTTGAGATTCTGGAAAGGCTCAAAAGCCTAGAAAGCAAAGTTGATCGAATCCCCCTCCGGCCCCCGCTTCCGACGACCGGTTTCGATCCCTTAGTCTCATCCCCGTCAAGTGCGCCCTCTTTTAATATCGAGCCCGAAGATACCAGCTCTTCATATTCCTCCTTGCATCGACTTCCCCCCTTTCAGCCTAATCCTAGTAGCACTTCTAGGAACCCGCCGTACCGACATGCCTCAGCTGCTCATAAAATGCTGACATGGCCTGCTATTCAAAGAGTGTTGATACAAGCTAATCCGGAGAATGCTGAAGACTTGAAGACATTAGAAGCAGACGGTTCTGCATATGTAGTCCAGGTTCAGAAGGAAATGCTTTCTCTGCCCCTAGACGAAAGTCTGCCCAGTCAACCATTTGAGGGAATGCAGACACAGGAAACAAGAGCTTTAGGCGCGACAAGAGTTACCTTCCCAGATCTAACTCGGGACGTAATGACAGAGCTGGCACATTCGTACTTTGACACCTTTAACCTGCTCTACCCTTTTATGGATCGAGTAATTTTCGTGACTGACATCCTATCACAAGTACAATCGGAAGGCTTTGGTAGTGACACTATATCTGTTCTTGCGCTACTTGTATTTGCGCTGGGGGACCTGGCATCCAATGCAATTCATGGGCCGCCAATCGACACCTATAGGGGGCGTGGAAGTGGTGTTAGGGGGGGAACAACCCTAAAACCGCCAGGACTTGCTCTATTTAACGAGGCAAGAAAGCGTATGGGCTTCATTCTCACAAACTGCGATCTTGAGAATGTCCAGATATTTTCCCTAGCAGCGTACGTTGGCATCATCCCTTTTCTGTTCACAGATGACCAAGAAGAAGGTAACTTACACATGTTTGATAGGCTCTACTTTGAATCGTGTTCTCATCATCTGGTCTGTTTTCTTGGATCTCATCTGTAATCCTCAGGCTTTGACATGTGCTTACCTCGTAAAAAAATAGGATTTTTGGAGATTGACTGTCTCTGCTTCATTGGCTTGTCAAGTAATGATCACGTGGTACGTTGCCTTGTGTTCCCCTCCCTTCCATTTGAGTCTGAAAGCACTGACAGCTACAAGCAACAAAATTGACTGGAGTTCTCACAGAGGGGATATCACTAAACGTGCATACTGGCACTGTGTCATGATGGAAACGTAGGTTGACTTTAAACCGCCGATTGAACATTGTTGACAATGCACATAGGTGTTTGAATGTCGAGCTTGATCTGCCAACCACCGGTATAATGTCTTTTGAAAGAGATATTGGCATGCCTCTCTTTTCGGGTCCAATCAGCGACGAAGATGCCCATATCAATCAAAATACACAATTTGAAAAGCACTTTGCTTCCCAGATTGCATTGCGACGATTATGTGCAGAACTTCATCACGATATTAACGACTGTAAGTATTCAAGGTTGGATGTCTGTCCATCTAGTACTAAAAGAATTAGCGGTACGAAATATCAGCACTCGGCAATCTCAAGAGGACAATTACACCGGGCCTAATGCAGCTTCTCTGAAAACGCTTGCATTGCGGTTGACGGAGTGGAGAAGTATGCTGCCACCTGAGCTGCAATGGCCCGAGAACGACTTGATGTGCTTTCCTACGCCGCAAATCGTTTCTTTAAACCAAATGTTAGATCCGCGCTTATCACCGCAACAACCTCCACGTGCTCCTCTTTTCACGGCCAACCTAGATGACGAGCCTGCGTACTATCCATATTTGTACGACATACATGTTGCGTTGCTGAGAACAAGGTATTACTATGCCATGTATATGGTCTATCGACCTTTTGTATACAAAGCTCTTCATTTTCCGGAATGTATGACGACAGAGGACCAGAATGGAGCGGCGGAATGTTTGAGAGTATAATTCGCACCTAACTCCTACAAATCATCAACCCCATGCTAATTATGTCCACTACAGGTTTGCATCAAATGGCCCCTAACGCTATCACCGACTTCGAGGAGGAAAAGGATGGTTCCATATCTCTTCTACTGGTCACAAAATTTCCTTGGGATTCTCATTATGCTACATATGGCACGACATAGTCCGATGTTGAATAGCATCCGACAGCAGCGCTGCGGTCAGAACTTTGAACAGGAACTGGAGGTTTCGGTGGGTTTGATGATTGATTGGATCCGGGATCTCAAAACTGTCGATCCTATTGCGAGGTTTTGTTGGAAGATCCTTGAGGGGCTTTATCCTCTTCCTTGATGAAAATGAAACGTGGAAAGGAAAATAAAGGGATATTAAATGGAAAACTGTATTGACGAATAGCTCGCGGCTGAATGGTTTTTGGTACACGATGGGGGAGGAATACTCCCGCTTTTCTTTTTCTTTCCTAATTTGAGGGATTCGTTGGGTTGGGAGCAGGTGGGGATTAGGGCAGGTAGGGTACCTAGATCCTACGGGTGTCAGGTATGAAGATTGTCGTAACGGGACCTTTTAGGGGGAAATGCATAGCGTTAGATGGCAAAAGATTATGCAGGGGAATAGTTTTTTGTGGTTTTTTTTTTTAGTTGATTCCATATCCTTTTACAGTAGCTGGCGAGTCTTCATGTGGCGTTGTGAATCTTTTTTTTTTCAAAAATTTATTTATTGAGTAGTAATTTTGCCTGCCTTACTTTAGATCTTCTTGATAGACTGTTTTTTTTTTGCTTTTTGGTTGAGTATATACTGTTGTAGGTGCTACTTTAATGTCTCTACTGTAATTCGTTCGAAAATATGTGGTGGAACAGTGGGACTGATATGAGGTAATGTGAGGTTTCCATATCATATAGTACCTATAGCGTGGATTTTGTTTTATTTTGTTTTCTTAACCAGCAAGGTTTTCTGTGAGGTCTACTGATAAACCTGGATATAAGGATACTGGATATAAGGATAACCTCGTTTATACGAGTATCCTTAAATTTTGGGTCCCGATTTCTTTTTTTGGTATACAGATAAACATAGATATAAGGATATTCGTGGGGGTAAGTTTTGTAAGGATTGAGACGAGGTTATCTTTATATCCAGTATCCTTATTATAGCGTGGGGGTAAGTTTCGTAAGGATATAAATGAGGTTATCCTTATATCCAGTATCCTTATATCCAGTATCCTTATATCTAGATAGGTTTGTCTGTATAAGACCTCTCGCTATACTGTAAGGGAAACCTCGGTTATATCCTTACGAAACTTACCCCCACGAATATCCTTATATCTAGATAGGTTTGTCTGTATAAGACCCCTCGCTATACTGTAAGGAAAACCTCGGTTATATCCTTACGAAACTTACCCCCACGAATATCCTTATATCCAGGTTTATCTGTACCGGTAGTACTCCCCGAACGATACGAGAACGCACGTTCCCATTTTCATGTTCTGATAAGACTAGACCTTAGAGTTCTAACTCCCTGAATCCCGAGCGGATAGGCGGAAGAGATGATGCGATTTTTGACTGTGTCTAGAGCTCTTAGGGCATGGGTGGGTGTGAAGGTATAATCTTTTTTTATCTTTTTTTTTTTTGAAAATTGGATTTGGAGAACCTTGGGATAGTAGTATAGTAGCTAGCAGTCTTTTGGGTGTATTTAAAAGGCTGGTTGGACGATTTAGCCCTGTGATGCGTGGGATCTTAGAAGCTTGTTGGGAAGATAGGGAGATAGAGATATAGGGCGGGAAAAGTACGCACTCTGGATATAGATATAGATATAGATATAGATATAGATATAGATATATACTAGGTAGGATCTTACATCTCACTTCCTAACAACATAAAAGGGATCGGTGTTGGCAGGAGGGTAGATCATGTGACTCGCCTTCCCGAACCTCCCGTCTTGAGCAATTCCAACGGCATCCTTGGATAGAAGTTGAGTATCGATCACTAGCGTGTTCCATGGTATTCTAGAAGAGGAATGAATCTAAGTTATCTGGGCTGCTATATGTAGTTGGGTTGTTTGCTTCTTTTTCCCTAGCGTTTTTATTTTCTCGTCTTGTAGAAGAGGAGTGTTTTGGGTTAGTTGGAGGGTACGCTGGGTGGGTAGGGAGGGAAGGAGGTTATGATTTGGAGGTAGATGGGGAGATGGGGCTTGGAGTAGGTTGGGTGGGTTACGTATGTAGCTACGCAGATAGGTAGGGAGATTAGAGGGTTCTGTTAGTAGTGTAGTTAGTTAGGTAAGTACAATAGGTATAGCTTATAATAATGTTATATTCTTCTTTCTTTCTTTCTTTCTTTCTTTCTTTCTTTCTTTGCTGAGTATTATGTCTAGAGTAAAAGTAATGAAAAGAAAAAAGACAAAGCGTATACTAATAAAATAAGATATCTCCTTTACTTTCCTAATGCCTATCCCGTAGAACAATATTATCTAACCAAACCAAACTAGATACTTTATCTAAATATATAAACCTCCCCTTCTTTAACCTAATTATTACATATACTTATATCCCCTGTTGGTTTGACTTTATTATCAAATATGAGGTACAATACAGGAAAAGGCTAAACCTTAGTATTAGACTATTCCTATTATTGATATACACCGAGTTAAAGGTATAGAAGTCGTAGCGCGATAATATAGGTAGGACTAGCCTAGTTAGGTGGTCCGTACTACCGAGTATATTTACTCGGATATTATAGCGATACTAGGCTTACTTTAAAAGAAGTAAAAGACTCGGTATAAATAACTATCTAAAGTCCTTAACTAATTAAATCCGTTAAACCCTCCCCTAATATTAATTAAGTCTATTAATACCTTATAATTTGTAAATCTATCTAAATCTACTAATTCTTTATATTATTATTATTTTATCCTTCACTAATATCCTTACGTTTAACCTACTTTTCGACTATAATCTTAATCTTATTTATATTAATAAGTATAACTAATACCTAGTAGGGCTTTAATTTCGTTATAGCGTCGGTAGGATTTATAGTTCCCTTAATCTAAAGGATCTTATAGAATTTATATTATTTATATACCTAGCGTAATACTATTACGTTAATTATAAGACGCTCCTCCTTTATTATACTAAGTTTTATTAAGTATTTATATATTAACTTAGAGTCTATATAAGTTATTACTTTAAGTATCTTACCTAGGATAGCCTGTAGCGTTAACTTAATAACCTCTACTATATCGATTCCGCTACTTAAAGTATATAACTTAGATACTAATACGCTTTATATAATTTGTTTATATTTTATAGAACTCTAGTATAAAATAACCGCGTTATTATTCTTATTTACTAAGTATAAAATATAGCCTATTTAGGAGGAAAGGTTAGTTAGGTTTATAAAAGAAGTATCTATAAATAATATAAGCTTTAGTAAGTTAATATCTAAAGGTATATATTTAAGTCTACGCTTTAGATTATCAATTAACTATTAAAGGCGCTTATTTAATACGTTAATATTACTCTTCTTAGGGTTTAGAGTTTATATTATAACGCTTATATCGAATACTACCTTAGGTTAGTATACTATAGCTATATAAGCTCTTAGTACTTATTAAGTAATATATTAATCCTTACAAATAATACTGTGACAGACGTGCTTCAGGTAGAACTCAGAACTATTAACACTCTATTCTTAGGACAAAAGACGAGGAAAGAAGGAGAGCTCGAGAGAGCTGGGAACTAAATACAGGTCGTGCGCGCTAGCGCCTCGCTAAGCGAGCATGTGACATCCAGCCCTCGTGACCATAACCGTCACAAATACTATAAGCGCTAGTAATATTAGTAACTCCGTCGGTTACTAATTAACTCGATCTCTATAGTCGTAGGTAAGTATAATAGTACTATCCTTTACTAGGGTAATCCTACTACTATTAAACTTTGAAGGTTTATCTAGCGTTAATTCTTTAGTAGGCTTAGATTTAAATATAGCTAACTCTACCTTCTTCTTATTTATAAAGGTAGTATTACTAAGGATAAGAGTATTATTAGTCTAAAGTCTAATTATATCTTAAAATCCTACCTTATTTATATAGAGTAAGTAAGAATTATAGGTTGATTACTATATATCTAGCTTCTTTATATAGTATTTAACATATATATTATACTAGTAGTTACTTAATTTAAGGATATTATATAGAGGCTTAATAATCTTAAAGTATAATTTCTCTTATTATAGGCTACTCTTTAGTTCTTATATAAATATAGAATAATTAAGGTTTATTATTAATTAAGTATATACCTAAATAATATCTTATAGCTAGAGTTTAATTATTAGATCCTTATAGAACTTAATTACTATAAGTATAACAATAATTTATATACTAACCTTTTAAATTATAAGTAATTATATTAAAACTAAAGACTTTCTAGTATTATTAAATACTTTAACTATAAGTCTATATTTCTTAAATACCTTAGAGGTACTCTTATTTTTAATAGTATTAATAAATTAAGAACTAAATATATAAGTATCTAGTAATAGTTAATTATTAATAATAACCTTAAAGACTCTATTATTAGTTAATTTACTTATCTTAATTTATCTAGAATCGTTAAATACTAAATATACTATACTATTATTTATAAAATATACCTAGTACTTTAGTTCTATAATATTACTTTCCTTATAAAATAGAAGTACCTTAGTATAATAAACGGCTATAGTCTTTCGTAGTTATCTACGACCGCGCTTTAGTAGTATAGAATCCTTTTTATTCTTCTTATTTTTATTAAAGTCTAGCTTAATTTGTTTTAACTTTTAAGGTTATCCGCGTCCTTACTTTAGTTAATCCTTATTAGAGTATTTGTTAGGATACTCTATAATATCTCTACGTTTAAGGTCTATATTTAGTAGATCCTAAAGATTAGATATATCCTTATTTATATATTATAGTTTAATAACTATAGATCGAAATCGAACTAGTCTACTCTTAATCTTAATAATTATATCCTTTTCTTTATATCCTTATAGGATATATAGTCCTTACTACTTCTTATACTTACGCTATACCTAAACCTTAGCTCTAGGAGGTAGATCCTTAATCTAATTAAATAGACTATTCTAAGTATTTAATACTTTATTAACCTATTACTTTACCTTAATCTTATATACTTCTACTATTACCTTCTAAAGTATTTTAGAGCGCTTTATAACTATGGTTAATAATAACTTAAAGTCTTATATCTTTAGATAAGCCCCGAAAACTAGTAGCGTTAGTATAAGTTTATTAGGTCCTATAGTATCATTAATAGCTTTTACTACTATTTATAGTATAATATCCTTTAGTAAGTCTAGAATCTCCTATACTAGAATATTATAGGCGCGGCGAAGTAGACTATAGTAACATTTAATAAGTCTAATAGATTAATATACTTCAATAGGCGTAGTTTTAATACTAATTCCTAAAGTATTTATATATAATTAGAACTTCTTCGAAGTAAAATTCTTTCCTACGTTAGTTATAAGTAAATCTATTAGTCCTAAAAATATATAGAACTAATATTTACCTACTATCTCCTAGACGTGTTTTACTAATATCTCCTATAACTAGTATATAACGTTCTATCCTATAGCCTCGTTAACTATATAAAGTATAAGCTTACTACAAATAAAACAGATATTTATATAAACTATATAATTAAAGTTCTTATTCTCCTTTAGGGTAAAGCGGAATCGATATAGCGAGTAGCTATACTTTGTATAATAATTATAGTATTTAGTTAGTGTTTCGAGAATAGATTAGTTAATATTATACCTAGCTTATTCTAGAACCTTCTATAATCGTAAAATAGATAGATGTCTAAAACGCTTATAAAGTTGTTGTAATTTAGCTTCTATTAATAAGTTTAGGAATTTATATATAAAGTTATAGTACGCCTAATCCTATACTATAAATAGATAGCTAAATCGATATATAACCTTAACTTTATTACTATTTACTATAACTATAAAGTTATTAATATTACCGAATATTACTTATATCTTATCTAACTATTAAAGGTATAGAATAAATAATAGTTTAATTAGAAAGACGTAGAACTTAATACGTCTAATCAGTATTTCAACTACCATAGATCTAATAGCTATAGAGTTTCCTACATTAAACTTAACTATAATATTACTTAGTTTTAATAGAGAACTATTAATTAAATAGTATATATAATATTAATTATATCTAACTAAGTTAAAAGTAGACGTACTAGTATTAATTATAATACTATAAAGGTTCTTAGGTCTCTAGCGTAATAATATTATAGGTAGAAGTACCTTATCTACTATAAGTACTATAGTAACTTTAGAATCTCGGCTTCTTATAATCTCTAGGTACGTAGTATAAAACCCGAGCTAGTATATAGTAGATACGTAGTTTAATTAGTTAATAAGCTATCTTGTATTAGCGTTACTAAGTGTATTAACTATAAAATACTCTATAATACTATAGAAAGGTATATGTCACGAATCACGTGCTCACGTGATACTTGTCATAATAAGAGGCGCAACCCTCGACAGGCATATCCAGGTTTCTTATAGCAAATAGGGATCGCTTAGGGTAGCTAAGCGATCCAGGGATTTCCATTGGTTATGGTCACATGATTAAGTTGGATCGCTGGATCGCTCGGCGACCTAGCGGAACGGACCGCCAGCTCGACAGGCGAGTTGGCTACCCAGATCATAGTACTTGAGGATGAAGGTTCTATATAAGACTGGCACGTCTGNTGAGGATGAAGGTTCTATATAAGACTGGCACGTCTGCCATTAGATAGGAGCTTCGTGCTCAACTTAGTTATCAATCTTATCATATTAGTTTGACATCTTTGATACAAGTAACGAGTTCACTTCCAAGTGAACAATCCGATAGTCTTCTTCTTATCGTAGCATACCAACCAGCGAACACCCAGCCAAGTTTAGTTAGCCAGTTTGAGTATTCGTTACAGTATACCCTTACTTTTACTCGAGTTATTATTACTTAAACTCGAACTTAATAATAAATTAGTATCTAAATCCTTAAGACTTATTATATATATTATAGTAGTTAATTTACTTATCTCCTAGGACTCGAACTAGGTAATAAAAGTACTATACTACTTATTAAAGTCTCTCTTATAGTAATCTCCCTTGAACTTACTATAGAACCTAGTCTAAAACTTATCCTTCTAAGAATCCTATTTCTCTTATAAATACTTAAATAACCTATAACCTAGCTTCTTATATATCTAATATCTACTTATAGAATTATTATTTTTATACCGATTACGTCTATAATAGGTTCTATTTATGTAATATACTTCTACTAAAGATATAGGGTAGTTTGTAGATTATTTAGTAGAGTTTATTATATAAGTTCCTGTAATATAACTCTTCTTATAGGTTACTCTAGTATAAAACTTATAACTTAATATCGTGTTCTTAAGGTTAGATTCGAGGTCTAAAATTATATTTAAAGGGTTTATAATAAATATATTATATTTAATACTTCTATAAGTATTTTAGATAATACTTTAGTAAAAGTTATTATTTTATTAAAGTAATAGACTTAATCTAAGCCGAATCTTTCTTAGCTTACTTATTATAATATTAAAATATTATAATATTAACTTATCTAGATTCTCTCTTTTAATATATTTAAGTATATGTTTATTCTATTTGTCTTATAGATATCTCTTATAACCTAGGTTCTTAAAGTTATTTTATACTACTTATATAATAGTTATAAAATTAAAGTTTTATCTAAGAATTATATAGTAATAATAGTCTAATATAGCTCTCTTAAGTATAATTAGAAAGGCTTTTATAAGATAGTCTTAAGTTGCTCTATATTAGTTATAAGTAGTATAAAAGATCTTAAGTTTTATATTAAAAATATTAGTAATACTACTATATTTTATACTATCCTAATATATCTTTATAAGACTCTAAATTATTTAAGAGTCTAGATCAATACCTAAAGGTGGTAGTTGACTAACTAGATTATAACTAAACTATTAGAGATAAATAAAACTTATCTATAGGAAGTTCTACTAGTATCCGCTAGATAGTTATTTATATTAATAGGGCTATACGTAGCCTTAAGCTAGTAGTAGTAGAAAACCTTACTAAACTTATAGATATAATACTAGGTTTAAAGTAGTTGTATTACTACTATATCTAGGCGGATATCCTAGTACTTATAATTATAGTATATTTTAAAGAGTAGTTTATATAGCTTGATTTAGTTATATATTACCCTATTAAGACTAAGCCTAATAGTAACCTATATATAATTAAGCCTTTTATTATAGGATTAATTCTAGTACTCTAGTAGTAATTATATTATTATTACTATTAAATACGTAACTTGTTCGGCTTTAAATATTAGGTCTAATAGTACCAGGAGATAGTAGTACAAAGTTTAGCTTATTATTAAAGGTACTCTTTAAAGTAGGAAGAGTTACCTTATTCTTAAGTAGAGATCTCGGTAGTTTATTACTATTTATTCGTAACTATTATTTTAAAGGGTTCTTTTATAGAGCTAGTAGTTTATATAGTTATAATACTACTAGTACTAGATCTAGTTTAGCTTACGATTATACTTAAGGTTATACCTATAATTATATTACCTTCTAGTTAGATTTCGACTTCCGCGAACCTATACTATAGATATTAGAGTACTAGTCTTTGATTATCGCGGAGAGCTTAATATCCTATAGTCTAGTACGTAGTATATTCGACTTTAATATACCCTCTTATACTATACGTACTACTTGTTCCTAAGGCTATATTGTAACGAATACTCAAACTGGCTAACTAAACTTGGCTGGGTGTTCGCTGGTTGGTATGCTATGATAAGAAGAAGACTATCGGGTTGTTCACTTGGAAGTGAACTCGTTACTTGTATCAAAGATGTCAAACTAATATGATAAGATTGATAACTAAGTTGAGCACGAAGCTCCTATCTAATGGCAGACGTGCCAGTCTTATATAGAACCTTCGTTCTCCTAAATCAGTGCTCGTCGCTCTGATCCTTTCTGATTCCTCAGAGGTCGTCAGGCCGACCACCTCTGATGCCAGTCGATCATGTGACATTAACCAAAGGAAATCCCTGGACCGCTTAGCTAGCCTAAGCGTCCCTATTTTCCTATAAGAAACCTGGACGTGCCTGTCGAGGGTTGCGCCTCTTTATTATGACAAGTATCACGTGAGCACGTGATTCGTGACACGTAAGTCTCTAATCTATACGCGCGTAACACTAATCAGTGTTAGTTTAACTTTATTATTAAATATAAAGTGTAATATAGGAAGATGCTAAACCTTAGTATTAGACTATTCCTATTGTTAATACACACCGAGTCAAAGGTATAGAAGTCGTACGGCGATAATATAGGCAGGACCAGCCTGGTCAGGTGGTCCGTGCCACCGAGTATATTCACTCGGATATTATAGCGACATCCCCTTTTCCTATATACATTTGTTTTCCTCTCTTCTCTAAATTCTAAGTCTCTACCCTCGAAAGAAAAATCCATACTATAATACTATTAAATAAACCACACAATTCCCTATTTTATTTTATATATACTATACGGGGATAATTAATAATAATCTCAGTATAAGAGTCGATTCTAATTTACTTTTACAAGATACGAGTTAAAATTTGTAGCGAGACTCTAGGAAGTTAAATTAAGGAGCTGATTTACTTAACTATAGAGACTGGCCTTGTATTACTTGGGAGACTTGACGATAGGAGATGTGATTATAAACTACCTACCTCGCTTACTTACTCCCCCCCTCTTTTTTTTCTTGTGTTCTAAGCATGGAAAATAGAATACTATTGAAAGAATCACAATGTTCCGTCTTAGTATTGCAATTTACATCCAATCAATTCAATCCAAAAAGATCTATATCATCCACACCTCTTATCTCCTCCTCATCCTCTCCTCATATTCGTATTTTCCTCACCCCCTCCCCCCAACTTTCTCTCTCTCTACAACTTTGACTGTCTAGCCCCCTTCCCCTTTGCAAAGCCCCCACCCTGCAAGATAAAATCTGGATATGTCATCTCACCATCGAAGCTACCAGCTGGTGATCGCCATCCACCTCCGTCAATGACTAGAACCTCGCCATTGACGTAGCTACCTGTGTCGCTGAACAGGTAGACCGTTCCATCGGCTATCTCTCTGACGGTTCCGAAGCGCCCGAGGGGATTCTTTTTGGTGGCCGTAGTGGAAGAAGTATCGGAGAGGCGGGCCATGCCTTCTGTGCCTGCGACTGGAGGATTGTTAGAGAGGTGGAAGGTAAGTGGATTTGTAGGTATGGTGTGATATTCAGAGTTTGAGGAGGTTTGGGGGCGAGATTAAAAGCGAGAATGCAACTCTAACACCTAGAGCGAATTGCGGCGCAACCCAAGAATCTCCTTCAGGATTTCACATTGAACCAAAAGAAAATCCACTTACTAGGACCAGGTGTGATGACATTACTCGTCACACCAAAAGGACCGTATTCCAACGCAGCACCAGCCATAATAGCATCCACACCAGCCTTCGCTGCCGCAGCATGTGTCTGTAACGGCATACCGGTGAAATGAAATGATGCGGATATGAAGAGTATTCTTCCGCCAGTTGACGTATTATGTCCGGTATTTGGGTTCTTCTTTACGGACTCGAGGAGGTGGGGAATGGTGGATTTGAGAGTGTTGAAGGATCCGATGGTATCGATATCCATAACGGTTTTGAAAGCGTTCGCTGAGAGTCCGGAGATGGGGGAGAGGAAGTTCCCTGCTGCTCCTGCGCTATTTGATAAGTTAGCTTCGAATGTCTTGAATATAGGGCGTAGAAGAGAGAGGAGGGGAGTTTACATCACGTAATCTATCCCACCAAGTTCCCTTACACATCTCTCAACCGCCTGCTCTAAGCTCTCAATCTTTCGAACGTCGATTGCTCCGATCCCTATCACTTTCGCTCCTTTCCGTGCGGTTGCTATGCTCTGAGCCATCTTCTCTGTCTTCTCTACGTTGCGTCCTATGATACATGCGTTTGCGCCGAGATGGACGAGGGCTCTGACTTGAGCGCTGCATATTGTTCCTGCGCCGCCTGTGCAGAAGACTACTTTGCCATCTTTTTTGTAATATTAGCTCTAGTCATGCTATTGCTGATGAACTGGAGGGGAAGAAGTACCAAATATACCTTCCCTCCATACTGAGGATAGGTATTCGGATCGTGGGAGTGCCATCAGGAATTGTGAATTGAAGCTTAGAGAGTGATTAGAGGTTAACGCTTTGATATGCAATAGCTTTGAGCTTGCTGAAGCTTCAAATAGGCTGGGTGAAAGGGTTCTTGTCCGTCGCTACCGTGAATTGATGTGAATGTGGTTCATGACAAGTCTCGAGCTGTTGAAGACAGTAGAGTCTGGGGAAGTGGATCCTTCACTAATCTGACAGAGATGGAGGACCCTCAAAAGATGAACCGAGGCAAAGGCGGAAAGTGGGTTCACCACAAAAGCGAGCAGCGGGAGTGAAGCTCCGCTACTTGCCAAGACTCGGATAAATAATGGAACAATTGAGCTCGCATGGTCATAGCGTCAACGTCACCAATCTTCAAAGCTTTATCCACCACCAAAGAAAGCGATCAGAAAGACAATCAACTACATCCACGTTCACGAGCGGAGTCACAACCCCAAATTCTTCTATTGTCTTGGTGTCTCGCAATACAATTGCAAAGATGGCCTCAAAGGGAGTCTCCGTCCTGAAGTTCGTAGGGGTCTGCTCGGTTGGTTTATACACAGTAAGTCCCAACACCTCCCTCAAATCCCTACTATTCTCGGATCCCTCAAGCAAATTCCTCATAAACAACATGTATTAATCCAATTTACCATCAGGGCCTCTCCTACACCCTCAGCACTCTAACCCTCCCCACACTCCTCACCCTCCCCAACGCCAGCACAGCCAGCGGCGCATTCACATCCCTCAACACCCTCTCAACGCGCCACCTCAGCGCTCTAGCCGGCCTCTCAAGCACCTCCTTCATCCTAGCCTACCTCCTCTCCCCCCGCAGCCAAAAGCACCCCTACCTCCTCTGGACCACCTTCTTGATCAGCTGCTCGGGAGCCTCCTCATACCTGCTCCCCTCGCCGGTCTCCAAACCCACAAAGCAACCCAAGAAGAGCAAGACGAGCGAGCGAACGACCAAGACCAAAGTCATGGACGCCAGCTACGAAGTCGTCGGCGCCAGCGACCACAGCGGCTCCAGTGGGGAGGAAGTCTCGGACGAGGAATCGGTGAATGGGGAGGAGGTCCGGGGCCGAATGGAGGGGTTCATGACGAAGCAGATTGCGCGAACGGTTGTTGCCGCCGTGGGATTTGCGATGAGTGTTGTGGGTGTTTGGGGTGATGGGGTGGTTGATACTGTTATTATTGAGATGTGATGATGCCTGTGTGTTAATATGGGTGTGGAACATAGCGAGTGCCTTGTGGGGAGCAGGTTATGAGTATGGATGGAAGTATTTTGCGGATTGGCGAAGAGGTGCAAGGGAGCGACTGACGAAAACAATAACTTTTATGATTTGATGCATGGTATTATGTCTGGTCTGGGATGGGGTTAGGATAGGGTTAGGTAGAATCTCAACTCTCTTGACTCCTAACTCACGCATACAATGAGACCATGATTTCGTCCACTGATATGACTTCGAAACTTGATCATATGTAATCATATACTAACCCACCCAAGAAATTAAGAAATAGACCAAACATCCGGAAAATACCTAACTTTGACCAACCTCATGAGACTGTAACCTCAGAGTACTATATTCCAAAAGTCTAGCTACAGCTGAAACACAACCCTCCGTGTATCCAGTTCTCAAACACATTGAAAACCAAATATATAACAGTACTGAGCCTCATCTCTTGCTATCAGTAAAGGAAATTATATTCAACTAGACAGTAAACTAATTGATAAAACATAGTGAAAGAATGTTAGCTGTCAAGTAGGGAGAGTAAGTACGTTTATCCTCGCCCCAATATAGGCATGACCCTGGTCTTTTATACAAACAATATAACGTCAAATTATGTGATCCCTAATGTTCGCTTGATTCTACATCCCTTCGGATCTACTCATCTGACCATCTGTTGATCGGTCAAGCGGCAGATCTCCATGATATCATGGCGGTGGAAATACTCTCTATTACGCTTGCCGTAGAAATCTGTAAAACAGTAAGTGATTGTGGAAAATATCTGGTTTGTGAGCCACGTACACAAAGGTATGGTCGTCAAGCAGACGATGACTTGGATGCTGGAAATCCACATGAATGTTTTGTATGTCCCAGCCTCAACAAGCCAATCGTAGGCACTGAAAGTTAGACCGAAGGAGAATAAATTCTTGAAAATGATGGTTGTTGTCAGTGATTCAACGATTATATCACCTGGGGTTGTTAGTTTGCTTCTTGATGCGAGAATTGGGTAACATACGATGAGCATCAACGAGGTAGAGTGAGGCAGCCACAGCTCCGATGACCATTCCGGCGACTTGCAAACCGAATCCCAGAATGGGAAGGTAGAAAGAATAATTAATTAATTCCGAAGCCGTGATACCAAAGAGATAAATTCCAATACAGCCACAAATCATTGATGGGATTACCAAGACGAGTCTGAACTCAGGCTCATAAATTCCGTTGTTTTTCTTTGTTAGGTATTTTGCGGACCAATCGGACAGTACTCCAGCGATCAAGAATCCGATAATGGCTCCGAGGAAAGCACCCGTGTAGGCATATCCAGTTTGTTCTTCATTCCAGAATAATGGAGGTCCGAGGAAAATGGCGCCGAGAATGATTCCCATGAATACTGTCCAACCGATCATGCTTCCTTGGATGACACATGCCCATAGAACAGCCGGCTGGAAGAAGATGGGAAAAGGTCGAAGTAGGAGTTTCCAAAAACTTTCCTGTGAAATTCGTCCGTTGACAAGCCGGAGACGTTCTACTCTGCTCTTTCTGGGGGTTTCCGCACCAGAGGCCGTATAATTGGCAGTGCCAGTTTCTTCTGGGAGCTCGGAGTATTTGGAGTTCTTCGTGCCATCCTCGGAATCCTTGGAACGCAACTCAATGTTCATAGCTAAGTCGGTGTTGAGATGGGCTGCTCTATTGTATGCGGTTTCCGGGACGAAAAAGTATATCAGTGGAGCACAGATTCCAATGAAGATGGCGACAAAGTAAAATGTCCATGGCCATTGAAGGCTTTTGACATGAGTGATCTTGCCTACCACAATAGGGGTGAAGAAAGCACCTCCAAAGACAGCCAAATTGGTCATGGCCATACGCTTACCACGTTGCTATTGGGATATGTTAGCCTCTATCATTATCTAAGGGTCTGCCGACTTACGTGAACAAAGTAAAGGTCTCCGACCGCAGCGTTGACTAGAGTTTCGAATGGAGCCGTTCCAACTCCCTGGAAAAACCGGGCCGCTATCAAACGTCAGCTTCATCCCAACCTGAAGATGGCTTGCATCTCAAAATGATGGCTTACCCGCTAAAGAATCATAATTATGTTTGACAACACCCGCCCATATACACGATATAAAAATCAACACCGGACCCAGAACAAACTGATGTCGTTTTCCCCATATTCTAGCCGAAGGAACAAAAACAATAGCTCCGACCCCCGTTCCAAATAGATACCATCCCGTCAGAATCGCGACTTTCGTAAATGTCATTTTGAAGTAGAGCGACAGCGTCAGGGTATTGGCAGCCAGAATGGAACCCAAGGAGGTTGCAAAGATTGCTACAAGTGACAGGAGCGCCAGTATCAAGTCCCTTTGCCACAATGGCCAATTTAATGGATCGTTTGGATCATCGCTCGGTTGGGGGACGAGGAGGATGGCTACTGGTCCTGAGGTATCGCATTTCAGACCTTGGGTGTTGTTGGCGTCGACTTGTTGAGGTCTTTCGGGGTCATCGAAGTATCGAGTTGTTCCTGAGGGCGATAAGGTTAGCTGGTGCTATGGAATTTTGTAATTGATATAGATTGTTATAAATCCCGTACCTGGGACAGTCTCAGTAGTTTGTGGTTCGAGAATCCACAGCCCCATGGTTAGTATCAGTGGTTGACAACCACTATGCTATGATCCACGGCCACGGCCGAACACAAAAAAGCAATAAAAGCGTAGTCAATCCAGAGGTGTAGATGTAAATAGATTGTAGATTAGATGTAGATGTTATTGCAGAGTGGACGAGGCCCAATTAAAATGCCCGAAGAGAGGCGTGGCTAGCTAGTACGAGAACAGAGTCGGGACGATCTGAACAGTGCAGTGGAGGAACCGGAGGAGTCTTGGTCTTATTGCTGTATCAGGAACACCCCCAATCGTTGGGCCACGACAGTTGAGCGGGGAAGCCTGTTGAGCCTGCCCTGAATTGTCCAAGCCTGCATGCACAACGCCAAGGGGTTGTAGAACCTTGTGGAAATGAGAGACGAACTCAAGCAGAGGCGAAAAACTTTGGAAACTTTACGCCTGTGTCGATTTGAACCTGAACACCTTCAGACTTGAAGAAAGTTTGCTATGATGTGGAAGTCACGTCATGTGCGGTACGAGTACGCCGAATCTCATCAGGTATATTGTTATTGTCTTGTTGTGGCAAGCTCCCTTGATTCAAAAGTCGTTAATCCATTTCACTTGTTTACTCCTCTAGGCCTGCAACTTACCTTGGGTGCTTCGTAGTACAATCACCAAACCTGGAGGCCTGTAAACATAAATCACAGGCAAAGGAAAACATTCAAAATAAATATACCGGAACTCTGTTTTTATAGAAGGAAAAGAAACCCCCACGAGGCATTTGCCGACTCGAATCGCCAAGCAAACCAAAAGAAGCTTCTTTTCTTCGTTGGAATGCCAAAAAAGGAGCTCGCTTTGCTCGCTTGTGCATCGTAATCAAACTAGCAAAGTTTAAATCGCGATGAAGCCCGGTATAAGAGCAATCGCCAATTTCCTTAGGCTTCAATGATATAATTCCTGTGTCTGATTGGCCCAGTGAAGAGTCTGGCCGGTAAAAATACGAAGTATTACCTTCTTAGCTCGAGGTTATCCCAGCAAGATCGGTGAATTCAGGGGTGCATCGATGTGTTGTGTTGCAGCCAATACTTGGAGCTGGTGGCTCATAAAACCGCGAGAGCAACCCAGATAATTGGGTCTCCCACCTTTCAACCACGCTTCGACTTAGCCTCCCTTTCCTTTTGATCGGTTTACGCATCCTTCAAATAGAATCCAAGAACCCGGAACTTGCTATCTCACTTTAGTCACCATGCAATTCTCAATTGTTGCCATCGTCGCCGTTGTAGCTCCGTTTGTTGCTGCTCAGGGTGACATTCCAGAATGCGCTGTACGTTTACTTCCGATTACTTCGCTACTAGAACGACGAAAATGAGGGTTATTTCGGCCGCCCACCAGAGTGTCAAGTGATGGTGGACCTGGGAGATATTCGAGTTGTCACTGGAAAATGGCTCCTCTTCAAATCCTCTCTGGACTCATCTTCGGCTTCGTTGACCAGCTTCGGCTTCGTTGACCAGCTTCGAATCAAATGATTTCCGTACCATGTACTAATCATGATCTTCCTACAGAGACCTTGTGTCGTAGCATCAACCAGCGGATCATCCATCGGTGGATGCACCAACACTGATGTGAAGTGTATCTGCTCGGCTCCTCAATTCCTCAGCGACATCTCTTGCTGTGTATCCAAAGCCTGCTCGCTCGAGGACCAAAACAAAGCCATCGCTTTCGCAAACAACCTCTGCTCGATCAGTGGAGTCACCAACTTGCCAACCGCTGCTTCATGTGCCGCCACACCAGCAGCAACAACTCCCGGTACACCCGCAACAGCTGCACCTCCTACCGGAACCACTACACCTACAGCATCTGCACCAACCTCTACCTCCGCAACCGCAACCGCTACAGCAGCATCTGGAGCACAAAAGATTATGGGCCTGGGAGCCGGTGTTTGGGGTTTCATGATGGGCGCCGCGGCTTTGCTGTAAATAGTTGGACAGCGTGGACCGATTGTTTGATGGGGTAATATTGGAGTTCAGAGTATAATAATTGGACTTACTCTTCTTGTAACACAACAATTTTTGGCGGGACGATATGTCCAGGGGGTCGACAGGTAGTGGCACATAAAATCACTTGAAATCGTTCCACATTCATCATACATCAACGCAAATTTAAATACGAAGTATGATAAATGGCGTAACCAATTGATCGATCGAGCTTTGCTTTTTTTGTTGATCCTGATCTTGTCGAGATCGCCTCCGAATGCCATTTTCAAGGGTGTCGGGACAGGTCATGTAACACTGAACGAGGTACCAGAAGACCTTGTGTATCTATGGTTTTTATCCCGGCTGAGCTGAACACATCTGCCACCAAACAATTGAGGTAAGAAAAAGCCATCTGAGCCGCGGGGAAATCCCTACGCATCAAACACCCGACAGTAAACAAGATCAGGCCGTTTCACGCACCGTGCAAACGCAATCCCCGAGGTCGATTGCAGAGAAATTGGGAAGTGGACGTTCCGGGGATTTGTTGTTCCTGGAAATAAATGTGGAAACACCTGGATGGATTTTGGACGGAGTTAACTTCCAGAATGTCGCGAAAGAAGTCAAATGAGGTGGGAACTTGGGGTTTTGTTTGCGTCAGACGGCGACCCGCTGTGGAATCGGTTTGCTGAAACAACCGCGGCTTACGTATTGTGAAGAAGTTTACTGACAGAGAAGCTCCAGAAGACCGAGCGTCACCAGATTCCAGAAGATGTTCGATGTTGGCGACGTTCTGTGGTCCTGTGGAAAATGAAATGTTGAGCGAGACACTCAAAGTCAAAGAGCTCGAAGAAATTATACATCATCATGATGTTGCTCTTTTCCAGAGAAAAGAAGTCAAGAGACATGGCGCGGGCTTCCGAATTGAAAAAGTTGGGGGCTTTATAGATCATCTCGAGACGAATCCTTTGTACGACTTATGATATCGGCTTCCACTCCGTTCGGTGGCCGGCACTTGTCAGCAAAACGTTATTATTCATCGGCACAGCGGCTATGCAGTCAGAGTGGAACCGCTGTTCTAGACTCTTGATTAGATCCAAGTGCCCACTCACTGGAACTCGTGGTGGGTAATGAAATGGTAAGTATATAACTGTTTGATCAACATAGTTCAAGTCAGTGACTTGAATTCTCCGGGAGCCTACTATAGTTGTCCCAGATTTCCAACTCAAAATACCCAAATGAGGATGTCATAAGTATCCTCATAGAAACTTATACACTGCGGCTTATGACGCTAAATCCGGCCTATGCGCGAAAGCTAAAATGAGCAGATGCGACCATGAATATTCGAACAACCGTACAGGATTTCGGAATTGTAAAGAATGATGATTGCGGCACAACCTTTCTTTTCCTGGTACAGAATAATGGAGTCTCTGCTCCTTAATATAAGCCCTGTCTGATGTTTGGCGTTGATAGCTATCCAGGACAAATGTCGAGGGTGGAAATCATATGCGAAAAAAAGAAATGAGTAGGGCGGACATGAGAAGTGAACCACAACAACTTCAATAACTAACATTTACATCAAACCACGAACTACCGATCTCTCTGGGATGAACCATGAGCATGAGAGCCGTCTTGACAGCCGTTTTCGCCTTGACATCTGTTTCGACCGTTCTGTTTCAACTGTCTCAGTGCCAACAGTATTGTCCTGTCAGCGGGCGATGTTTGAACTTTACTCGCACGTCATTGGGCTGAAGGGAATGATCTAGCGCTCCCCTCAGCAGAGCCGCAGCTTTTGAGATTTTTGACATTATTATTGCCCTCTCGCTTGGGCCTCGCCTCTTTGCTCCCTGGTGCTCCCCTCCTGAGATGCAACCTGCCCCATTTTCCCAGCGAGGCGAGTGCGAGTTCCCAACTTCCTCAACTAGTGGAGTCTGTCCACATCCAAAGGCCAGGCCCGTACTGTCGTCGACGTACTTCGTTGAAGTACTCTACACAGATCCGACGAAGAACGCCACCACAACACCTGTTCGCTTGATTTGAACTCGGTACTTACAACACTATACTGTATCTTCTCACGCTACAGTGCAATCCAGACACTCTCCCTCAGCCCGGCTCTAGCCAGGAAGATCCGATACGGATGCTAAGCCAGGTAAGTCTCCACTTGAAGCAGCTGCATCAGTGGTGCTGGAACGTGTCTGCAGACGAGTCCCCTCCACCCTCCACCGCCGGAAAAGTGAGGGACATGGAATAATGAGTAAGTGCCAGGGTACTCTATCCGTCCACCGAATCACTGATAACCCCCAACCTGGGCTGAAGTGTCCCGTCATCCGTGGGGTTGTCCCTAAGTTAGGTGGGTTAGGTGGAGCCAACCAAACCCGCTAACCCGCCACGCTCGCTAGCGGCTAACCAGGTCTTGGTGTGGAATCTCATACGCCTAACACTTCCCATACACCTCGCTCACAATATGCACAGGGCATCTGTGTGCTTTGAGTCTGAGCCTGAGCCTGAGCCAGAGCCAGCACCGGTGCCAGAGCAGAGCCACACTTCGGCCACTTCTCCCACCTCATCGAGCACCAGCTGCATCTCTGGCAGTCTGTTACAGGGTCCGTGACGCCCCGTAGCTCGGATGTGTGCTTGATGGTCGTGCTCCCCTCTCATCCCACATAAGTAACCTGGCGTTTCCAAAACCTTGAGAATGTCGTTACGCACGCCCCAGAGCAATTTGCTCTTGTTATTTGATACTTATTCCCTATGGAAAAGTCTTATGGGGATCGCTTACCCGTACATATATATATAGGCATGCTGGTCTGGAACTATTGAATTGTTTGTCTCGACATCACTCTTCTTCTCGCTTCGTGCAACACTACTACTATACTTTGCACTCAAAACACCCAATCGTTAGTAAATACGTTCCTTAACACAAGAATTCATACATTAACATATTATAGTTCAACATAACACAACTTCAACTTGCCCTCAAAATGTGCGAATATACCAAGAACTATTACATCTACACTTCCTGTCAAGACCCTGGAGCCCATTTCTTTGGCACTTCCGTCGATGGCAAGAGAGAACATCGTTGTCCTACTGGCCCTCATGAACGCTATATAGTCATGCCTGGACACTGCCCACTTTGTACTGGATGACCGGCCGTCAACCTTTCGACTCAATCTACCTACTTGACCTATCCATCTACGACTTACGAACTCTCTCAGACGACACTGTCAATTTTTATGACACCAATAGCTATGCCCAACTTTTGGTTGAGGTGATGCCAGATTTCTTTATTCACGACACTTCGGAATGGCGTTCAAAGGAATTGGGATATATATTCTGGGATCCTACACTTTTCAGTGTTTGTATTGATTTTCACTGGACATTTCGACTCCAACAACGTCACCATCATCGATTCGCGATCGTGAGAGAGGATGGATCTTTCTGAGTGGGCTTCAAGAATATGGAGGTATACGAATTGGTTATGGAGCTGGAGTGATGGGTGACGGATGAAGTGAATAACCTATTGCGGATGGAAGGACAAACTTGGCAAAAAGTCATATAAGTTTGAATATTGACTCAAGGGCCAAGCAATATTTAGTTTTTCTTTTTACCCGGCGCAAGACATATATCCAAATCCGATTCGTGGCGTTTGCTTTTCCAATATATATGTAAAGACTAGTATAGTGATGGTGGCGCCTTCGGCCCGAGACTTGCTGCTCTTGAATGTGTTCAATATCAAAAATGTTTTATACCCCTTAAAAGCAACTTTAAGGGACCATTTCCCATTACCAGCCGGTTCACGAGAGGCTCGGCAAAACAGTCCGGTTGACTAAGTTGGGAGCTGACCTTATACTCTCGCCACCAATTCAGACTACCAGTTCTGTTCCTTCATTGGAAAACCCAATAGTCAACAGTCATGAGGTGAGCTGTATAATGAGACATGTAGTCAGCTGTGGTGCCACACTACAAACCGCAAGCAGCGCAGCTTTCGTTTAAACGAAGCTTTGTATACCTGTATACCCGAGGCTGTTGCCCGATGGGCTCGGTAACGACACTTTGGTCAGCTCTGTTCCTGGTAACGTGGATTGTGGCGATCGACTACGATGAGACGAAGGCTCACAGCAACGATTGATTCTCGTTGTTTTGCGTAATCGAATGCGGCCAACGACATACACTCAGAGTTAACGATGGCACCCAGGGTAACACTACCTGGCTTCCGCTGCGACCAGGTGTTGAAAACGCTCGGGAACAAAGTGCAACCTCGATAATACCTGGATAACATCATCACCAACAAGGTGGGAAAGAGTCCAGTCCCAACGTCTCTTGTCTCGAGAAGCTTATCCCTGATCCTTTCAGTTCTGCTCCGGATGCAACATCAGAAATTTGTATATTGAGGGAAGTTAGGGATCTAGGATGGAGAGCCTTGCGAGAAATTCCAACCTTGGATTCCAGAGAGGTTCGTGCTGGCTCTCTTCAGGAATTGATGGTCCTTGACATAGTTCGAGATTTCTTCATCATCGGACCTGGCCTGGTTGTGTTCAGCGCATGGACTCTTTTCTGCTTGCGGCACCTCTTGCGTACAGTTCGCGAGCTGCGCTGTGGTACTGTACTGTACTGTACTGCAACTGCAACTGCACACCTGCATCTACTTTCCTGGGTTTTTTGATGTGGTCGCATCGGACGTACGATTGGCACTTTTCCACAGGGTCCCAGGGTCGATCTCCTCCTGGGATGGTGGAGGTGGCACAGTGCATGCGATCGTCGCACATCGCACTTGAAGTCAGAACAAGACATGGTCCGATCTTTGCATCAGAGTTTGGACAGACGAGGGTAAGTGTATATCGCACATTGTATGGTACAGTACTGTAGCTAGCATTCACTTTTCACACTCCCGACGAACTCAGTCAGGAGCATGATGGTCATCACATCCTCGCATAAACACTGTATACAAGTGTATAGCATGGTGTCCAAGACGCGGGGGTGGGGCTCGTTGGGACCTTCTCCTTTACGGACGAGGTACAGGACAGGACATCGGAGCATATAATCGAATGGACTTGGGAAAAGATTCATCATCATTTTCTAAGCAATTTCATCCGAGCGGTCGCATCTTGGTGATGATCTTTAGCTGCTCCAGACCCGGTTACACTTCGCAAGAAGAGCTTCGAATTGACGAAAAAACAGTGCGACCGACTTTCTTACTTTTTTTACACGTCGAAATTCATGATGTCAAGCATCATAAATCTCCTCGCTACCGAGTACGGTCTCCACCTGGAAAAATCTCCTATCATATCCCGATTACGAAGCTTCAACCACCTCCACTTGGAAGTCTCGAGTTTCCTCGAGTTTCTGCTACACCTCAAAACCAGCAGAGTCTCCTCGGACCATTCATTGAGAAACGAAAAGGGAGCCCATATATAACAAAATTGAAAGCAGTGTTGGAAGTGCTTCCCGAGTTCAGTAGTAATCTGATCCGCCCAGTCATACGAGTACGAGAGAACGTTGAAAGCGGGAGAACCAACGCCACATCCAAGGATAAGACTTACGTACCCCTATCCAACATCTCCCACATCGACCCCAAACTGATCCCCCACATCACTGCGGGACGCATTGTTCGAGAGGAGGTCTGTGGGCTATACAATACAGCCTAGACTACCCGGCGTCCGAGACGAGAAATCCTAAAGTAGGACTCGAAGTTGAGATCACAAAAGCACCGTGCCTTGAAGAAGATTATAGCCATAGTAAGTTATATCTTCAGAAAGCCTTTATATCGAGGGTTGCCCTCAAGACTGGGTTTCTATTCCGTCATGGTATGTGAGCTGGAGCTTGAGGCGAATCTTATTTGACCTCGGAGTCTGGACCCTGAGCTGTCTGGGCTTTGCACCACAGCCTATCTGTGCATCCTCACATCAAGCTCTGCTGAGAAAACTAAACTGGATGATTTTCCGTCTTTGTTATATCATAGGATCGCTTCCTTGTAGACAGGGGCATCTTGTTTTACTTCCAAGCAATGTTACTTCGAAGTACGTTAAGGAGGGTCTTAGCTCAGTCCCTCTGATTTTGAATATCACCTGGGGTTACCGATATGCTTTAGAGCTATGACAATCTTCGACCGGAGAAAGTGTACCTAGGTAAGTCTCATCTCTTACCCCTCTTTCACCCTCACGCTATTGAATTCTGTCACTTGACAATTCCCCCCCAAAGCGAGAGAAGGAGAGATGGCATAATACACTAATTTCTCAACCCGGAACTCTGTACCTATAGTGAGGGAGCAGGGAAAAGGTTTTATACACTAGGTACTGTATAAAGTTCTCCGATCCAAGCTTTGATCCCCTACCCCCTCCCTCTCTTTTGGAGATATCAAAACCGGAGGTGTCAATCAAGAACCGCGCGGGTCCCATGTGAAGCGGGAGGGACCTTATTTGATGCATTGATCTTCTTCCGCGTCGTGCCATTTCTTTACATGGTCGGTGGATGACCCTGTCGATAACGAGTCTTATTATATACATATATATGTATACGGAGTACGATGTCAACGACATGCTGAAACAATGACTTGTCCCATTCCGGTACCTCTTTTCGAGAAGGAGGAAATGATTCACGATTTCACTGGCGGTTATTGGGTTTGGTCATACGAATCTGATGTTGAAAGTGAGCAGATGTGATGAAAAGTAGGTCTGTCACCTACCTAAATCCATTTGATGTTTTCTGTCCCCGGTTTTATGCTCACCTGTATACTTGTAAACCAGGTCAGGTTCAAGTGGAGGCTTTGGATGTGTTTTTACCTCGGTTTGTTTTGGTCATATGTCAGATTTCGTTGGTTCGGTAGGATGCGTCTATGGCAAGGGATCATTATGGTTGCGAATTGGCGCAAAATGTTGGTAGGATGACTTTGCTTCTACTATTCAATAGGGCAGCGGCATCATGATAAATTCTAATGCTCTTTAATTAAGTACGAGTATCCTGTTCAGAACAATGGCGAGTTGTTCCAAGGTCTCAGGATCTGGTTGATCACTCGTGACTCGTCATATCAGAATGGCTATTTACTAACAGTCGTTTATTTTTGTTCCACGTCCCAAAAAAAGCACTAGGAGATATGAACATCCCAACTTCCCCTACCTCGTTCTGAAGCAAATTAAATGGCTTGAGAGATATATACAACTAGAATACCCTCCAATACCTCATTAAGCACATTGTGACATCCAAAATATCGCTACATCAATACCATAAAACCCTCTCAATTCTTCCTCTCCAGGAACGAAGACATATCATAGAAAGTAGAGAATAGAGTGTCAGGTAGAGCTACCTCCACACTATGTATCTTTGACCTATGAGCCACGACGCGCCTCCCCTGTGCGATATCGTCTACTTCTGGTATCTAGTTGAATTTCAGATGGGAAATTTACTCTTTGGAGTTTTCAGACGGGGTTTCAGCGGGCTTGAAGAGGTTGGATAATTGATTGTTGAGACGGCGTGAAAGGGTTATGTGGGGAAAGTGTACGATTCCTTAAAAGTAGTGAGTGAGTGGTTGGATTTGGTATGAGAGATGGTTGATAAAAGGTCGTATTCACAAGAAACCCATGATATGTTGGATAAAGTGACGTTGTCCTGATCTAGGCGTGTTGAGAACCATCGATTACATAGACGGATTACTTCACAGACAACGAAACTCAGGTAAATCATTTTAGGTTTCAGGGAGTTGTGGTGTTTCGAAGGTTCGTTCATTGTGTTGTATGCTTGACCCGATGTTCTGATTTAGCAAAGTATTTTTAAAATTATTAGTAAGTGTACACAGAATACAGAATAACCAGCTTCTAAACAGCAACAGAGTAAACATTGGTGCTGAATCGAGAATCAGATGTCTATCGCATCAACCTTGGCCCTCGGAAGCCATGTATTCCACGGAATTCCGAGTTTTGGGTTGTTCAACGAAGATAACTCATCAATCAAAGCCGGTACGAAAGTTCCAGGCCCCTTGACGACTTTCTGATGATCACTATCCTCTTTTTCCATGGCCCTCTCGGCGGCAATCTCATAGAGCAGAACCCCAGCCAAAGTAGCAACCAGTTTATCACCTCTTGAGACAGCCACCATAGCTGAGATGATGGTCCCCAAAACACAGCCGCTTCCTGTGATATTGCCCAGCATATCACATCCATTGTGAATTGCGTAGGTTCGTACGCCATCACTCAGTAAATCAGTAGCTCCAGTCATGAGAACCACATTCCGCTCTCTTGCCGCGAGATCTCGCACGATGGTTGCCTTTTCAAGCAATGTAGAGGTGCTAGAACCAGTGTCGACTCCTTTCTGTTGTACGGACATGCCGAATACCGTTTTGATCTCCCCTTCATTTCCTTTGATGACATCGAAATATCCTGCAGCCAGAAGCGTCTTGACGGAAGCTCTTCGCACAGCAGTCGCTCCAGCGCCAACTGGATCAAAGACAACCGGTCCGCCGACCATATTGTATTCTTTTATTGCTTTGGCATAATTCTCAAGACCATCCGGAGTAACAGTGCCCATGTTGACAACCAATGCCCCGCCAAGTTTAGCTAGATCTGCAGCCTCCTCGCCATAATTTGCCATAATGGGAGATGAACCAATTGCCAATGCAACGTTTGCTGCGAAGTTTTGGACAACTAGATTGGTCATGTTGTGTGAGAGGGGCTTTTGCTCAGCGACTTGCATGAGAACACTAGGCACTTGGGCCATGAGGTCGAACACCTTGACGACCCTTTGATGGCTCGCTACCGAGGATGCAGCAAATGCTGGCGGAGTTTGGATGAGTTGGAGAAGATCTTGTGAGGCCTTTTTAGGGTCTTCAGCGGCCATAATAGCACTAACAAGTGCAACTCCGTCGAGGTTTTTATGAAAAGGTGTGGAGTGATACACAGACTGGTACAAAACCCGCTGTATATTTGACGAGTTGATTCCACCAATACAGACAGTTCGAACGGGCCATTCTCTGATAGAGCGCATAATCTCCTTTGTTCCGGCGGTACCGATTATGTCCTTGGTATTCGTTTTTCTGAGAATACTTATCAGCAACACCCAGTATCGCAAGGTGTATCTTACGTTGCAGTCGGGAATATGGTGCCAATTCCCAGGTAGTCTGCGCCATCTTTACAAGCAATCTGTGCCTCTTCGATGGCAGACACCGTGACACCGATAATAGCATTATCTCCAAGTAGTTTTCTAGCAGTCGGCAGGTCTAACAAAGTCAGATTGTCAGGGGGAATATATGTGGAACAGGAATGATGTTGTACTCAAATCTTCTTGACCAATATGAACTCCTTCACAACCGACTGCAAGAGCAACATCAACACGATCATTGATCAGAAGAGGAACGCCGTGTTTCTGAGTCACAGCATGAAGCCGTTTTGCTGTGGAAACAAGCACAGCTGTACTGCTAGTCTTGTCTCGATATTGGACCAAGCCACAACCACCTTCCAAGGCAGCTTCGACAACTTCAACGAGATCTCGATCACCCAGTATGTTTGGAGTGGAATCGGTCACCAAATAAAGTGAATAATCAACATTGGTTTTCGACAGCGAGGACGTCATCATGAATTGCGGATATGGATCAAACTATTGACACAGTCCTTGAGGATAATTTCTGGCTGGTTATAGCAGCATCTGCACTGACAATTTTGCAGATCTCGAGATTTCGGAGGATGAGGGAGACCAAAGTAATAGTCCGTACAATCAACTTTGAAATATCAAGGAGTGAAATTTTCCATGGACCCGGGGATTGTTGAATGAAGCAGCATACATAGACAAGGGGCAAGGAGTGTCTTTAGCGAATCACCCCGCCTCCCTAGGCGCACGGTCCAATAGAAAGTTCCTCGCTTTGAGTTTAGCGTACTCGTTTGTCTGCCCACCCACATCAAAATATGTTCCAAATCGCAAGAGGTGACGACCCTATTCCACCAAGTCAGACCCCTTTGTCGCCGCCGCCAAACCCATCGTCAACGCCGGTAACCCGAGTCGATTCATCATGCAATACTGCTTCGTCGAAGGCACCTTCGCAGACCTCGCGCGCGACCTGGCCGAGTACCTTCACGTTACCGCAGAGGTCGAACCCCTCCTCGAGTCGAATTCGAAAGATGAGGTGCTCAAGAAACTCGTGACGGCTTCAGCTGGTCTCAACTCGTATCCCGAGAAGGAATTCACGGCCGCATATAACTTGCTCGTTTACTTGGTTATGCAATCGCCAAATGTCAACATATTCCTGCCCCGCATGTGCGACAACCTCTCGAAGCCAGTAACCTCTTCGCACGGTACCGGCCTTGCGCTCAATGTCCTCACCACAATTTTCAACCTTCTTGCCGCCGACAACGAGGTCCGATTCAACGTATTCCAGGCCATCCTCCGCCTTGTCAAAGCTAGTGGTTCATTCGACACTCTGCGACCACAATTAAAGAAGTTGGATCAATGGATCGCGGAGTGGGACCTGGAAGAGGAGGATCAAAGAAAAGTGTTTGGACAACTCGCAGATGCAGCGGAAGATGGCAGCGAAGAGGGGTAAGTGCTGCTGGTTCTGTAAACTGTGACTTGGCTAAAACCAATTGTGACAGCTCAAAAGCTGGCTACCAGTACATTTTGAAATCTCTGCGCACTTTCCCAGCCGCCGAAGTCTCATCCAAAGACGCCCAAGACCTTTCTCTCCGCGCTTTAAAGGCTGCCTTAGTCTCACCTAACCATTTCGACTTCCATGATCTCACATCTCTCCCAACAATCCAAGCCCTACAAGATTCGCACCCTGAATATTCCGAACTTCTCGAAATCTTTTCCGAAAAAGAACTTGAGGATTACAACGATTTCCGGGATGAAAATGAGGATTGGCTCGAGGCCCAGAACTTGGACAACTCGAAACTTCACCGAAAGATGAGACTTCTGACGCTTGCAAGTGTTGCTGCTAGCACCAACAGCCGAGAGCTCGAATACAAGCGAATTGAGAAGGCATTACAGATTCCACCCGAGGATGTTGAAAGATGGATTATTGATGTTATCATCGCCAAGCTTATTGAGGGAAAGATGTCGCAACAGAGACAGGTTTTCCTTGTTCACAGAACGACTTACCGCGTTTTCGGTGAGAAGCAATGGCGAGAGGTTGCTACAAGACTTGACCAGTGGAGAACGAGCTTAAGAGCTGTCAAGGAAGTTATCAGCCGCGAGAGACAACAAGCTGAGGCCCAAAAGGAGCGTGAGATGCATGAGATTGAGCGAAAGGTCGCTGGAGCTACTGGAATGGGTGCAGGACGTAGAGTTGGTGGTCGTGATAATATGGTCGAGATGGGTACCGATTAAAATTGTATAAGATAGAAGAATTATGTTTCCCACGAACCAGTTTCTTCCGTCATTTCGCTGAATATCGAAAGCCATTATCGCCCGGCGTTAAGGATGTACATTTGGTTGCATAGCATCTGGCAGGATGTTGGGATGAATTCTTTGGTTTTTGAAGGAACGAGCGGAATGAGTATATACACCCTGGTCGTATAGATACAGAGAATGCAAAAAATTACAAAACCCTAATTTTACAAGCTATGACATAAATGAAAAGCAGTCAATGTCTTTAGTTTCACCATCTATCCCCGATTTAACCCATATCATTCCCCCAGAAAAGGCAAGGTCCTTCAAAATTGCTTCCCTAATCTCTGCTCCAACTTTTCGCTCGTCTCTTTGTAAACTTGGTCGGGGGTCTTAGTAGCGACTACTCGGACGACACGTCCCTGGCTCTCGAAATAATCCACAACAGGCATACTCGTCTCAACAAAAGTTCTGAATCTCTTCTTGATGCTTTCAGCATTGTCGTCCGATCTTCCACTGGTCTTTCCACGATCCAACAACCGTCTTTCCATTTCCTTCTCTGGGCAATCAAAGAACAACACGAATTTACCCTGGCAAACGGTCTCCTCAAACTTGAGCGCTTGATCCATCTGTCTTGGAAAACCATCAATCAAGAATTTGCCCTTCCCACTCCCGTCATTTTCTACCTGCTCCTTCATGGCGTTCTCGAGAAGTTGTACGGTCACCTCCATAGGTACGATCTTGCCGTCGCGAATGTATTCTTTGATCAAATCTCCAAACTCTGACCCCGGTCGCTCTTGTTCTGCGCGTAGTAAGTCGCCAGCGGAGAGGTGGGTGAAGTTGTAGTCTCGGACGAGGTTGGCGCATTGTGTGCCTTTGCCTGCGCCTGGTCCGCCGAGGACGAAGAGGACGGTGACTTCTTGGGGGGAGAAGGTAGGGGTGTCTTTCTTAGGAGCTGCGATTTGTGTGCCAGGCTCCATTTCTGGTTGTAGGGTAATTTTGTCAGCGGTGTTTGAGGTATTGGGGAGAGAGGGAATTCATGGCGGGGTGGCTTGAGTTGTACTTGGTGAAATCCGCCTTCGTCATCGTCTCTTAAAGCGGCTTTCAAGTTCTAAGCTCCCCCCAAGCTCCATTCACACAGCTTATGAATGTCTCCCATTGAAGCTCAACTTCAACGCCAAAGAATGATGAAACGTACCTTTTCGGCTGTTCACCATAAGGGCATAAGCTCCAGAACCCATCAACGTGATAGCAACGTATGGCCATATTTTCAAGGGACTTTGACCTGGTATTGGATTTGGACCCTTTTCGCCAGATGCGTAGCCACGTCGAGTTGCAGGCGCTCTTAGATTGCGGAAGATTGGAGAAATGGGCTTGCGGATGGGAGCAAATTGTTGGCAGACTCTGCGGGAGAGCAGACGGGAGGTTGGATGTGCCATTGTGTTTGTTTGTGGAATGGCAATTGAGAAGAGAGCTAAAAAAGTGATGAGATTCTTGACCTTTGGAAATCCCCTCGGCTTAATCTCGGAACTTTAATTTTGGTAGGCGTTTAAGCATAAAAAGGGGTTGCGACGGTGCGAGAACATTTGAAAAGAGCATATTCGTTGAGTATAAAATGGGTCTAAAAAGTCCTCTATATTATACACAATATCTCTTGATTCCTGCATTTCTTTCTTGTACCCTACCTAGGTAGTGTTTTGGGTAACTCTACAGGTTTTAGTCTCCCCCGTTTGTTTCCAGTTGTATCTTCCGCTTTAATTGTTGTTTTTAAGTTGAAGACTTACTACGGAGGTATTACCTAGCTTTCTCTATAATTGACCAACGTGCAATCTATCGAAGCTTTTCCACTCCTTTTTCCTTGAGCAAGCGCTGTAAGATCGTATCTAACCCGCTTTTCAATATCAATGAGTTAGTTCCGCGTAGTTCTGAGCATAGAAGACTTTGATCACGTTCTACAATTGGAGCGATATGATTTCTTTTGATACACCATCTACGCATGAAATCCTCAAAGTGTCAGAGTTGAGCGAAATTATGACATCAAGAATCTAGTATTTCGTTGACTGTAATCTTACACTCCACCCGCTTTTTATTTTCGACTGCCCGCCCATATTGAATAGCAGATCGGTATTGGCTCAAAGCTTCTTTGTTTATGTTGTAAACAAGAGACGAAATATTCTCCTTTTTGACACCCATGGGTGAGAAACAATGTTATTGTGGCCCATATCCTTGCTTCTTTAATGTATACAAAGGACAAGCGGCCCTTGTTTATATTTAATCCGCTGTCTATAGCTAAATGGAATCTGGGCAAGTTGGAACAGTTAAACACTGTCATTTTATAAATCCACTTGAAGTTGGAAGAGGAAAGTAGCTATCTATTGCAACTTGAAACTACTATCAGTTCAACCAGTCCCCTTCACAATTTTCGAATCAGTTTCAAATCTACAGATGTGTTATACCGTGACCGTCACGTTTGCGTGTGGGCATCAACATGATTTCACCACAGATTGCGAAAATTCATTCCTCTTGTCAGCTTATGAAGAGTGTCCAAGCTTTTGGGAGTCATCACGGCCAAGTTGCTCTTTCACTTGCGATGAATGTATTAAGGAGGGTGATATTGGAGATATGATTATCTTCGACGCTTTTAGTCAAAGTGTGCCAAATCATAAGGAGCTCGCTCACGATTTAGCAGAGAGATTCAGCTTGTTCTGGCAGGAGGTTGAAGATAATAATTGGGTAAGCCAACTCAAGTTTCGTACTGGGTCTGAGCAGGAATCGCCCCTAGATTCGTACCTTGCACAAGAAAATGTGATTAAAACAGAGGAGTTGGTATGGCTCATAGACTCCCACCTCTCTACAATCCTTTCAATCCGAGCCCTTGTGCTTGATAGACATGCTCACCAAGTGTCAGACGATGAAATTCAAACCTCGCAAGACGAGCTCGAGAAGCTTTCTAAACTTCTGGGTTTCCAACCGTCTTTCTTTGTCAAAATCTTAGTTAGGAAAGTAATATACGCCATGCAGCGCCAAACTATGGTAGAAACGAGTCCTTCTACGTTTGACCCTCGCAACATGACTCCTCCAGTTGCATACGAGGTTCGAACAGAGGAATTTCTCCAGATGTCACCCTATGCATGTCCAATCTGTCAAGATAACATCGGTGAAACCATCGTTTTGGGCGATAGAGAAGTTGCAATGGCAGAAAGACCTCTTCGTATGCTTTGTGGCCATATATTTGGTCATCTTTGCATCGAAGGATGGTTTCGTGCATGTGAGGTCAGTGAGGAAATTCCAAACTGTCCTCTCTGTCGTAGAACATTCCCGCCGGAGTATGAAGAGGAGCCTGATGAGACGGAAGAACCAACTTCATGGTGGTGGATTGAGATGCTTAGGGGAACTGCCCCTCTAGTTCGAGATTGGGACACCTGGGAGCCTTCAGTCAACAATTCCGAAAGTGGTGATCTTGATGATGGCCGTTGACTGACATTCATGTGAACCACCATTGACCAGCAAATCCCTAAGATAAATATTACTCAAGTTATACACCGTATAATAAAAAAATGCCCAAACTTTTAAAAACATACATACAAGATGAGAAACCGGACCGCATGTCATCATTGAATTAGGCAGGAAGAAATCTCGACAGGAAGTAAATCACAGGAATCATTCAAAACGCAAGGGACATAAAGAATGAGGGAATCCTCAGGTAGCTGAATCCATGTTCATCAAATACCGTTAACTCGTCGCCGTGAGATTCTTCCTTGTTTTCATTTTTGAAATCTTGCATTCTTCTTTTTGGGTTGCCAAATACGGAGAATAGATATTTAGGCGCATATATTCCCGTATCATACTTGCCAAAATCACCTAGATGGGTAGTCAGCAAGGGCAGTAGCGCATGAAAAAATCTCAAATAACCTTTTTCCAACAACTTTACACTTGCTGCCGATTGTAAAAGGTAGGATCCGTTGTTTAGATTGTACGCATCGAAACAAAATACGCCACAGAGCACAAGCTATAGAAATATAAAGAGAATAATACCAATTGGTATTTCAAGACAATTCAAATATTATGCTAAACATATCTAAAGCAAAAGAATAAATAAGGCACAAGATTCCTTTCCCGAAACTTTTATTGCTCGCCATACCGCCTCCGTGACATTGCAGCAACTTCTCTATCACATCCCGAAATTACCAATTGAAGTTGAGCATCTAAACAGTCTGTACTCGCTAGTACCAATGCCTTCTTTTGCGTCAGTCGTTAAGATCGTTGTTCGAGGGAAGGCTCAGGCCTTGGCTGCAAAGCTACGGTCTCAGCCAAAGTCTGAACCATGCCCGTCCTGTAGAGCCCCACTGGCGACTAGTTCACGCAGGAATCCCGACTTCACGCGCCCAACTACATGTCCAGCCTGTGGCTCGGATCTCACTACTCCCAATGACCCTCCACCTGGTAACGAGGTTACCGAGTCTTCTCCAGATACCCCACGCCCCGATACTACCCGCCCTGCCACTTCCCCGGACGACGTTGAACAACGCCTTATCAAAAAGGGGTTTCTCTAATAACACCCACAACTCTATCACTCTTTCGCCGTGGCGGCAGTTTTGCTAGATTTGTCAAAAGGGGAAACAGTGGATGGGAAGTCTCAGCCGAAGTCTCTAGCTCCGCCATTAACAAAAATGTAACACAATAAACTATATGATCTTTTCTCAGAAAATCCAGTGACAATAAGCAATCACAAAGAGAGGGGTTACCACATAGCCCACCCCACAACCATCCATAAGACTCTCTTTGTTTTACCAACGAGGACTAACCAATAGCCGCCCCAACGTGGCCAACTAGCATTTAAGCCGATCTATGAGGAAGTCCCATCCTCCCAAACTTTGAAAGAGGATCGCCACTCTAAAATTTGTTAAATAGCGAAGGCTCAAAACATCCACCGTCAAATTGAAATATTTCACCAACAGTGATTCTAGGAACCACGGTCTAGTAAGCCGATTTTGAAGATGCTGGCGTTAGAGAAGGATGATGAGTGTACTCATGCCAGTATGGGAGATCACTTGAAGCAGCCCTTGCACGTTTGCGACCCTGTTACTTTATTTGAAGGAGTGGGGGAAGGTGATTAATCTGAATAATTGGTGGAAAGATACCAGCCAGTTGCCACCTGCGGCACACGTTCTTGAGAAAGATGCTTTGCATGCTAAAGATTAATCAATGCTTTGTTTAGGAAATTTGAGAATACAGCGTTGCCTAAGATGCGTGAACTACCAAAATGGACAGTTACAGCCGCAGAAAAGAATGGAATATTAAGAGATAGAACAGCTTATTTCACCCCAGTTCCAGAAAATTCTCCAATTCCTGCATATGAGAATTACCCAAATAAAGCTAGCGGTAGTTAAAGTGAGTGTGCCTTTGTCTGTTAGCAACTAAAATTTCGTATTCTGTTATATCCTGCATACAAAGACAGCAATATCTCAAAATAGACTCAAACAGGCTATTCATTGTTGTGGATAAATGAGACAGTGCTATTGTTTATACATAAGATGGGTAGGTACGTCCCCCACCCTGCTGGAATCAATTCTTCGGTACTTGCATATTTGCTAGATAGTATTTTGAAAGCTCTAAATAACAAGAAACAGAATCAGCGGAAACAAAATCTGAACAAGAGTCAAAAAGGGTTTTCTAGACATGGTAGGATTTCATCCTCAATGGACTCAGGTGGAAGAGGCGATTCTGATGGAATTATGCCCCCTATTCAATAGTGTTATATGCTCAGAACAAGGCTTTGGGCATACAAATTCTAAAGTCCATCCGAGTGTACGAAAAGCCTATCCGATGTTCGCGAAAAGAGCAGGAGCTTTGGGATTAGAAGCCCGCACTTTGCATGGAATTGTGAGTCGGTGGGATGATCACCAAGCAAGATTAATTGCAAGGTGGGGAACAGACGGAAAATTAGCCCATGAATTTCTTACCTCATACAGTACTCACCCACTGGAGCCCGTAGCTTCACATCAAACCAACAAAGCTGTAGATAATCGAAGATATTGGACAAGACTTCAAGAGGCTCTTTTGATGACGATGTATCCTGCCATTGTGAAGGTGAGATCGTCCTACTCTAAAACACTAAGTTCTAGGCAAAACGAGAAGTTTCTGAGCGTCATTGGGCGTCGCTTGACTATCCAGATGACAAAGTTAGGACACCTACAGCCTTTTGCTTTTACAGCATTCAGGATATATTCAAGATTCCGATCCTGGGAGCAAAGAATGGTTTCTCGATGGGGAGTAGATGGATTAAAAGCGGCTAAAATGTTCGCCAACACCAAGATTCGTTTAGACGTCATGAAGAACCTTGGATATTGCTTTGAAAAACAGGGTAGCAGTGCCATAGGCTTTAGATTCTTAGAACACTTTAGTCGTCCAAAGAGGGACCGTCTTCATAGAGTAGAGTAGAGTGTAGTAGCAAGTATTTTACTCCACTCAAGAGCTTTTCAATCCTAATATACTTTATTAAAAGTAAATTCAATACTACTTAAGCAGTCAAGTGTTTATTTCGAACGCCGATCCAAAGTAAGAACATGATTTGGGCTGGAAACAGTATTGCTATACTCATGTATGGTGGTTCCAACCAAGAGTTTTGGCCACGATATTGGAAATTTCCTGGCAAAGAAGGATGAGCCAAAAGGCAAGTTTGCTCACCCACTGTCACGTTATTGATAGGTACTGTATTGATGAATTGAAAGGCGAACACCGCACCACATATTATTACGCTTCACGACTATAGAAAATTTTACTGTGTGAACATTTGAAATAAATAGGTAATTAAGAAAAGGAGAGCTCCAATTTTTGCTTCTCACCCCCCCAAAATTGATCTATAGCAATCGTAATTACTTTCATTCCCAGAAACAACCCGCTCAGTCCTGCAATACAGCGGCCACTAACTCATCCAAATTCCAACGCCAAAGTGAAACAGAAGACCCAAGAAGCAAAAGATCACTTCCGCTCAGATATCAAACATTTCTAATAAGCCAGCTGTCTTCTGCTTCTTGGATCTTCTGTTTCTCTTTGGCTCTTCTGCCTCTAAGTCTGAGACGCCCTCATCCGCAGATGATTCAATTCTCTCACTCTTCTGACTACCTCCTCCCTCTGCCCCTATACTCTCCTCCTGTTCGGTCATTCCGCCGCCGGAAGACACATTCTCGCTTTCACGAGAAGACTTTGATGTTGGCATGGAAGGGTTCTCGGCATCGACGCTTTGGCTTCTATGGTATATGGCAGGATAGGGGCTGGCAGCAGAGGGGCGAGCTCCTTGGTTGATTGGAGTCCAGCCAGAAAACGGAGCTTTTATTTGTCGAAGTTAGCATTGATTACCAGATGTTTGGAGGACATATTGGACATACCACGCAGCAAAACAGGCCCTTCGACCCAACCTGGAGGTCCGTCGGGATGGTGGTTGATGGCTGGCGCATTGGAGGCAGCAACCGCAACACGGAAAGCAGAACGAGAGGGAGGCTCCATGGTGCTTTCGCGGGAGTTGAAAGCAGAAGAACTGCCGCTGGAGGAGGAGGGAGCACCAGCAGCAAAACCAGCAACCCGTCCGCCATTTCCATATCTCGCCAACAGCTGTTGACTTGTTAGATGACCGATTCGAGGTGTAGAAATTGCGGAAATACTGACCAGATCTACGCGATCGTTCCAGTGGGAACGAACCGTATTCTCACGGAAGGTTCGGAGAACCTCAATCCCACGAGATGCAGCATTTGCGTTCATGAGAGCTGCAATCTCCCCCCAACCGAGATTTCCACCAGCAACCCTACTCTGAGGGTATACCTCCATAAGGAGGGCTTCCTCCACATCACTCCACTTGGTGCGGCTGGCAGACATAGTGTATGGTTGCAATTTATGGGCTTATGTCTGGTATTTGTATGTGGTTGTGGTTGTGGTTATTGTTACCGCAAAACAAAAGTTTGTCCTCAAAGAGTTTATAGAAGACTAACAAAACACCTTGTGGCTGCAACCTTCGCTAGTAAACAAATCGATAAGCAAAGTTTGTTGATATTTCGCTTGCGTGAATTTGTAGATCGGCTTCAATAAATGCCGATGTGGGTCAACATCCCCCTTTTCACCTCGCTAAGCGAGAAACTGTACTAGTGAATCAACACAGCGAAGAGCGAGAGCGTGTTTCGTGTAAGCTTTATCAAATATTGTAAACATTCTAGAAGAATGAAAAAAGTATTATTATTTATACGACATACGATTATGATTAAAATAAAAGAGAAACTATTTAAGTTTAATATTTATAGATAATTTGTTAACTAATGTTGCTTTTTGGAAAAAATGACAAAAGAGATACGTATTATAAATCTTACGTGAAGTAGCATATCTTACTAATGAAATATCTAACTATCTAATCCTTAAAAAAGCCGAATAATACAAGTTCATTAATACATGTTTAGTATTAATCAAGAAATTAATATCCTTTTCTCACTACTATTTGCGTAAACACTTTGAGAAAGATTAGTTTATCTAAGGGTCTGCTTTAGTGATCGGCTCACTGGCTACGTTTTTATATATGTTATAGAAGATTCTAATCTAAACGTTAGCCTTTTATTTACGTTTACTCTGCTATGTGCGCAAAAGTGTTTGGCATACGCTGTGGCTAGCTCGCACTTTTTGCATTTAATAAATTATATAAGAATTGCCAATCTACTACTCACGAATACCACCTGGCACAATCTAATTTTACTGTCTTATTTCCCAAAACAGCCGTTTAGATGATCCTACTAGTGACACGTACTTTTGTGTTTACCCAGTTGACGTTTATCTGAGACAAGTAAGTGCTAGTATAACCCGGTCGATTCACTACTGAACGGAACTCATTGGAGTTCGTGTACTCTAAGTGTCTCTTACACATATGACATGTCTAACACTATGAAAAATCACGGCTAAAACCAGTTCCAACTAATACAAAAGCACATACAAAAGCACAGGAAAAGCATATTCGTGTAGTGACTAGCCAGAAACCGGCTAAAGATGTTAACAGCTTAAAGAAAAACTTCATCCGTTACAACTCGTAAGAAAAGGGGAATCGACTTGAAAACTGCTAGTGTAATACTACATAGATATTGATGCTGTCCAATATTTCTAACCCTGTTACTACTCAACCAAGCCTGTTGCTCATTCATACCCGACTACTGTCCTGTAACTTTCAAACTCTCCTCTCCTATAGAATTTACTATAATAGCCTTTCATTATTATTCGTGAGTATCTGAAATTTGAGAACCGCTTCAGATATTCAAGGTTAGCTCCTATATTGGTTTCCAGGTACGGTTCAAAAGGAGCCTACTTCTAATTCGGCAGGGGTACGTCTGCTATAAAATTTTCAGAGAATTTCATCCTGTTTCCCACTTCAGTTGCCTTAGAATAGTTTAGATCGTTACGTTCGGACGAAGTGATTCGCTTCACTCTTACATTATTAGACCTCTTATCAGCTAGGGAACTTATTTTTCAAAAGAAGACCCAAACATTAATAGGATACCTAGACTTTTCGCAGGAGTCAACAGTTTTCAGAAGAAGTCCAAAATATCGTATGAGATGTAACCCAACTTTTCAAAGAAGATCCAACGCTTATGAGAGAACAAAGTTCGGGGACCTGAAACTCGCTTAGTAGTTATGAGAATAGATCAAATGAAAGCTATAAGTAATATTGAATCAAAGAAATAGCAGAGATTTTAATTTGCTGTGAATTACGAAAGAAGTAATAGAACAAGAACATTTACATATAAACAACTATGGTTTATGCTACTCTGCCAAGGGCCAAGAACTGGGGTTCGGTGGGTGTTAACAACGGAACTCTGTTTCCTGTTAACATTTATAGCTGGTATTAAAACCGCGGACTCCTGTTAGTCGTATATTCTATCTCAGACTTCTAGTCTTAGAAGGGTTGCCATTATCAAGGAACATTGCCTTTACTGTTTTTAAATTTATTAATTCATCGAATGTTTCTTTTGTATTCCCAAATCCACGCAACTCATTTCAATCGGATTATTTGGTCCGTTAACGAATCTTGATCTATGGAAACTGCGTCCCAAAGAGGGTAGCTTTAGTGTTACTGTATACCAATAGAGCTTGGTATGGATAGTTAAGCCCAAGACTTGATTCCTGAGATAATGTTCACCGCAAGTACAGTACTATGAAAGGCCCTGACTCGAGGCTAAATCTTTTCAATATCTATCCAGTTTTGCTTTTATATCAGACGTACTTTAAGATCTAACGTAAATCATCTCAAAGAATGCTTAGAGAGTAGTATCAAAAGGCAGCTCTTCCAGTGTAGCCATGACCGAAAGTCTTGGGTTGAATACACTGACCCTCCATATTAAGTTTTGACGGTAAATTTACTTTGCGGAGAAGCTGGAAGGTATGGATCGCTTCAAACTCGAAACACGTGACTATGCTGTTCTGAAAAATAAGCCTACGCCAATTTGTTCTATGCAAGGAAGTTATGAAAAGCCTTGACAGCAGAGTGTTAGTATACGAACGTGTACTTTATGTCAGAAGGTCCGGTACGAAAGTGCTATAAAACCCTCAAGTAGGTCTCCCCTCTGTTTCTTTTTCCATACCTCACTCTTTTACACAATTCCACGCATCCTCGCTCACCAAAGACTCATCACTTCTTCGCCCATTCAAACATGCAGTTCTTCACTCTTCTCCTGACCGGCGCCCTTGCCTCAGTCGCTCTGGCTCAAGGCTGCCCTTTCTCCTCGTACGTAGACGCAAAGAAGGCATGCGATGCAAAAGGAGTAAGTCTTTGGCTACCCTTTGACGCTTACAATACCAGTTTCTTACTCAATCGCAGGGAACCCTTTCTTACAACTGCGACCCAGTGGCGGGGATTACATCGTCTTGTAATTAGATGGATATGAGAAATCTGCTCTACAAGAATACGTCCGCAGCAAACCCCAAGCCAGGGCATGTGCACACCGCCTCCATGCGTAACTTCTTGCCAGGAACGTGAGAGAGGTTGTGGAACTGTAGTATGTGAGATTTACGGGGATAGAATGGAAAGTTTGATTTGTACCTCGAGTACGAGTACGTTGTAGTAAAAGATCAGACTCTCTACTTGTACACGGTGGAAAACATATACAAAATATCCGTTCCCGAACTAGGCCTATCAAACATATTACTTGCTGGAATGTATTCTTCCTTGCCTTGCCATCAAGTGTGATATTCCCATCGCAGGTTAGAGGGTATGGTATGCTGGAGATTCTATTTTCGCGTAGGATAACTCGTAAATTTATTCCTCTCCCCACCAGCCCCCCTCACGGAATAAAATGTTATATTTTAATTGTGGAGCCACCAAAAGAAAGTAACCTTTTATTTCACAGGAAGAAGGGGGTGGGGGAGAGTATATTTAGTATGACATACTTTCGCGGGACACCGCCTTCCGACGCTCGGCCGAATAACCGAGCACGCCCTGTATCAATATCGCCTAATGATATTTGTCTTTGAAAAAATGATAACTGTCTTTGGAGTGACATGGCCCCCAGCCACTTTACAGTGTGTTCCTAGGTATCCTTGAAGTTATTTCTGGTGCCTATGAAATTTCTCTACGCTATATCGTTAACGTCTGATACATGATGTAATAACGCTAAGCGAGAAAGGGCTTGATGAGCTCTTAGGATTCTCACAAGATAGCTGAATTTTAAACATAGGTTTATAAGACTTGAAAATTTTATAATGGTGCCTAAGTAATATCTATCTAAGAGAAAGAGAAGCTAGTATGGCGTATTAAATAGAAAAAGAGGGTTCGAGGGAATCTCTTAAGATAGAATATCACAAATTCTTTCTCCTTTACCTTACTCTCTCTCCCACTTCTATTCTACCTTCTTTTCTACATCCTCTCTCAATTTTTCTATCTCTCTTTTACTTTGTGTTTCAATCTTCCTGTCTCTCTAGGTCTCTCTATATATCTCTATCTCCTTAGCATATATAGCCCAATTAATAGAGGCCAGTATACAAATTTATAAGTACACTGGCAATTGGAGTGATAAGGAAGAAATTAGCGAGTGCAAGCCTGCGAGTATTAACAGGCTTCTTCTCCTTAGCCAGCTTAACGAAGCGTTCGTTCTCTCTTCACCTCGCTTAAGGAGTATACTCCAGACGCATTTTCTTTGTTCCCCTCTGCTGTTTTACTGCCACCAACTTCATTGTCACAAATGTCACAGACACCATTTATTCCCTTTTCAGAAACGCCCCAATAGTAACATTGTTAAACACTATCCATCCCGTCTAAACAACCATTGGCTCTCAAATACAAGATTTGCCCCCATCAGCTCCCCATCTCTTACTTTATATTCTTCATCACCTAATCTACTCATCACCTTCTTCATACCCACAAACTCAACCTAAAATCACCAATCAACCCAGCCCATCCACAACCAATCACCAGACAAAGTTCAAACAAAACAATGTCAAAACAAGCCCCCAACACACCCAATACTTCCCTTCCCACCTGGACCCCCCATGATTCCCAAAATCCTCATGGCCGTCCTCCCAACCACACCCCTCACCCCCTCCCTCACAAATCTAGTTTCCTCAATGAACAACCTATCTCTCTCCATCTACCACACCCAAACCACTCTCCACGGACCACTCCCCATCCCAAAACCCTACACCCCCTCTCAAGTATCCCACATCATGGAAACTCGGCTGCCCGAACTCATGAAGCAATTCCCACTTGCTCATATAACGTGCGTGCATCCCGAGAAAGGGGAGGAGAATAGGATCAAGGTTTTGTGGGGGAGAGCGGATGACTGGTTGCTGATGCAAGCGGTTAAGGAGTTAGGCGAGGGAGAGGAAGAGGGAGGGTTCTGTGGTGAGAAGGTGGCGGAGTGGATGACTGCTTTAGCTCCGGGGATTGGTGGTGGGCTGATGATGTACACTGCTGATGGCGTTGAGAGGGTTTGGAGGATGAGAGGAGCGGAGTTGGGGGGTGATGGGTTGGGGGAGTGGGACTGGGAGTGGAACTCAGGATGTGAACGGCTTAGTATCGAGCCTGATGTCTCTTTTATTGTCACTCCCAATGTCTTTGAAACTGATCTGGTTGGGTGTGTGCTTGATGATGAGTTGTATGAGCCTCTTCCCGGATCTCCGGTTGATCAAGTAGTTGAGCTGTGTAAGTGTGGATCTGGTGATATCGATTTAAGCTTTCAGAATTTGACTTTGGTCTCCCAACCTGTTGTAGATCTCTGGTATGAGGTTCTTGTTCAAAAGCTTGAGGTGGCTGCTTTGGAACAGGAAGAAGATGAGGATGAGGATGAAGAGGTATACTTTATTCTTTGAACATTTCTCGTTCACCTTCTTCTACTTCGTGAATTTCCTTGCCCATTAGATTTCTTGATTTAAGTGCTAACATACTCAAGGGAAAGAAAATCAATTTTCTTTTTTTGTTTTCAGTACTTTGCGCCTTTACAGCTCATCTGGAAGGAGAAATATTCAAGTATTTTACTCCCACCCCTCTCAGAATACCCCGATAAATCTTTCGGCTTAACATTCCATACTTTCCCAGTGCCCTCCAATATACCAATAACTTTTAGTACACAATTCCTTTCTTCTGACCTTTCTTCTTTTCCCCTCTCTTCTCTAGTGACCCATATTCACAACTTTCAATTTTGCGTTCTCTGGTTATATCCAAACCCCCACATTCCCAAAAAGTAATCTCTCCCTGTGTTAATAGAGTTCACAAGTATCACTCACGGACCCGTTATTCCCATACGTCGTGAGCGATACTTTAAAACAAGGCATATCACCGTTGTGATCTTTAAAATCGCGGGAAGGAAGGGAATCGAAGAGATGCATATAATAGTCAGTGCGTATTTTCTCAAGCCGTGGTCACTACTCAGACGGACCAAGAGCTACCAAAATCGAAAACAGAGCCAGACAATCTACCTCTTTTGACATAGCGGAGAACTTATTGATGGTTATAGGGCAGAGCTCGTATTGGCTCAGGATACGCAGCATATATCACCACGTGCCGTAGGTTGGAGGATAAGAAGAAAGCTAGGTAGGCGATGAATACCGCTGTCGCTTAAGAAAAGACGCTCTGATTACTACGGCTCAACGAAACGAGGAGAGGGTGTTTGATATCGAGGCGCCAAGGATATTTACAGTCGTTCCTAAAGTTAACCTCCATGGGGAACTATCGCCTGGCGATTTGAGCTTTCATTGAGGGTTGGAACATAGTGGGTGAAGGTTCGTGTTAAAACGTGCAAAGAGATAAAAGAGTGCTGTTGGTGCCTTTGTGTATTATATATCAAAACCTAAAACCTTTACACGAATCCCAAAAAACCCCACAAAATACACCATTATAAAACCTTCTCATTCCCCCAGGACCACTTATCCCCATCTTCTAATTCTCTCTTTCCATACTGAGTCCTCTCCCCATTTCCAAAAGCCGGCAGATAAAACCTATCATAAGTCCTCCACATAACATTGAAAACAAGCAGCGTCAAAGTCGCTAACCAACTCGGAATCTTCCCCTGATCGTCTGCAAACGTTTTCCCCAGCTGTATAATGGCAAAGATGAGGGGAGCCCAGAAGGCTAGGAACAGCGCTTGGCCGAGACGCTGCCTTCTGGTGGTGATGATGTAGGGTCTGATGTTGTAAAGGTAGGCAAGGTATTCACTTGGGAGGGAATGTTCTTCTGCGCCAGTGGTGATGAGATTTAGGTAGCGGGCTGAGGGTTGGGCATATGAGGGATCGGGACGTTGGAAAAATTGTGTGGCATCCACCACATCTTTTAACTGAGTGTTTATTGAGAAGCGGTTCTCATCTGAGTCTTCTCGTGGTTGAAGAAGAGTATGTGCCAAAAATGGGACACCTTTTGGCTCAGGATCTACCGTCTTGCCGCCCGGTGGGAGAGTATAACAAGGTACGACGACGTCTTGATAACTTGCTCCTCCGCCTTCGGTTGCGATGATGGTTCGGAAGTCTTCGGGCGTGACTTCGTAGACTACGCCGATGAGACCCTTATGCCATCGATCCTTGTGATATTCATGTTTCTTGTGAGGATCATTCAAGGGGTCCCGGATTTTGGTGTTTGCGAAACACGGTTCTGAGTAGGGAATTCCAGCGAGGTCGAATGTCAATGAGAGAGTGGGCACGTGGACATTACATGCGGAGATGGGTCTGATTCCTCTAGTGCCTATGAATGTTTCGGCGGAGAGATTTGAGCCGTAGGCTAGGTAGAAAATAGTTTTTGAATCCAATGAGGAGAGCCGTTCCTGTGTTGTAATTGGGATCGACATTGTTGAGTATGGAGATGTGCTTGATCTTGGGACGTTTTGGAATTGGAGAATTAATTTCTTGCCATTGCATGTAGTCTTCGGGAATGTTGCCATACTGAAGGCTGGAATACGAGAGTGTTATTGAAATTGAATAAACTTACATCCAACTGAGGGAAAGATTGATGGAAAGAAGCCTATGAAGGCTCTGGAAGAACGAGATATATATATGATTCACGGTGAGATGAGATGAGATGGCACGGAGATAAAGACATTTTTGAAAGGTTGTAAGCTTCAGCCTCCGTTGCTGTGTAGACGGAAGCTGACCAAGCTTTTGACCACCCCTGTAGGAGCACGGATCCTTGAGCATGAACAATCAGGCCGGCCGAAAAAAGGTCCATATCCGTGTACTACCTACCGGTGCTACCTATGTAGTATATGTTTTATGTATCAAAATTCTATGTTCCGTGTATAAAAGTTCTCTAATTATAACCTCCCACTAGCTAGGTAGTAGGGTTGTATATAAACGGAGGGTAAACAAGCTAAAATGTCTATGGCTTATATACTTCTTTTATGTCTAACGTGGTTTATCAGCGAGTCGATCATATCACCGAGTCGATCACTTTTTCTTGGCACAGAACTTTACACCTAAATAAATCAACCACAATATATTAAATTGATTATCGCTCTCTATATCTGACGAACTAGATATATCTATAACTTCTTGACAAGTTCGCGCGTTATGACCAGCTTTTCCACAAGTTCTACAGCGCCGCCTAGAAGGTTGCCCCTCCTTATAACCAACCCCCGCCTCACGCATGTCGCGTCGTACTTGCTCATCTACATCCTCCTGAGCTAACATATCCTGTACATCCTCTACTATAAGTGCCCCTCCTTGGCGGACACGAGTCTTTTTAGCCCTACGGCGTTTACTTAGGGCTTCATTTGCAGCGCGAAGGGTACGGACCTCAGCAGACAAAAGGGTCATCTCATGTGCCATTCGCTCTGTACCCTTTGCTAACGCAGCAACTGTTTGAAAAAGTGGAGTTGGCGAGCTTCCTTGATGACAGGCTATACGATTTCGTACAAGAGTTGATTGTGAAAGGGCTTCAGTTGGGTTGGAAGGGGTCTGGGACACCCAGGGGAGGGAGTTGGCACTACACGTCCGAGGGGGAGTTGGAGTCCGTAACCTTACGTCAAGCTTTGAAAGCACTGCTTGCGGGTTAAATGGTACTAGGCCAGCTCCGCGGAATCCAGACTGACAGTTTAGGACTGTCATTGTTTCCTTGTATGCTGCTGTAAAGGCTAGAAAGAACTCAACCTTTGTAATATGGTTGATATGGGCCTTGATAAACGTCTCAATCTGCCGACCATACGCTCGTTTTAACACACTATAGCACCCAACATCAAGTGGCTGGGTTAGATGGGATGAATGAGGAGGTAGTCCAAGAGTAATAATGTTGTGTTTCGTACAGTAGTCTTGGAACTCAGCCGATTCATGACTCTCGTGCCCATCCAAAACTAGTATTCGATACAGACCCTTTGCACGAGCTGTAGTGTGTTTATCAAAGTGCTTTAACCATTCCAGGCCTGTTTCATTATTTGTCCAACCATTGCTTGTCGGTTTAATAACCCAGTTAGGTGGGAGGCCGCCGTCGGTATACCAGTTGGAGAGATGGTTCTTGCCCTGAACTACCAAGAATGGAGGAATACTCCAGCCCTCCCCATTAATACAGGCAATTGCTGTAGCCCATTCCCGATTGCCTGGCTGAACTGCCTTGCCTCTACCACGTCGGTCTGCACGAGTAACAACCATTCTAGGACAAATAACACCCATCATAAAGCCTGTCTCGTCGAAGTTGTAGAAGTCGGAGTCTGTAACCCCATATTTCGCCCTCATATTCTCTACTAGCCGGAACCATGCGCCTAGCACGTCAGGATCTTCGCATAAGGCCCTCTGGAAGTCGTAAACGCGATTAAAACGCGTCTTAAGGTCTGGTTGTCGTTGTACGAATCGATGGGCCCAGAGCTTGCCGACGCGTCTTCCCCCCCGCGATTCAAGGATAAAATTAGCCATATCTTCTACACCAGCGAGCCGGGGCGCAAATCCTCTGGAATCCATATCCAGTATATACCGAATAATCACTTCCTCTTCTAACTCAGTCAACTTATGACAATTGGCTTGAGAATCTGGGCGGTAGGTTCGGCCAGCCATTCTGTCGGAAAGAGTCGTATATGGTACATTGTAGATCTTTGCCGCAGAGCGTTTGCTTAGTTTTTTGGACGACCGAATAGCCTCAATAGCTAGAGTAATTCGCGCTTCTTGAGTTTGAATTTCCATGGTAAATAGTTGAAGAAAACGTGTGTTGAAGTTTGAGGAGGTAGTGCCAAGGAAAAGTGATCGACTCGGTGATATGATCGACTCGCTGATAAACCACGTTATTCCTATACTTCTTTATATATTACGATTTAGATCTATAACTACGCACTCGCCTAAATATAGGGGAAGGGGGTAAGAATTATTGTGATTAAGTATATACTTATAGAAACAGTAGGAGAAAGAGATAGATTAAGAGATATAGAGAGAGATAGAGAGATAGGGACTTGCGAGTAATATTACTAAGGCCGAGGGTATAAAAAATAAGAAGAAATAAAGGAAGGGTAGGAGAATAGTAGTAATTAATATATAAATGGTTCGAGGGCAGTGCGTCGAGTTAGCCTAAAACGTTATTACGAGCCAGTCCTAGGTACTTGGACTAGTAAAAGTATTTACTATAGAGAAATCAACGTGTCTAAGTTGTCAATGGCTTACCTATGTACTTTCTATACATGTTTTATGGGTTCTAAATCTCCAAGACGGGCGTATAGTCCATATTGCCGAGTTTCCAGAGAAGGCAATCTTAGTTCAAGAGTCTCAGGAATTTACGATCGAGTTACGAGTAAAAATCTCCATCGAGATTTTAGGAAACCAGATTGCAGGAAAGGTGTATTTTCAGATGAAGAGCGAGGGTGTTTTATTCAGACCGCTATTTGGCAGTGACTTCCAATTAAAAGGCTACAATATAAGTGAATGAACCTTTTGTATATTCGACCCGGGTTTCCATAGATTATTGCATTTACACCTTTTCCGGAAACTCCACAAGGCAGACTATACAAATAACATAAAAATCGGGTCTCTTTAGTGTTCTTGTCATGGTACTGTATATGGATGACGTGCAGGGCAAGAAAGCGGGACAATATAGTCTCCGTCTCCGACGATCTTCCCGTGTCCGTAATACAGTACAACATGGAAATATGCATTATTTTGTGTGTGCATAGGCATGTGGAGAGGAGCTGCAGTGAGATTCGGGAAGTCGTTCAGTAGCGAAGCTGTCATATAGGAAAAGAGTCGTAGTCACTGGAAGTTGAGGTCAAGAGCTGATTTGATTGGTTACAGCTGTTGTACTGCAGTGGGTCCCTCACTGTACGGGTTGTCATCACCCCCAACGGCGTCTGGAAGGCTTCTACCTAGTAGAACTGCCTACGATACATAACCTCAACTTCTACCCAAACATGTCTCTAGTATCTGGTCCCGGTCACGCCGGTCCATCCTCTCTTCCAGATGAACTCCAACTCGCAATCGAACCGCATGTAAAATACATCCAAAGCCTCGATTCGGTATGACCCTTCAGTTGGATTCTACCCCACTACCACTGAAATACCGCAGCGCAGGGATGAGCTCGAACACTGGCTCACAGAGCACCTTCGACTAAACGGTCTCTATTGGGGACTCACTGCTCTTCACCTCCTCGGTCGACCTGATGCCCTTCCTCGAAACGAAACCATCGACTTTGTGCTGAGCTGCCAGAGCGAGAATGGAGGCTTTGGGGCGGCGCCCGGACATGATGCGCATTTACTGTATACGTGCAGTGCCGTGCAGATTCTTGCCATGGTCGATGGTTTCGGAGAGTTGGAATCTAGGGGCAAGGGAGAGGGAGGTGGGAAGCTGGCGGTTGGGAAATGTGGGTGACCTTTCATGTTCTTGTGCTGAGCGCATACTGATTGCTTTCCCGATAGATATTGCGAACCTCCAGAATCGAAGTACAGGAACATTTGCAGGTGATGAGTGGGGCGAGGAAGACACAAGGTTTCTGTATGCGTCCCTCAACGGACTGTCTTTGCTAAAGATGCTGGACTTGGTTGATGTTAATCGCGCCGTGGAATATATCGTTTCATGTGCAAATTTCGATGGTGGATATGGTTCAACTCCAGGCGCCGAATCACACTCTGGTCAGATATTTACCTGTCTTGGGGCATTAAGCATTGCCAAAAGAATTGATGTGGTGAACGTCGATAAGCTTGGTCGATGGCTGAGCGAGAGACAGGTTCCAGCAGGAGGGCTGAATGGCCGTCCAGAGAAGCTGGAGGATGTCTGCTACAGTTGGTGGGTTTCTAGTAGTCTGGCGATGATTGGAAAGCTACACTGGATTGATGGGAGCAAGCTGACGGAATTCATTCTAAAGTGCCAGGTTTGTGTTGAAATTTTACAATTGGTGGGAAGCGCTGACAAGAAACTCCAGGACCCAGAGAGAGGTGGCATTGCTGATAGACCAGGTGATATGGTTGATGTGTTCCATACAGTGTTTGGAATTGCTGGACTCTCATTACTTGGCTACCCAGGACTGGAGGACGTTGATCCTGTCTAGTAGGTCATCTTCTCATATCCCACCACTTACATACTGACGATCCTAGCTGCATGCCAAAAAGTGTCATTGAGCGAGTGCTTGGCTAAATTAATAACATGTAATGCAAATTATGATACATCTTTGTCCCCTATTTCCTTCATATAAAATAGTAAGACTCTTAACGCATATGGTCAATTTCATAAATTCCGTTGTATTCTCCATAAGCTGGCAATAGGCTGGTCAAAGCTTATCGCCGAATAGACTCGAGAATGAGCAAGATTTGGTAACTCTAGCATTGACAACGGCTTGATTTTACTGAAATTGCTCCTTTGCTTATTTTAGTTACTGGATTATGTAGCACAATGTGAGAGAGAGGCTTTGGGTTCAAAAATTGCCCATACAATGGTTGCCAGCTCTTGTCCTTCGCTTAATCGGTTAAACCTCCTGCCATCTAATACCCTACTACCATAAACATTCAGTGGTTGGAGGATACAAGGCAGGAGGAGAAGAACTCCCTCGTTAGTTTGAGGAAAAGTATGGTTATTCAGTACTGTACTTTTCCAAAGACTGACGGGACATCTTTGTTGTCTATAGTCTTCAATTTGCCTTACCTAGCGAAGCATATTCTGTCTTTTTCTAGATGGTCGGTCAGCGCCTAGACCTGCGTCTGTCTTACAATGAATTGATCAACCTGGAAAATATGTTTATGAGCTTTGCATTTTCATATCATCATTTGCCAGCATTCTTTTATTCTAGCCGTACTCTGAGATGGGGAATAGAGGTCCTGCTTCCACTGTGTTGCCTTTGGTTGATACGAGGCACTTGACAAATCTTCTCAACTTCCTCTACCTTCATGCTCTCAAAGTTTGTAGCCTCACCAATACCTCTATCAAAGGCTATACTTGGAGGCAATCATATCCTTCCAGCTTTACTCTCTCTACAAATAATCTTTAAATCGGTTTCTGTTCAATTGAGAAGTTCAACCGACAGACGCGGTCAGTTTGACGCGTTGCAGCCTGGGAAGCTCCTTCCCTCTCAATCTCCATCAAACTCTCCAACTCTCCCACCCTTCCACCCCTCCACCTAACACTCAATAAGAACCTGCTCCTTCTTCACTTTCGTTCCTTCCCTTTACAACGATCACACACACTCACCTTTGATTGGACCACCCAAGGCTTAGCGTGACTTCCTCTTTCGTCACTTGTCCCCCTCCACCTTCTCCCCCAAAGTTCTTTCCCTTCAACCTCCTACCAATCTTCTCTTCCGCCAACCAAAAAGACACAGCTACCTACACTACGAGCTCCAGCTTTGGTGTACCAGCGTCGTTGATTTCCAACTCACCCTCCCAGCACCACCTTGGATCTTGGATCACTGGGCCTTGCTCTGCCCAGTCCCATGCTTGGTTGTGCACTCCACTGTACCCTTCAGGTTGGATTTAGAACCTAGAAGTAAGTCGTTCATCTTCATCTTCATCTTCGCTCTCTTTGTTGCCTGAGAAGGGGCGACAGAGACACAAGCTGATCGTAGTCACCTTCCAGCTGTTCTAGCAGAGCGGGTTGTTTTGTGCCTCTCGAAAAGTAACCACGACACAAGCCATCTTTGAGCCAGCAGAATCAGCGAAGGAATCCGGCCTTCACAAACCAAATCCATCCTGATCACGCAACACCAGTTATTCCATCAACACCAGAGGCATTCTTCAAACTCCCACATCTTTACATCCAGGAAGGTATGCCATCCACACTTGCCAATTTCTTCAACTCTTTTGCTTCTCCAGTGTATTGAACATTTTTGAAAGCTTCTGCAAGACATGATTCTCTTCACAACTTCAAAGTCAATCGCTTGCACAGGTTGCAAAACCCTAGACAATCCTCTGGCTTGCCAGAACACCTACCACCCTTTGACACTGAATCCTAGTTACCAAGCCCTTCGCACATTGGGAAGGGTCTTTCTAACAATCTCTGCAGAACAGGCCAACAAAGTTTGTTGACACGTCCTCCCTTCATTCTCCATTCAAAATAGACAACCGTCCTCTTCCACTCTTCCCACCAGACATTGAATAAAGACGAAACAAAAGATGGATTCCGGCTCTGGAGATTTTGATTCTGATATCAAGATCGAAGTAGGCACAATGCCAACTAAGCAGAAGCCCAAGCCCAAGGGCAAGTCGAAGCCACCGAAGCCAATGACAAGCGTTCCTTTGATCTGCAGTATCTGCCCAAAGAGCCCCCAATTCTCCGACATGTCCCACCTGCTCACGCACATTTCCTCAAAATCTCACTTGGCCAATAAGTTCAAACTCACGATCCGCTCTCAGTCGGAGCCAGCAGCCAAGAAAGAGCTAGAGGAATTCGAGTTCTGGTACATAAACAACAACCTTCCTGCTCTCCTCTCCGAACGCATGGCTGTCAAGGATCAAAAAAGAGCTGCAAAGGATAGAAAAAACAAACTTGCCTGTAGTCTTCCAGTTGTGAGTGGAAACTTTGCAAGCCCCGTAAGTTCACTTCCTCAACCAAGGCTTGCGTATCGTCGAGTGACTAGTGACTAACCAGGTGTCAACATGCAAGAAGAAAGAAGATACCATTTCGGCAAGCTCTTCCGTACTTGAGCAAACACCTATTTACCGTGCACCAGTTCCCCACATGCACCTCTGGCCAACGACTCGGAGTGGAGGCAGAGCCACAACGCCAACTGCAGATGATTGGGCGACAGATCATATCTTCGAGACACCTGTCGCCGCTCGTCGACCAAAGGTAGGGAAGAGAAAGATGCCACATGGTAATGACAACCTGGATCCGAGGTATGCTGACAGTTTTCTTTTCGTAAAACCCAGCTAACCTTTAGCAGACTTGTTACCCCAGAAAAACTTGATGACGATGACGATGAAGAGGAAAAGACTACGGATCCGGTCGATAGTGCAGTCAAGCTCAAGGGCATCTTTTGGCCAGGTATGGATCTTTTCGACTCAGCCACCCCAGCAATGAAGAAGAGAAGGAACCAAAAGAAGGAAGTTCGAGTCTTGAAAAATCTAATGGCCATCTCAGAGGAGGTCCAGCCAGTTCAGGTCAGCTATTTTGCCAACGGCGAGGTCAGAGAGTCCAGAGATATATTTGGCCCACTTTCGGATGTTGAAGACGCAGTGAGTACTCCCAATATATTTATCAGCTTGCTAGCCAGCCACTGTACCCTCCTTCCATGAGCTTCCTGTGGAAATTCAGATTCGCCTGACATGATGCCTACCCCATTTTTACCGTGCTCGTAATTGAGGCAGCTCTCTTACTTACATGCCTAGGAACCGCCCAAGGGTCCATCTCCAAAGAAGCGCAAAGCCCGAAAGCCAGCTATGTCGAATGCTAGCACCAATGCCCCAAAATTGAGAGCTGCTCGCAAAACAAAGGCCAGTACCAGAGGAAGCCCAGCAAAGTTACCTACGATGTCATCGATGCCATCTATGCAGGCTCCTAGCAACCATGGACTCTTTATGAAACCTATTCCAACTCTCAACCCCTTGGCACCGGCCGCGGGTATGACTCAAGGCTTCGTGCCAACTCGCGAGGAAGACGAGGAATTCAAATTGACCATGGGCAATATGGGAAATTTGAGAAAGAAGATTCCCTTCGAAATCTATCAAGAGGCACCTGAGGATAGTCCAGGTAGATGCCCTTTTATCCAGCACGCCCATTTCACAATCGCTAATATGAGTTTCCTTTACCTTTGAAGGACACACAGAAAGTTCTTTGGAAGATCACCGATTTGATTTCTCGAGCCACGCGTTGCCTCAGCCTACGGGCAATTCGTCGTCTTCTGGTACTCATGTTTCTCCAACGCCTGCTCCCAAGCCTGCACCAAGCCGTCCTGTAATTTCATCAGGCAAGGAAAACACGAGACCAGAGATCAGACAAACACCACCAGAGATGCAACCACAGTCCAACTTTCATCATCGGCGTCCATTAGCACCTTCCCAGGGCATGTTTCCTTCTTACTCTCCACATTTGTTCTATGATGCGTTCCACAATCCGCTGTTCAGCCAAGATTATGCGCGTCCTTTTGCGTACACTAGCCACGACCATAACTTGAACTTCACTGATAACATGAAAGCTTCTGGATACGCTTCCAATTTCAATGGAGATTTCAGACCAATTACGTCCATGACCCGTACGACGCTTTCTCACTCAATCAATTCGATGGCAACGAGCAATACCACTACCGGCGAAGCTTCCAACCATGGTCTGAATTTCGATATTTGAGTATCTTGTGATTCGGGCATACATCAACTTTCACGGGCCCCTTCTTTTTACTGGGGTATTTAGAGAAGGACATGCAGGGGCGTTTGACCATTTTATTGCTTGCATTTGCTATATCATTGTTCTCGTTTTTTCGGCCTCTCGGGATATTCAACACAGGACATTACTCGGGGAGGGATAGATACGTTTATGAAGGACAGTAGGTTGCCATATGCTTATTATTGCTATCATTCATCCATAGTATTAGGGAATTATAGTTGCTCAATACCAAGGATCAACTGATCGAATTGATCCGAGTTACCTTCTTCGCTTGTGATTACGTCGCCCAGTAATCTTGACAGACCCGACAGTTTCTTTTGCTTCACATTCATCTCCAACTCATTTGACTTCAGGGTAGCAGTATCCAGCACAGCTTTAGGGATGTTTGCCAGCCTCGCGACATTCATACCATAAGAGCGATGAGCAACACCCTCGCCCACTTCGTAGAGAAACGTGATTTCCTCAGCACCATCCTCACTCTTCTCAGCATTAAACTTCATATGCACATTCCTCAACTCCTTGCGCTCGAAGCCCTCAGCCAAACTCGCAAGCGTCTGATAATGCGTGATAAACAAACACAAACACTTCGTTTCCCTCACCACCCAATCCAGTACACTCCCCGCGATCGCGACCCCATCATGGGTACTGGTTCCCCGACCTAATTCATCTAGAATCACGAGACTCCGCGGCGTGGCGGATTTCAGGATCGCGGCGGTCTCGGAGAGCTCGACCATGAAGGTACTCTGCGCGGTGAAGAGGGAGTCGAAGGCACCCATGCGGGTGTGGATGCTGTCGAAGAGGCCGAGGGTTAGGGAGGTGGCGGGGACGTAGGAGCCGAGTTGGGCGAGGATGGAGAGGAGGGCGAGGGAGCGGACGTAGGAGGATTTGCCGCCCATGTTTCTGTGGGGGGTTTTGGGTGAGTTTTTGGGGTTGTGGGTGGGGGTGGGGAGTGAAATAAGCGAGGAAGGGGTGAGGGGGGGAAAGGATAAAGGGGGAGAGGGGAGGTTACTCACGGTCCGGTGATGAGGAGAGCTCTGGTTGAGTCTTCGGCTGTGGATAGTTTGGTGTCATTGGGTATATAAGTCGTAGGAAGAAGCTGCTCAATCATCGGATGTCGACCCCCTACAACATCAATACCTGGAACATCAGAGAAAGTAGGTTTACAATATCCCGGCAAAAGAGCAATAGTAGCAAGCGAAAGTAACGCATCCAGATTCGCAAGCGAAGAAATGGTATCCCTCAATAATGCATAATACCCACTGATCTCTACCAACAACGCAGACAACGCGGTGTCACAAGCGGCCGAGAGGGATTCCTTGTGTTGATCTCGTTCGCGTAGCATGCGGATGACTTCTGGGGTGTGAAAACGGGAGACCTTCTTTGTTCCTGAGATTTTTGCCCAGGAGGCAGGCACAAGTTTTAGGTCTGTGTTGGGGACTTCGATGAGGTACTCGATTCCCGACACCGAGACGTAGACGACGGATTTCTTCTTGAGTTTCTCGGCGGCGACGAGGAGGTGGGATGAGAGCTCTTGCTCGACGGCTGCGATGCCCATTTTGTGGTCGCCGATTTCTTCCGTCTCATGTTCTTCGCGGAAGAAGGCGTATTTGTCGTCGGTGCGGGCGGCTTCTGCGTTGAGTTTGTCGAGGATGGATATTACGGTTTCGTTGATGGTTGGGAGGGAGGCGATTGCTTCGTTTAGGAGAGGAGACTTGAAACCTGCGTCTGAGGGGGTTTTGACTTGTATGTATTCATTGGAGATTTTTTGGAGGGTTTGGAGGGTCGTCAGGAGTTCGGGGCGGGTGCATTTTCCGTAGTAGATTCTGATTAGACTTCTTTCGAGGTCGGATTTCGTTCCTCGTAGTAGGGAACGGATTTTGTCGACTTTAGGGGTTTGGTCCCCGTCTTTTAGCTCTTCTACTGCGGAGACACGTTCTTCAAGTCTCTCTTTGTCGAGGAGAGGGCGACCAACCCATTTTCGAAGGAGTCTTTGGCCGAACCGTGTGTAAGTTTTGTCTATCGTCCAGAATAAGCTACCTTTTTGAGTATTGTCCGTCTGATTGTGATAGATTTCGAGACTGCTGAGAGTGTTGCCATTCAAAACCATATGTGATCGAGCGCTGAATGACTGAAAGTACTTTGTCAGGTCGAACACATGCTCCAGGCCGTATTCGGTCATGTGGGTGATCATAGCCGATAGGCAAATTGTGACTTCTTCAGGGAGCTTCAAGACCTTTTCCAGCAGGGTCTGTTCCCTATCATTACCAGAGCTCTGGCTGCTTTTCAGTTTGTCTGCGTAGAATTGGGTAACATGTGAATAGGCCTCCGCTGCCATAGTCTTCTTCTTTTCCATATGCTCAACACGTACTTTGTCACCGAAAACATTTGAACTGGAACCAGTAAGGTGTCTTACGAGCTTGTCCGAGGCTTTTGTGAGATCTCCGACGATCAGAAACTCGCATGGTGCAATATGAAGTAATCTTGTCTCAATTTCATTCCTCATGAATCCGTCCTCGAATGTATCATAAATGATGTCTCCGGTTGCCGGTTGGACTGCCAATATTCCGACATCCACCTTCTCATCAGTCCCCCATCCTTTGGCTTTCGATTCTGTAATACAAAGCAAATATCCGGTTGCGGCGGCACCACCTGACGAAGCACCTACTGATTGATCAAGTCCTTCAACGTCATCGATGTAAGTTCCTTTCGTCCAGACGTTTGTAAGCTTTCGTACAAAAGGGGCGTTTCTGTTATCTCCGGCTTTTTTCAGAGCTGCAGTCTCGATTTGCCTTACAACTCCAATTTTATGGCCCGCTGCAACGAGTCTTTTCGCATGTACTGGCAATCGATGTGTGGGGATACTGGCTGAAGCAAAGCGATCGAGATGGGCTTCTGAGGGGTCTACAAATTTATCAGCGAGGCGTCACTGGGGTACAAATCGTGTGGCCAACCTACGCTCATCATATCTAAATTTTCCTGGTATACATACAATACTCAAATCCTTCGCCGCAGTTCTTGCATCCTCTCCGAAGAATTTGAATTTATATCCGACCTCCACGATCAAGAGTGTATCCATATGTTTCCTCTTGATTTCTAGAACCTGCAACTCGAGAGGAGTCAATTTTCCGGTCTTCGCCCCCTTCTTCTTAGTTTTAGGAGCTGGTGCTTCTTCTTCATCTTCGTCTCCATCTTCCTTTCCCAAGGCCTCCGTTTCGACGCTGATCTCAAAATTCCTCCGTTTAATTCGCGCGATACTATCAGGATGTCCTAACTTCTTAACAAACTGCCTGTGCAGTTCCTCCTTCCTTGCCTTGGTTGCGTCATCGTCCACTTCCTCCTCCGGTCTTGCTTCACCACCCGCAGATTGGCTCGAACCAGTGTACAGATATTTTTCCGTTCTCTGCGAAGGCTTAGGCTTCGAAGATGTAGATTTACGAGCATTCGTGTTCGGGAAGAAAGAACTAGTACTTCCTTCCTCGTCGCCTTTCGATCGTTTGCTTGGTCTTTCTTCTGTTTCGTCTGCCTGCGGTCGTTTTGATGCGCCGTTCGTTATTGATTGCAGAGCTGATTCTGGTTCAATATCGCTATCGGCATCGTATATATTCTCGGCTGGGCTGGGCTCTCGTGGTGGAGCTGGTGCTTGTGAAGGCTGCGATAAGCCATTGACTGTTTTTTTGGTGAAGAAACTGGCGATCGACGCTTGTTTGGTGGGGGTGGCCTTTGGTTTACCCATTTTCGGTTTCGGGGATACTGGTACTGACTTTGCAATGTCTTGTACCAGTTGGGTAGTTTGGTGTTGAAAATGTGTAGGAGCGCAGGGGACGCGATCGAGACGCCATATGCGCGCGTGCACAGGTGCTCGCGTAAAGTGGCCGTGGAACATCCTTGCAACTCTCATGATCATGGTCATTGTCCTTTTATCACTTTTCCAACGACTTCGGATTTGAAATATTAATATCTTCAGATTTTTTCCCTAATTATCTCGTCACCACTGCTTCACGAAAGGCCATTAGAGTGGTCTTTGGTACTTTTTTCCAACTTCTAGGACAAACCATCTAATTGTCCACATCAACTACTGTACCGGATTGTCGAGAAGAGAAAAGCAAAAAAGGTAGTTTCCGAGTTTTCCACAGAGAAGTTAGCTACTTATCAAGAACAATCATTCTGCCTGTGGCGAGAATGCCTTCAAAGCTTCCCTTGATATTTTATCATGCGAGCGCAAGCAATGATTGATAGAAATATGGTCAGTCCCTCCGATATCAAGTCCTGGCGGGGGGGGGAGAAATTCAAAGATTGGTATTAAAAGATTGGTTAATTTTCAGTTGAGAGTTCTAGGATCAATACCAGCTAGAACAAGTCGATCCATTTCTGAGGAGGATTTCGAAAGGTCTCAGGACTATGCGAGTTTCCTTCGGGGCATCAAGCACAACATTGGCCTGTCCATCCATACGACAGTAAAAGCTCGTGGAGCGGTCGGGTATCTACCTGCAAGTCAAGTGGAATCGCAGCATGGTATACACAATTACCGAATTGAAATTACCAAAGAAAAATGCGACCAAACATGAGTCTGGCAATCATTATCATTTTTGTTTTATAGCGATATATATTCAAACTTTTCCGCCAATCAACTATTTAACACAGCAAAGCCCTCCAACTTTTTGAAAGATAAGAAATATTCAAGAAGAAGAGGTACAAGAATCACCACCCCAAGTAATAGCCACTCCGGCTTCACGATAGTCTTGAATGTCTCAGTCTTCCCCCCATTCCGGACAGGCGCCGTACTCGAACACACTTCCCTCAACCCTTCCTCCTCCTCCTCCCTCTTCCTCTCGGTCTCTCTCGCAAAAACATCCAGAATTCGCGGAACTAGCAAATGCAGCTCATTCCTCGGCATCTGATCCACCATCCCAGGATCACAAACCTCATCCAAACACCCCAATAGCTCTTTCTGCAAGCTCCCTACCTCAGAGATGGTAAATTCCCTCCCTTCGTCTAAGACGGAGAGTCTTATGAATGTCTTTGTGGCGTTGTATAGACCCTTGAATTCATCTTTTGCGATTCCGCGCCAGGGGAACCCTTCTTGTTCGGAGGACTTGGTGGTGTCATTGGAAGAGAAGGAGAGAGGATTGTCGTCGACGACTGAGGAGGCGAAGGCTAAGTTGAAGAGGAACGAAGAGCCGGAGCCGGAAGAGAGGAGACCGGTGCATTCGCGTTTTTCCCATTGGATGAAGGAGTCTAGTGAGGCGAGGAAATCGGTTATGTGGTTGGTTTGTGCTAGGGTCTTGAGCTTGTTAGGCTTGTTCTATGACTATTATAGAAACTTTCTAACTTACCTTTCCCTTGATACAGAATGGTTCATCTTCTGCCTGTTATTTTGTAAGTTGTGTACTCTGAGCGTTGAAGGATGTGTCATCTTACGTTTACTTTTGGTTTTAGGAAACTGCTTGAACGGGGACTTAAAGCTGGTCGTCCTCGTTTTCGTGAGTATATGCTCTCTGATCTTGCTGCTTTCACTCTCTCAAACGGGTTTGGCTTTTCGGAGGAACTTCCTTCATGCGAGGGATTGTCCTTGTTATGAAATTCTGGAAACGAATCGGTCTCGGTAAAGGCTTTAGTCGGACTGTCTTTGTGTTTGTAGCGAAGAAGGTGACGAGGCAGGAGCCGGTGATCGTGATTCTCTCAAGACTATATCTGCCAACATCTGTGGCGACAACTTGTTCGGCTTATTCTGAGGTAAAGTCTGAGAATTCTCCGGCGATGATTTTCTCACCTCAGGCCAACTCATAGAAACCGCTTTTCTCGATGAAGAAGTAGGAGTCCTGGGCGAGAACTGGGTTGGAGACATAGTGACAAGTGGCTCTTCATCATCAGCGATAAGAAGTCTGATACTCGTCCGACCTCTAGGTAAATCCCCAGCAGAGTTCGACCTCTGACGATGCAACAGTGGAGGTTTACGCGAATGTCTCCCCGTTACCGAAGGTCCATACGGTACTTTCCCAGTAAGGGGAAACCTCCTGCCGCTCTCAAAGTCTGAGCCTGTTACCTCCCTCTCACCATGAGTCAAAGCAGAAGTCCCGATATTCCTCCTCACAAAATTCCTCCCCCTTTCCATTCCTCTTGTTCTTAGATCCATCCCCGAATCACTCATTGCTGCCTCATCCTCTTCCAACTCGCTTCTAGGCATCAACCTAGCATCCTCCTCCAAGCCCTCCCATAACTCCTTATTGGTACGCTGCTCTTCATCCTCTAACGGACTCCGCTCTTTCGCGGTAGTTGTCCTGTGTACACGTCGTTTTTCTACAGTAGCTTGGATCTTGTGGTATATTGGTTTTTCACCACGGGCTATGCTGCGAATTAAGGGGAAATGTTCTCGCTTCTGACTTGAGTTGGGTGTTGTGGGTGTGGATGGAGGTGTTGATGCTGGCGAACTCGAGGACATATGAAGGGGAAGGTGGAATCTTTTGAATTTATCTCTTCTAAGTGAGGAGCAAGAGGGAGTTTTGGGGTTGTTGGGGGAGTTAGAGGTTCGTTGTTGGTAGCACTGGTGATCTTGTTTTGTATAGATTGTCATTTTGAGTCGAGGATTTGAATTAGTGGTGGTGAGGAAGGTGTCAATTGTCTTTTTTGGGATGGCGAGGACTGGCTGGGGTTCCAGGATACTGATTTCTTTGGAGGTTTGAGGTTTCTGGACGGGGATTTTGTAAGGGGTTGGGTCTCGGGAGAGGTTGGTAGCGAAGTTGACGATGAATCCATTGTTATGTGATGTTTTTGGTGGCAAGAAAGTTGATGAGTCTGATAACTATTTCGTGAATGTATTATATTTTGGAGCTGGTGAGGGGTTTCAGTTTGTGGTGGAATTGTGGTGTTATGAAACAAAGAGAGCAGGTCTCCTCTGAAACCGGGCTCGTGGCTCGAGAACTTGGGGCTTTGACAGTATCTCGGTGTTTAGAACTGGACTGATAGGTCTAGCCTTCTTTGTTTGGGAAATTATTGGAGGCGTTTTATTTGTACAGTGGCGCTGCACCGTATCTCAAGTTGTTTCTTCAACGGGGCGCTTAAATCTGATTCTTTGAACAGGAAATATCAGCTGATGATGAGAAGAATGGCCTGTGATACCTTCTTCTTCTGAGCGCCTGTTGCTGTAGAATTGGGAGCTGTTCTTTCGAGGTGGCAGGTCCGTCTTCGAAAATGAACCCTTAGAGCTACCGACGCCATGTACGATTCCATATTTTCTAGCATTTGTTTTTTTTTCTGTGAATATATTGGTATGTATTCTAAAATGATTATCACAGAAAATACACAAGCTCTCGCTTCGGGACCGTTTTGGGAAAAGGGTGATGGTCACGTGACGCATCCGTGTCCAGGGCTACGTAACTTTGAGCTATTCGCCTTTTGCTTGTTCAACTTATCAGCCAAGCGACTAGCCTTGATAACAGTATGATCGTGAGATAAATACCGGTAATATGGAGTGAGATATTTAGTTGTATATCCATGAACTCACAGGAAGCACACAACCGAACCTCGGAGTACACCTGCCTTAATTCCGTTTTTCTTGCAACCACTTCCGCTTTATTGCCAAACTCCTTCTCAAAATATCATCACTCTACATATAAATTACCGAGCTAGATAATCTCCATACTCCAACTAACATTTCATATCCCATTTACCACATGATTAGCTTGCTTTTCGACGCAGAAGCAACGCCAAAATGTCAGCAACCAAGTCTCTCGTCTGGCTCATAACAGGCAGTTCCTCTGGCTTTGGAAAATCTTTGACACTTCATGCTCTTAGAGCTGGACACAAAGTAATTGCTACCTCTAGAACTCCATCAGGAGTACCAAAGCCGGTGGAAGAGGTAGAGGAGTTGGGTGGAATTTATCTCCAGCTTGACGTCACTTCCCCAAAAGAAAAACTACAAAAGATTGTCGAAGAAGGCGTGAGACAGTTCGGCAGAATCGACGTTCTGATCAACTGTGCCGGTATTGGAATACTTGGGGCTTTAGAGGATGTCAGTAAGTTCCAACCCCAACAATCATATAAACCGCAACTAAAAGAGACTTCTAGCGAGCAAGAATGCCAGAACATCATGGCAACCAACGTCTTCGGACCTCTCAATTTGATTCAAATCATCCTCCCGTAGACGCGCTCCCAAAAATCCGGGACAATCGTCAATATCTCCTCGGGCTCGGGAATAGACCCACGTCTATCGATGGGATTACACGGAGCATCAAAATTCGCGCTCGAGGGATTATCTCAGGGTCTGGCGAAAGAAGTATCTTGTTTCGGAATACGGATTCTGATCGTTCAGCCGGGTGCATTTACGACAAGAATGATGAATTCCGTGACTCTCACAGAAAAGAGATCGAAGGCGTACGAGGGGACAGATGTCGGACAATGGATGGCGAAGTTTCATCCTGATTCGCCAGAGGGCAAGAACTTCAAAGCTCCTCATGATGTTGAAAAGGGGGCTGCAGCCATACTGGAGGTAGTGACAGGAACGGGAAGGGGTGAAGGAAAACTGGAGCATTTACGATTACTCCTCAGCCGAGAGGTGGCAGAGGGGACAAAGAAAAGGGTTGAAGGAATAATGGCAGATCGCGAGGCTTTTCGGGATATCTGGGAGAACACTGTTCATGATGGTGGTGTTTTGAAGGCTTATGAAGACTTGTGAGTTGGACTTCGGGAAGAACTCCATTGTAAATCTATGTCAGTTTGTCAATCTCAGTCTAGGTTTACACCTCGAGCACAGGCTTAGCGAAATCTTGCTTAGGAATATCGTGCATTTGATTCATCGTTGAACTCAGCTCATTGCCACAGAATCCCTTCAAGCCACCTCACTTTGGTGTCGTGTTCATGCCTCTCTAAGCCACTCTTCAGTGATATGTAGTTCGAATTACATGTAAAGGTTGTATGGAAATACAATTTCGATACAGCCCCAAAACCTCATCTCTACAAACCTGCAAACCAAGTAATTTTTGAAGTATCAATAGCTGCCGTTCAAATGGTTCTTACACTTCCAAATCAATATATGACTTGGGATGGAGGATAGCTTTTCGAATACCAGTACCAGGAAGCTCTGAAGGACGAGCCCCTTGTTGCTAGGCGCTTTTCATTCCGATCAGCGAACAATATTGATTCAGATGAGACGCAGAATAAAAAAACGGTCGAATTCGGCGATTCTGGCGAGGATTGCGAACTGGCTATGTGACCATTTCTTTTATTCCTTGCGAGATGGAGAAGAGTTTTGACGGTTTACTCAAGTAATTAATGTGGGTATTTGGGGTTTCTGGATTTCAAGTTAGATATTTTATCTCAGGTATTGAGGTTAAAGGAGTAGTATTTATCGTTACAGTAATTCAGTGAGCGACTTATATAATTTAGAAGCGCCTTTGAGTTCGCCTTGTTTGTTTTTCAAGTTGTGAATTTTCTAGGTAAGCATACCTTGGCCGAGGGTGTGACTTGCGGAACCTGGGCTCATGCAGGTGATTCTTACAGTGCTGTACTGTGTATGTATGGCTGGATTGTGCCTTGCGCTCCCAGCCAACAGAAAACGTCTATTCACAGATTCCGCTCCAAGGATTCCACCCAAAGATTTATCAAGACTACGAAATTGTAGAGGAATTCGAAGGATTTATGGACGCTATGGACGCTGACATTTCTCGTCAAGATCCTCCTGATGCTGAATCGCAGCCTGTGGCTATTTCGCCGCAAATTTCATCAAATTCCAAAGAGACCTACAAGTATCAATACAGCCCCTTGAAAATTCAGTCTCATTTTCGTCTCATTGCATTTCCCCGGGAAGAGCAGGTCGATCCTAGGGCCGAGCGGTTGAATTGTGAGCTTGCTCATTTTTCGCTGGATGATACAGCCCCCAGATATCGGGCTTTATCTTACGAATGGGGCATTCCTTCAGATAAAGATCCTAGAATATGGATCAATGGAATGCCCCATATCATTCGAAAGAACCTTTTCTGTGCAATGTTGGAGCTTCATTCGGGACAGCGTGGAAAGACTAAATACGGTACTCCATATTGGATATGGATTGATGCGTTGTGTATCAATCAGGAAGACCTCCTCGAAAGGAATGAGCAAGTCAGTATGATGGGCCGAATCTACGGTTCCGCTGAGAGTGTAATCATCTGGCTTGGGGTTGCGAAAGACGACAGTGACATTATAATGGATATTCTGGGCGAAAATCATGACCCGCAATTGATGCACAGACTTAGCCATGAAGAGAAGAAGGATGCACTTTCGCTGTGGTTGCAGCGTCCGTATTGGAATCGGATCTGGATAGTGCAAGAGATTCAGAGGGGCAGAGAGCTCGAAATTTTGTGCGGCAACAAAGCGATCTCGTGGGGACAACTCATCAACCCAAAGGCCTTGCGAAGTATGACGGGTGCCTACTCATGGGTTTGGCTCTCAAAAGCATATTCAGGGAACAAGAGGGAATCAATTCGGAGAATGCTACCTGGCTTGAGGTAAATGATGGCTCACAGCATGCCAATTGAAATGAGCTATTTGCGAGAGCGAAATGGAAACGGACAAGCTCAAGGCACTGAACTACGACACTGGTTATCTGTCTGCAGGCATTCTTTAAGCACCAATCCAAGAGACAAAGTGTTTGCTCTTCTAGGACTCGCGACTGATTATGACATCAAGAAAATAATAAGTATCGATTACTCGAAGTCCATCACCAAGGTTTACCGCGAGGTTATCGATTTATATGTGCCTTCCTGCGGAAACTCTACGGATGATTTATTCGATAAAATCGGCTGGATGTCTCTCTTCGAGACTCTTCAGCAAATGCTAGGTCAGGAACTAGAACTTGAGACAGCTGCCATGGCTCCATTTGAGGATCCAGAACCACAGCGAACACTCTGGTGTGCGGCTGAGAACATAGGCACAATTACCAACATCCCCATACATAGCCCAACTGTCGTTCGTACCTCTAATAGAGGAACGGTTCCTCAACCATCAGTGGTAGCGAACCATACCTTGATCCAAAACAACGCAGATCCTCACAGATTTAGTTTATCAATCTCAAAATCCGTCGAGCCCACGACAACTTCGGACGACAATTTCATCCCTCGGAACACCCTGAGAACTCGATATTTTGAAATCAGTCGGGACGGGAGCATTGTAAATACTGGCTTTGCTCCATCTTCTGCGAAAACGGGTGATTGCATAATTGGATTTCCTGGCAGTCGTGTCGGCCTGTTCTTAAGAGATCGGAAAATGATTATTGGGAGAGTATTGATGCATCGGTGGAATACGAACGACGAGTTTTGTATGCGGCACTGGGCTGATATTCTGCCTTCTAAGCAGGAGACAGGGCCTCTATTTGATGTCTTTCCAGAAAGTGGGTTGACGGAAAAGTTCTATTTGAAGCTTACTAGAGCTATGTTACATAAGTTAACAGCAAAGTGATACCGGATTTGCATTTACTTCCACATGCTGTTTAACAATGCAATTTTTTGTCTAAGCGGTATCTCGATATACCAAATAAATGAAAGTAAACAAGTGCAGTGCATCGAGTAATAGTCAATTGTGATTCTAACTAAAGGAACGTAAGCGTGCGAGCACTTAAGATACTCGCATAAGGTGGACCAATACTACACATGATTGAAGAGCGTGAGATATATCGCAACAGTAATACTTCGATTGTGACTCTTTTAGCAAGCCCTGGTCAATCTTAAAATCTATTAAACCAGGGGATACGACAGATCTCCCAGGTTGGTTCCATTGCCCTAGTCTCGGCCGTATAGTATTCTTTCGTCAGTATCTCCAGAAGGGCGACCAAGGGTTTCTCCACTTAGTCTCGAGGGTCTTAAATGTATCACGTCACACGCTTATGCAATTGTAGAAATTATCCTATGACTGGCCATTCATCATTAGGCTAATACATGGACGTAAGCAATGCAGCATAGGGTAGCATCAACCTGGCCTATTACTGTACACTGATGTGTAAATCCACTATATGTAAGATTATTAGTGGTCGTTCCACTTATTGTGAACATTCTGATTGTGGAGTTCCACCCCGTTTAATTACGCTTCCGCGGAGCTGCGATGGGAGGTTAAATAACTTTCGATCCGTAGAGTACATAGGTGAAGATAAGTTCCAAACTACATCACAATCAGAAAAATGGCGGCTTTTCAGTTTCTTCTCAGTCTTTTCACTTGGAGGAACTTGTTCGTTTTCCTATTTGGATTTGGAAGTGGCACCTATGGGGTCCGTAGCTATCGAGCGTATCGGAGGTTATCCCATATCAAAGGCCCTACGCTTGCAGCATGGTCGAACCTTTGGATTGTGAGAGCTGTCTATAACTTGAACACTCACCAACAACTCTACGACGTTACCAAGAAATACGGTAAGTTGGCATTTTCTTTGACTAAAAGGAATTTGGCCTGATCGTTTTCTCAACAGGTTCGCTGGCGAGGATTGGGCCTAATATGCTTCTTACGAGCGATGCTGATGTTATCCATCTCATGAACCGTGCTCGGTCACCATACACGAAGAGTGACTGGTATTTGGGTATTCGGATCCAACCAGGTCACGACAATATCTTATCTACTATCGATGAAACGGAGCACACTCGACGACGGAACCAGATGGCAAAAGGCGTAGGTTCACTTTCCCAAATGTAGGCATAACAACTTACCAAAATCTAGTATTCAGGAAAAGAAAACCCTGGCGTCGAAGCCAGGATCAATCATCATATTTCCAATCTCGTCAAATTGATTGCAACAAAATACATCTCCACCGAGAAAGAATCGAAACCCATGGATTTGGCGAGGAAGGCTCCATTCTTCTCTATAGATGTCATTACTGACTTGGGGTTTGATGAACCGTTCGGTGATCTGACTTCAGATCAAGATGTCCATTCATATATCACGTCTACGGAAGATACCATGAGAATCGTGATTATGATGTGCTCTGTCCCAACTATCAGCGCTTTCATCAACACTCCGATTATCGGGAACTTGCTTTTCCCGTCGTCTAAGGATTTGGCTGGTCCTGGGAGACTTATACGAGGTTCGTAAACACTCTCCAGATAAATGAATGAGTCTCATCGTATACTTCTAGTCGCGGAGGAAGTTTCCAGGAAACGATTTGCTGAGGATCCTACGGGGACTCGTAAGGATATGATGGGCTCCTTTATAAGAAACGGAATGAAAGAAGATAATGCTGTTACCGAGAGTCTTGCTCAAATGTGAGCTCACGAGATCGCCACTTACCTTTGACTTTCGGCTTAATAGCTAATATTTGCACAGTCTTGCTGGCGCAGACACAACCGCAACAGCAATTCGAGCGACTATGTTATTCATCATGACGAATCCTCGCGTCTACAAACGTTTACAATCTGACATCGACAACTTTGTCAAAGAAACCAACCTCCCAAAAGATCAAATCATCTCCAACAAAAGCTCAGAAACACTCCCATACCTTCAAGCCGTCATCCGCGAAGGTCTCAGAATTTGGCCACCCGTCACGGGTCTCTTTCCCAAGGTAACACCTCCTAAAGGGGATACCATAAATGTAATTTTCATTCCTGGTGGTACCCAAATAGGCTACTGCGCATGGGGTGTTCATCGCAATCCCGATGTCTTCGGCGAGGATGCAGATGCTTTCAGGCCTGAGAGATGGCTAGAAAGTGATGGGGAGAAACTGGCTAATATGAAGAAGACGATTGAGTTGATTTTTGGATATGGGAAGTATCAGTGTTTGGGACGGAATATTTCGTGGATGGAGTTGAATAAGATTTTCTTTGAGCTTTTGAGGAGGTTTGAGTGGTGTATTGTTGATCCTACGAAACCTTGGGTGAGTGGGAATGTGGGGCTTTGGTTGCAGCATGATATGTGAGTTACAGTAACAGAGAGGGAGGCTGTGAATTGAATTAGTCCCAGAGAGTTGTTTTTGGAAGTCCTAGAAGAATAAGCAAGTCTGTGCTCTTTGTGTTTGCTACCTCACCTCTGACAACTTCAATTCTCGCTTATTTCACTTCAGTGGGGCAGCATTCTATAACGTTAATATTAACGACCACCTGTAATAATATCTCTTCCAATTCAAGTAGTAAATTCGTTAGCTAACCTTACAACTATACCTATTACTCTAGTACTGCCACAACAAGCTCAAGGCTAAACATCGCTTCGCTAATTAGTCGACCATCTAATCCGTCCTGTCCCTCTCCTTATAGCCTCACCACTATTAAACACCCCACCTCCCTTAACCACAAAACCAAAAATAACAAGAAATTCCACAAAACAAAGAAAAAGTTCACACCTCTCACAAACACAACCCCTGCAAGATCCACAAGACTAACATCAGATAACAGGTTCGCTGGTCGGCAACGCTCCTTGGGAGTCGTGACAAGGACAAACATAACCCTCTGTGTGTGTACTGAAATACAAAAGGATTTTGTATTTGTGAAGTATCTTATCTCCGCCAGCGAGCAAAAGAAAAAAAGAAAAAAAGAAAAAAAGAAAAAAAGAGAAAAAGTAAAAAAGGGAGAAGCCACCCTCTGGGAGGTAAGGATGCTTCAGTGGGAGAGGAGGAAACTGTTTTCATCAACTTTGTGGACTCCATCGATATTTGTTGGACTGAGATGGGATTGGGGAGGCTTGTAGGTATTATGTGGATGCGATGGATATTGATAAGCTCAACTTAAAATGACCAGTAAGTTGAATCCTATTTCCTAGAGTGAGAGGTGTGAACAACTATTTTTTGGGCTTATTTATGTCGTTGTACGAAGTAATATTGTACAGTGTTATACCGTTTCTTTTGGGAAGTGAGAAGATGAAAATACAAGAATGGGTATTTGGAAAGTGGATTTTATGACCGAGTATATTGTAAGTGAGTGGCGTGTCTAATTTCTACAGGAAAAGTTAGCTGGGAAACAAGGTTATCTTTAAAGAAACAAGACTTCTCGAGTACTAGATAAGTACTTGACTTTGTGAAGAATTTTATCAAGGCAACTTAACCAGCTATAGTAAATTATAGTAAAGTTCTAATTGTACTTTGCAATGGAAACCCTATTTGGGATCGTTTTAGCTAAGCTTAAATTAGACTTCTATGGGAAATATATTAAGCGTATATATATTAACCACGGCACATCTTACCAGAGATATACAAACCAAAGATTGAAATCGTAAAAAGTCTAGGTTCCTTGAATCCTTTGAAATGATAGTAACAATCGGCCGTCTTATAACAGAGTTGGTTTACTCTAATCATGTACAAATTCTGTGCCCCCTAGCGACCCCAACCCGAACTTGAAACTTGTACAAGTAATAAGTTAGACATCAAGTACCTTCCATTCCAATCACTTTTGTGTACCTCCAACCCAATTTTACTGCCAACCAGAACGCCATAGACAGCCCCCAAAACTCCAAACTCTCCCATGATCATTAGAAAGCCGTATGCACACATATCCACACCTGGTGTACAATAATTACTGTCCATTCTTTCTGCCCTTTCTCTCATTTGCTCTCTGCATTCGCTCGTTCCGCTTAACCCTCTCTTTTCGCTCCCTTCGTCCGTCTCCCTGTCTCTCAGTACCTTCTTTCCTCTCGCGCTCCTTCTTCTCGTCAACCTCAACAATCCAATCTTGCTCTCCCTGCTTGTTCTTTCCCTTGTATCCCCATTTTGGAACCCACTCCCCAGTAGCATCATCGTAGACCAGCTTCTTCTTTTCCTCGGCGGTCTTGGGCTTGATGCCTTTCTTAGCAGCAAACTTCTCCCAAGTAGTTTGCGCTTTTGGTGGTGGCAGTGGCTGGGGAAACGTTAGTTGAATTGAATCAATTTGGGTATGGGTTGGAGGAATACAAACCTTTTCGCGAGGTAATGAAGTCTCAATCGCAGGAAGGGAAAGTAAGACGCCCGCTGGCGTACTTTGAATTGGGCAAGTCGTTAACAGCTGGTTCAATAGAGCTTGTGCGCCATCTCGCGCCGTGGCTGCGAGATCATCTTCAAGGTTTTCGCGACCGGTCAAGACCAGAGGATTTGGGTCTGAGGCGAGAAGAAGACCAAGGTCAAAGGTATATGGTGTTGGTTTGTTTACGGTAATAGGAAGCGGCTTCTTCGTACCGACGTCGTCATTCATAGTAGTATCTTCCATGGTTGATGCTGATCAATCGCAATGTTGGGAGATGAGAATTATGTGGATGCTGCGTGGATTAATTAATGTGGAGGGGAGAATCAAGAACTTTTTGAGCGGCCGCTTTTACGCCTTAGCTTTGCGCCGGAACCGCATCAATGAGTCCCCGAGACCCATACAATTTCTTGACAACCTTGACACAATCGCGGGCGTGAATATCGTTCACAAGCTCAACACCAGCGTGCTCAGTCAGCACTCTGTACGCATAAATATGGCGGCATCAATCAATTGCTGGAAATGTCTGTCGAGGCCCAGCATTGCGGTAATCCAATTGAGCTCGCGTGTAGCTCGTGTCGCCGCATCTGCCCCGTTCTCCTCCACCTCTACGAATCTTGCCTTGCCAGCTCCCACTAGAAAGGCAGCCTCTACAACGAAAGGAGTTAAGACCAATCTAAAAATCAACAAAAAGCCTCGACCAAAAGAGTCCAGAAAACCGCCTGCCACCGGAGAAAGAAAGGCGCTAAGAAAACGAATCGTACTGAGCAATACAAATGCGCTCGAGGTAGCTGGTATGGAGGATTTAAGCCCGGAAATAGTTGACGCCATTGCGAAGGATACTGCAGAAGGGGAAGCTGGATCTGGGCTGGTAGGAAAGGTGGTAGGATTGCCAGGCGCAACCGTGGATTCTTTGCGAGCGATCGAGGCCTTCAAAACAACTCAAGGCTGGGGATTATTTCGCAGGCCGGGTACGCTTATTAGAAAAGAGACAGCTGATTTGACAAGAGCTTTACTTGCTGCGCAGAAGGAAAAATCTACACTTACGCTGATGCTTGACGGGGCCAAGGGCACGGGCAAGAGCATGATGCTTTTGCAAGCACAAGCATCTGCATTTGCCAAAAGCTGGATTGTGCTGCATATTCCTGAGGGTAGGTGTCTACAACGACACGCTTAATTGAATAATGTACTGATTTCATTGCAGCCCAAGAATTATCCAACGGAGTCAACGACTATGCTCCGATTCCGGGATCCGATTTATGGGCTCAACCAACCTATACAGCAGAATGGCTGGCCAAAATTGGAAAAGCCAACAATGAGATTCTAAAGACTCTCAAGATGAAAAATACACACAACCTTCCTGTTCCAATAGAAAAAGACATTACACTTGCCCGATTCTGCGAATTAGGTTCACGCGACCCCGACATTGCATGGTCGTTCTTTCAAGCTTTCTGGACAGAATTAAATCTTCCAGGACGACCTCCTGTCCTCTTGACTTTGGATGGAATGAGTTATATTATGGGAATGAGCGAATACCGAGATACGGATAACAAGTTTATCCACTGCCACAATCTCGCACTCGTAAAGCACTTTGCGGATCACATTTCCGGCACATCCAAACTAGCTAACGGTGGAGCGATCATTGGCTCAACATCAAGAAGTCACAACCCCATTTCACTCTCCATGGACTTGGCCATATACCAAGCTTTACAGAGACAGGCTAAGCAAGAGATCACTCAAAAAGATCCATTCGAGAAGAAGTATGACGAGAGAGCCACCAAGGCTCTTCAAAATGCCTCGGCGATGATGATTGGTGGTTTAACGAAGAAGGAATCAAGGGGTCTGATGGAGTATTGGGCTGCGAGTGGTGTATTAAGACAGAGAGTTGATGAACAAACAGTTGCGGAGAGGTGGGCTTTGGCTGGACATGGCGTCGCAGCCGAGATCCAGAGAGGGGCCTTAAGGATGAGAATATAAGACATGAAATTATGTGTTCTCTGTACTATAGAACGTCCCGTTAACATGGTGACTTGTCCATATGTTAGATATACTATTGTACAACTTTTGCCCATTGCTTTTGTACATCTCAAGAGGCAATTGGTAAGACGGCTCCAGGGGTTTGTAGTAATTAACCCTTTTGATGTAAAGTGATTGTGGTAGCAATAGTCGCAGGATGATCCAAGCTTTTCGAGTACGATTGCAGCGAAGAGGATGAAGTTGGAGAATTTTGTCTTTCCAGACTGCTGGTGTTTGGTTTCTGAGGGCTGGACGTTCGCCTGTTGATTATTTGCCCCCGTAACCATGGACAAGATTGAAAATATTGGAGCCGATGTGATCTCATGAGTATGGGGGAAATGCAAGATGAAATCAGAAAACAGTCGACTTTGCGGCAAACATTCTTAGCTTGTCGTAAAGGGAGCTCCAATGTATCCTTACACCTCATGGTAACTTTATGCCGGATATCTTTAATGCATGGATCATTACCAAAGATATTCGGTTATGCTGCATATTCGAGATCTTCCGCTTTGTTCTATTGCAGAAAGTATGATAATGGTATTGCAATTGATATAACCGAGAAGAGTAATTTTCTGTTCTTCAATTCGGTAGTTTTGTTATTTATTGAAAGTAGCGAATGAGTTAGAAGTGGCAGAGGCTGCAGGATATTTCGTTATAGCGAGTCATTTAATAGAAGGCCCCAAGAAGTGAACGCGATAATAACGGGACTTTTAGCGAGTGCTTTTGGCGAACTCTAGCAAGGACAACCATGACTAACCAAGACATGGTCATTTCTCCACATGAAAACTTAGAAACTAAATTTGCAATTAAGAGATTGTAGCCCCCATCAAGGTACCATATCCCAATCCAATGAGTAAATATGCATGAAACAAAAAAGCAGAAAACTCCATCTCGTCAACCCGCAACTCCTCAACCCCTCTTCTCAACATGCTCCACAACCTCCTCCCTAACCCCCTCCTTCTCGCCAAACACCTCCTGAACCCCCTTAACCATCCCCACCTTCGCCTGCTCCCCTTCAATAATAAGCGCCACATCCTCCAAACTCGTCCCCATAGTCTCCGGACAAAGCCAATAAACGACCGCAAACTCCACCGCAATCCAGACCACATAAAAGTAATAGAACTTGTATCCAAACCTAGTCAGACCAATCGGGTTAACGTAGGTATTGAATGCGCCTGCAACGCCTGTGATGAGCCAGAAAAGCGAGATGCCTTTCGCGCGTATGCTGTAGGGTAGGATCTCCACGACGTAGAGCATCATGGCGCCCGTCCAGCCGAGGTTGTGGACCCCCGAGTAGAGGTAGATGAATGCTACTGCGGTGTAGGAGGCGGGTTTGGAGTGTGTTTTTGTGAATTCGCCGGTGAGGACCGTGATGATTGTGAAGACGACCCACATTCCTGCCATAGACCACAGACTAGATTCAGAGGTTAGTTTAGTCTTGTTGGTTCCCGAGGGGGAATGATGAGACTTACAGTAGAGGTCTTCTTCCGACTCGATTAGGCAGGAAAGCGAAGCCCACCGAACAAGCGAAAGAAAACATCTGCGAAGTAGCAGTAATCAACGTCTGATCAAGCGTCGTCGTGATGCCCACATCATTAAGCATCTAATCCCATTAGCACAACCCCCTTCTCCCTCCCCCCTCTTCAATCAAACTCACCGTATGTAAATAATACGAAACAACCCCATTCCCACTCCACTGTTTACAAATCCCAAACCAAATCATGATGAAAATCCGCCACTTATTCCCCGCTCCCTTCCAGATATCTCCCCAGGTGGTTTTGGAGGCTTGCATTTCGAGTTCGATGGTTCCTAGGATTTCTTGGTACTCGAATTGGACGACTGCGTCTTCGCGGTCGCCGTTTCCGTGGTAGTGGGCTAGGACTTGGAGAGCGGCTTCTTCGCGGCCTTTGCTGACGAGCCAGCGGGGGGATTCGGGGAGGAGAAATATTCCCTAGGGTTTGAATTAGTCATTGCTTTGTTTGGAGGATCGTACTGTATATGTGCTTTGGGGAACTGTATAGGTAGGAGGACAAGTTGTTGTGGATTCGAGATTGAAGATCTGGGGATTGTGAAGAAACTTACGATTGCTTGGAGAACTGATGGAAGAGCTTGGAAGATTGAGGGAATACGCCATGCCCAGGTTGAATTGAGTCGGAAGCTTCCTAGAATTTAGTTAGCATTAACCAAAGCCTCAATTGCTGCCTCTTACCGAAAGTAATCCATGCCGCAACAATGGCACCTAGAATAATTAGCTTCGTTTCATCACACCTACGGAAGGATACACAAACCCATGGAATACTGAGTATTCGATAAAGCAGTAGCAGTAGCACGTTGACCTAATGCCATTAGCCTTGCTCCACTTCAACCTTCACATCTCCAGCTGCTGGCAAAACTCACTAGGATAAGCCAACTCAGCAACAAGGACCTATCACAATCAGCCTCATTCACTCTCTTCCAATTCCTAGACTGATTGACTTACAGGTCCAATAGCACCAACAACCACACCACCAATTCCTAACAACAGCCTTCCCGCAATGAACATGCCCGCATTCACGGCCCCAGTACACAAAGCCGTACCGAAGATACAAACCAGACTACCAAAGAACATGGCCATCCTTCGGCCATATTTGTCACTAAGTGGTGTGATAAAACCTACTCCAATGACGTTCCCAACCCAATAACTAGCGCTCAGGATACCGAGGAGAGAGCCTTTTGGGTTATGAAATTCTAACGTGATGGTCAACCAAATACAATCCTAAGAGTGATGGAGAGTATGAAGTCGAATGAAGGGGATAATAATCTGTTAGCTACCTTTCCGCCAAACAGCCAGTTGCTGAACATTGTTAATCAGACTAGCATCGTAGCCCTGAACATACTCACTCATAATCGGGATGAAAATGAGAAAGTTCAATTTAAGGAGACCTCTGTCCTTCCACCATGGTCCTACTTTGTTATTGAGATGCGAGGCTTCTGCGAGGGCCGTTCTATCGACCTTGCTGCTCTTGCTGTTGAGGAACATCATTTTGAATTCCTGTATCTCTATCTGACAAGACAGAGAAAACAAAAAGAGCAAACTGATGAAGAAGTTCTTGAAGATAAGATGTAACTCGGTACTGTATAAAGGTTACTTCACGGGTAAATCCACATGCGGGGTCTCCAACAACCAACAAACACCCCTCCCTTCACCCCCTACAAATCCACTACAAAACATCCCCAAATACCCCCGGCAGGCTTGACCATCACATCTGATATAACACCAACCAACCTCCCTATAAAAGCTAGAACCAACCAACGCCACACTCAATATATCTCAAAGCTTGACACAAAACCAAGAATGTCGTTGGGGTGCAAAGTGGGCAGTCGCCTCGCGAAACTGGATTCCAGGGTCCCCCCAGATGCGGGGTCCATGTGCACGGCATCGAACGCGGGGAGGATCTGCCAATCCGGGAGATGATGCACCTCATTTCTTGGTGGTGAACTTGCATGCACATTTCTGCAGAAGGGGATAGGTGGAAGATCTGTCTTGTATCGACGAAGTAGTGCCGAGAGTGCGACCTTGGAGCTGCGAGATACTGTACATCGAATTGACGACATACGGGAGCATTCGAGACGAGGCGAGGGAAGGTACATCATACTGTACATTTTGTATCGCTCTTTGGGGCAATAACTATTTGAGAAGATGCTCCAAGAACCAAGGATAACCACTCTGGGCCAAGATCCACGGAGTAGAACCTATCGAATAAACGCCAATAGTTTCCAGCAGAATGCGATAACAACGATTAACGGATGGCAATATGCGGTATACTACACAGAAGAAATCGAAGAAGATGGAAGGAATGTTTGTTTTGTGAATCTCTCTCGACGAAAAATTGATGGAGGGGCAGGAACGTGGGAGAGGTTGACCTTTAGAGATTATGAGCAGACTGCGGATGATGGACATAATACCATATCTGTTGGGGTTTGTCGAGGGGATGGAAGCATTCATTTAGCTTTTGATCATCATTGTGATCAGTGAGAGCTCTCTTCTTCGAGTTAAATGATGATTGTATTGACGTAGATAGGCTGAGGTATCGAGTGACGAAATTGAAAGACGGGAATGGCGATGATAGCTGGTCAATATCTTGCTTCACTGAAACCCAAGATTTCTTACCAGGTCTGGAGTCTAGCGAAGTGATCAAAGAAGTGAGCTATCCACGATTTCTGAACGTCGATGAGGATCTGCTTCTCACCTATCGAATCGGCCAGTAAGCGAAATTTATTTTCCTACAAAATTGGTGTATAGCTAACCTTAACAGAGCAGGCGAGGGTTCAGACGTCTTATATCGATACTCATCCATAACCCACAAGTATACATACCTCGGACAATACCTCACAGGCATCAAGAACAACCCTTATGTGAACGGATTCGACTACCGTCTTAATCGAGTGCATATCTCCTGGTGCTACCGTAACTTCGTAGCATTTGAGTCCACAGATCCAAATGCACATAAACAACAAGCCGGACCCAATGGTCCTTGCAATAACCATGATCTCAACTATGCATATTCCGATGACGTGGGCAAGACTTGGAAAGCTTCAAATGGTGAGGTACTAGCATCTATACAAGGAAATGAGATATTCAATGGACGCAACTCAATCTTGCCCAGTGCAAATGGTATTCGAGTCTTTGATATACCCATGGGAAGCGGGATACTAAATCAAGAGGGCCAAGTGGCTGATTGGGATGGCGGATTCTGGGCACTCAACCGTGAGTCAGTGACGCGGCCTGCTGAGTCCGGGTTGTCTGGTGAAGAGGAGCATTGGATGGTGTACCATCGTGATATTGCAGGTAAGAAGATGAAAGAGGTCCTTGTGGAGTTGCGAATATGGTGCTGAGACTTCACAGGGAAATGGACAAAGAAGACGATACAGCACTCCTCGAAAACAACTGAGACGGGCTCGAGGGCAAAGATTTGTGTCGATAGAGAGAGTAATGTATACCTCGTCTTGCCAGGGAATTCAGACTCCAGTTTGGGCGTACTGCAGAGCCAGAAAAGTGAAGGATACGCAAGGTTTGAAAAGATTTGGACTGGAGATGGGTACGATGGCGAGCCGCTTGTTGATGTGCAAATGCTAGAGGTATCAAACCTGTTGTCGATTTTCACCAGGACTTCTGGAAAGGTTAGGGACGTGGTTGTGCTTGATTTCGTCTTAGCTTGAAAGTCATTTTGGGGTTTTCTGCGGGGTGAGAATTCAATTTGGGGCTCCCCAAGCGATTTATGTTCTGATATTGGGTGGGAGCTTAGAGGATTGATGGATAGTGGAGATGAATCTTTTGATACGTTCGCTTAGAACCAACAGCTCATACAAAGAATAGCGCATAAGTAGTTACCATCAGCAAATGATACAAAAAACTAGAAGCAGTTCTCAATCTCAAAAGGAATCATCTCATAATATTCCCAGACACCACTCATGTCGGGTCAAGTCATTGCCATTACAGGCCGTGGGAAGGGGTACCCAATGTACGCCAGGTAGCGAACTTGGTGCCCGCAGATTTAACATGACCGCGAGCTCTCGCGAGTAGAACGACATTCGCGTCGTTGCCATCTAAATCAGCGCGCCAACGCACAACGCGTCGAGTACGGAAGAGACACCCACGTACTCTTAAGAGGAAGCAATGGTAATTTGACCAACAATCACTTCTTGACGCTCTCACTCACTAGTTTTTTAGGCTCCAAAGAACCTTCCTCCAGCCGCGAAAAGCGCGAAGATTCTGGCACTGCTCCCTGGTCCTGATCCACGCGCAAACTACATGCTAACCCATTGCAGGAGTTCTTTCAAACCTCCATGAATGTCTACACTCTCAAGGAACTCGAAAAGTGTCTCCATTCGGTCGCCGCCATCAATCAGATGCAGGTCAAGGAGTACCTCCAAGCCCTTCAAGATGAAAACCTCATACGCGTCGAGAAGATTGGAAGCGGCAATTGGTACTGGTGCTTCACGTCCGACGCGAAGAAGGCCAAGGAAAGCAAGATTGAAAGTCTCAAAGCGGAGGAGAGCAAGCTCTTGAACTCCATCGCTGATACCGAAAAGCAAATCGAGGATGAAACTGCTAAGCGTAACATTGACGAAATGCTCGACGACAACGGCTTGGACCGTAAAGCCCTACTGGAGGCTCACCAGGGTCTCGTGAAGGAGATGGAGGCTCTTGATAAGGAACTGTCATGCTACAGTGACCACGACCCCGCTGACATTCTACGCAAGGCTGAGGAAATCAAGAAGTTTCGAAGTGCTGCCATCAGATGCACAGACAACATCGAGACTCTGGAATCATTTATCGGCCAAATGCTTAATGATCGCAGTCAAGTTGCGAACCTCATGGCGGCATCGTGTGGTGATGAATACGTTGCTGGCGAGGGCCTGAAGGATCTCTGCTTCCACGCATAAATTTGTAATCGTTTACTGAAAGAAAGTCAGGACTACGGACAGTTTGATAGGAACTCGGCAGGTGACGATTTGCTTTTGTGTTACAAACAGAAACCCAATAATATACTGATATTGCAATGTTTGAGTCTCCCTTTACACCAGTCGCCTGATGTTTGCACGCCTTGCCGCTTCGACTTTTAATTGTTTCGTCCCATATTCAGAAGGTATGCAGTCCCCCATTTAGAACACCATGCTAATATGTTTGATGCGATTGTGAAACAGTTCCATCACCATACGGAGTACTGTACAGTAGGTACTCCATATTGTGGTCTGCGTGTTCAGTCAGCCAACTGGAAACCTGGAATTAATATCACCTCAACCTATCACCATGTCACATTCACAGCCAGGGATCGCTTCAAGCTTTTCTGGCACTAACCCCCACTATATTCCCGAATACGCTTGTCGAGTCAAGCTTTTTTAACGCCGCCGTGGCGGACCAAATAAGGTTCCGAGGGCGTGGAACGGCGCAATAGGAGCCGGAGATTTGCGGGAGATGAGAGAATTTGGACCAGATTGGACCCCTCCAGTCTTCAAAGGCTTTTCCGAAGGCTCGCATTGAGGGATCCCTTCCCCTCCCCCTCATCAGCGCCGTCAGTTAGTGCTCAGTGCTCACCTCACCGTCATACCGAGAGGTTTACAAGCAGATCCGGCAGAAGTTGCCCGTTGTGCCACAGTGATACCTGAGTATGGCTTCATGTTTTTGTGTTGCAGGCAGAAACCTCGGGGATTTTTTTTTTCTTCTCTCGCGAAGGGGGGACCGAATGGAAAACACGGAGTCGGTTTGGTTTGTACGCTCCAGCTGAACGAATCGTGGCCGTACTCACACCTCTGTACAATCCAATCCACATTCAACCATCACACCGTACCTGACGAGTCAGCTCGGACCTCAATGGAGGAGCGAATTGGATTAATCTAGACGACCGCGTGAGGGGATGCAATGCAGCAGCAGAAGATGCTCGAGTAGCACCGTCCCACAACACAGCACCAGGCGTTTTAGTGAACGCGGAGACAAAACCGAGGGAGAGGAGGGAGGGCTCGGGAGGGGCAGTGGCAGGAAGCAGAAGCAGCACCAGCACCAGCACCAGCGAGCGGAGGCACAGCGTGAGGAAGGACAGCAGACCTCCAGAGATTGAGGGGCAGGACGGTGAAGGAGCGACGACAACGGATGTCCATGTTGATTAGATACGCAGGAGGGACAGTATCTACTTTTTCCCTCGGACAGCGAGTTGTGTTGAGGATTTCAAATCCATAATAATCGGTGAGGAGGGAAAGGGAAAACATTAGGTTCAAGTACCGTAATCGCTAGACCTAGACCTACGGAGCAGACACCTCGACACAGACTTAGACTGCACGCACATCTGACAGGGCAGCAGAGGATGGGAGCTGCTCAGCCACGATTGCTACGAATACTCGTAATTGCTCGACACCCTACCGTATTGCTACTGTACCTATGCGGATGTAAGAGTACCGTGAAGCAAGAGGAAGCGGTCTAGTTTCTTCACCCAGCAGTCCCTTTCCCATTCAATTGCATTTCCGTTTCCCTTTCCTGAATTCAAAGTGTTGCTCTCCTGTGCCACTTTTTGCGAGGGATCCAAACATCAAATATCTCGCCCGCATCTGCCGAATGTTTCTCGTCGCGACGCCGGTGTTGGAGCATCATCCCCCATACGAAACGCTCTGACATCTCCGGCCTCAGCCTGCTGAAGCTGCGAGCTCCTCAGGTCGCCCCAGGGCCTGACAACGGCACGCTGCAAGCTGCGACCTGCGACGTGCGAGGAGAGCGAACGCATCCTGCTCTGTGCTGGACGGAGGAGACTATTCACCTCCTCTGCCCATCCATCGATTGCTTGCTTCTTGCTTCTTCCCTCCCGCTGCTTGCTCTCGTCGCTCCTGGCCGAGTCCTTGTCTGCATCGCTCGAGATCAGCGGGTTCCTGACCTTTCTTACCTGCCACTCACACTCAATTCAGCGGTCTTAAGCACAAGCACAAGCACAAGCACAAGCACAAGCACTCACTGGCTTAAGCACTTGCACTCCAGACTGTACTCGTACCGGCACTTCCGCCGCGCACTTCTTGCCCTGACGGCTTCGAATCATCTCATTTGAATTTGCCTTTTACCAATTTGCGGCGTGATCAGCGTTAATCAGCGTCCCGGTCCAATCGACTTCGGAACTCTGGGCGCTGCAGTCGTACCACCAATACCCAAGAGCGCCCAGCTTCAAAGTGCATCTCCTCGAACCTCTTCTCCCAGTCTTCTCGTGTGACCGCTGTCCAGTATCCGAATGGTAGACTTGGCAATCTCAATCACCTCTTGGCATCGCAAACACATCACGACGACGAAGTCTTCGAGCATGTGCGCCTATGCCAAATCAACGGCATCGTCGACGCCATCTGAAAAAAGATCGCTGTTCTCGCGATTGACGTCGCCTTTAAAATCCCGCACGCGCAACCTCACCGACTTCCACATCCGACCAAAGGAACCGCATCGTCGATACTCGCCAGGAGACGTCGTGGAAGGCGCGGTCGTGCTCACCATCGTCAAGCCGGTGCGAATAACCCACATCACCGTCTGTCTACATGGCGTGGTGCGAGTATTCAAGAATCCCAACGATGCAAACTCGCCCGTAGTCGTGGATCCTGAATTGGCCGCTGCTGGAGACCCGAGAAAGACGCAGTATTTTGGCAACGGCCACGCCTCGTTATTTAACGATGAAGTAACACTATGTGGAGAAGGCCGACTTGATGTTGGCATCTACGAGTTTAATTTTGAGCTGGAGTTTCCCAGGAAAGGGCTTCCTACTAGCATCGACGTGAGTGGCTTCATTCGCCCTACCCTCCTTACGGAACAGTGCTAATCAAGGTGCAGTTTGAGCGAGGCAGGATATCCTACTTAATAACAGCTACAATAACACGACCAACTTCGATCGCGGCGACCTCGACTGTCGAGCAAAACGTGAATCTCGTTGAGACGGTCGACATTGGTCCTATGCTTCCACCCAAACCGCGAGTCATCTCCCTCGAACCGATTGCGAAGCGCCCGAAGAAGAAGAAGGCTGTCAAATCCAAGGAAGGCGAAGCAAATGACCCAAGCTCTGGAAGCGAGGTACCTCGAACAAACCACTCTCCGCGACCCGATGACTCTGCAAGCCAATGTGGCTCAACAGACCCTACGGGAAATCCTCGAAGTCCTGTGCTCAGCGGCGATGCACACAGCATTCACAGTGCAGGTACCAGTGCTGATAGTACGGTCAGCAGTAGTACGGGCCTCAGTTTTCGGCTTGGTCCTGTGCCCTCCTCTGCTACTAAATCAGCTCGGGACAGCCTGGGCACTGGAAGTAGGGTTTCGTCCGCATCAGGAAAGACCATCACTGCAACAATAGAGTGTCTCAAGGCCGGATGTCTTCCCGGAGATAATATTCCGGTGAAGATCTCTATTCAGCATGCCAAAGCCATCAAAAGTGTGAATGGAATAATCGTTACCCTTTACCGACAGGGAAGAATTGATTCAGCACCCCCTCTGTCACTTTTCAAAGACATCAAGGGAAAACAGGCCGAAAGATTAAAACACGAAGAATATTATCCCAAATCCAAGACTGGTCTTGGTGGACTGTCGCTGACATCCGCGGGTTCAAGTAGCATGTTCCGAAAGGATCTGGCTCAGACCTTCGCACCGATTATAGTTGACCCCGTGAGCCTGACCGCTATCGTGAACGCATCAGTCAGAGTACCTGAGGATGCCTTTCCAACTATCTCGTGCGTTCCCGGACAAATGATTACTTTCAAATACATGGTCGAGGTGGTGGTTGATCTTGGTGGGAAAATTGCTGGTCATGTTCCTGCGACTACGAGTGGTACCCGAAACGACGCGAATCCAAATATGGTATCTGCCTTTGGTGTGAGCATTGTTGACACAGACCACATTAGACGAGAGAAAAGTGTGGTGGCCTGTGTTTTTGAAGTTGTGGTTGGCTCGACGGACAGCGCTCGACTTCGGGGTAGAGGCAATAGCACTGTCAAGAGGTCTCACGACTGGGCAGTCGTATCTCCAGAATCACCCCGCTCTAGGAACGAAGCTCTTCAATACTCAAACCACTCCACTAACGCGGACCCACGGAATCCATACCCATACTACGAGAATAGTTACGACGAAGACTACGCCGATTATGACCATCAAGATTACAGCTATGGTCAAGAGTCATATTATCCAAGCGAGCCATCACAACCAGCGCATTCTCAACTTTCCGTACCTCGTCCACAACTGAACGAAGGACTAAGTGAAAAAGAACGTCTCCGCCAGGCCGAGGAGCATCTGCTGCCCAGCCAGCCACCTAACGATTATCACAACGGAGCATCCTCTTCATTACGAGTGCCTTCTGGGCCATCAGCTCCCCCTTCCGCACATCCTCTTGAATCATTAGACGAACACTACGATGTCGAAAGCGAGACTCCTCACGTAGGGCCTAGCGCGCCTCCATTCTCCGCCCCCTCTTCCGACATTTCTGTTCCCCATGGTCCCTCTGCGCCACCCCTCGATAGCCTCGATCCGAATGCGCCATTACCACCCACAGACGACAAACAAGAACTGGAACGGCGTCGACTTCTTAGTGAAGCCAGTGCGCCGGAATTCCTTTCGGACGAAGACGACAATGCTGGCGAAGGAAGCAGTCGAGCAAGAAGACGACCCCGACCCATTCATCACGCACCTTCTGCCCCTGTCCTCTCCGAAGAGGATGGTTATGGAAATCATTATCACGAGAGCCTACCGAAATATGAACGCTGAATTCATATTTTTATAATTTTGGGATTTGCTTATATGCGGGGAGTATTTGGGGGAAGGGGGTTATGATAGATGGAAACTACGATTAATTTATGATGATGTCAAGCGATACGGATAATAATGATTACTTGAAAAGCAAAAAGGTATATAGCTCTGTTGAGATATTTTCTTCTTTTATATAATTTAGCATGAGAAATGATACCCTAGATATATTGATGCTATTTTCCAATTGTATTATTCCCAATTCTTATGATCTTAGTATCAGGGGCAGAGAGATTTCAAGTTGCGAGAAAAAGATCTCCCACATGACTCTAGCACACCAGATTGCAATTTGATATTGTGTCTACGATTACACTACCCTTGTGGTTCGTTAGCGGTCGTTCTAATGCGTACTGCACGATGCGTAGTACCAAGTATAAACAGAGTCAACGTTAGACACAGTCAGGTAAGCTCATATGTAATGAAATCTACACAAAACAATTCCTCTGACTTTGCATCCACAAGCAAACATCACAATCCATTAATCAGCGTGAATTCGTAATATGAATTCGTCAGCCTGACACCACCCTCCTCACCTCATCCATCACTCCCCATCCAAACAGAGAGAAAAAAAACATACAACCATTCCGTCATCGTCATTCGTAGAATTGCGCGTGTGAAGCCACCCGACCCGGACCATCGCCTCCGTATTATACGAAAAGTCTAACTCCACCTCGCCTCCTGGGGCCACAAAGCTTGAGTCGCATCGCTCTTCTTGACCCTTTTTGGCAGTGTTTNTTTTTTTTTTTTTTTTTGGCGCACTCGGAATCGGGAGTGGCCGGCGAGTAAGTTTTGGTATTTCTCTTGTTCTGTTCTGGGGATCCGCCATTGCGCTTTTAAGGTTGGGACTTGGAGGAGGCTTTTTTAGGTTGGTGGGAGGGAACTTTATGGGTTTTTTGGGGTTTGGGAGGGGGAGGGAGTTTAGGTTACGGGGACTAGTGTAGGGTGCTGAAGGTTGGTTGGTTTGAAGTAGGGGTTTTTTTGTGAAGTTGGAAGTTGGAAGTTGGAAGTTGGATGGGGGAGTTCGGATGCTTGTTTCTGGTTTTGAGCCTTAGAGGGAGGTGAGGGCCGAACCAGGCCTGGCATGATGGATGGAATTGTAGGTTTTCTAGGGTAGCTTCTGTAAGAGACAGGGTAAGTAGAAGTACACATCCCCGGAAAAGCTACAAGTGTTAAGCTTGGGACGAAGTGCTGTAGGTGGTTGAGAGTTTGAACGGAGCCATGGACATGGACATGTCACGCGCACATAGATGGCTATAAGCTATACCGAGTAAGGAGGTAGGTAACAAGCAGGAGTGAAAAGATAAGGGGGGTGTATGAAGGTCTTCTTGAATGGAAATACCGGTATCAACGCGGATTTGACGGGTTGTTTGGGNGGGGGGGAGCGTGGTGTGAGAGTTGTGGGCAGATGTTGTAGTGGGCGTTTTTGGTGGATGCGGTAAGTAGAAGGGATCCAGCGCTGTTTATGCATGTGGGGCGGGAGCCGATGTCGCTACAGTCTGGTGGAGCCTTTTGGGAAAGGCTCCTGCCCCCCTTGAACCCCCTCCCCACCTTTTTCTTTTCTCGGGTGACGATTTACGAGGAAAGGTTAAATGGATAGTGTGTGTGGATAGGGATTTTAGCTCCCGTGTTTCTTGGGTTAGGCAACCGGGAAAGGGCTGTGAGTTGTCTTAGAGTCTATTTATTTACATAAGGATTGTGATGTTGTTGTTGTGGTTGTGGTTGTTTGTGGGGCTTTTGTGTTTTTTATGTAGAGGGGTGGGAGGTAAATGTATGCTTACTTAGTGTTCTTTTGATTAGAACCTTCTCTTTGATATGGGGGTTATTGGGGTATGTAGGTTTGTAGAGATTGCTTGAATGTGGTTTACTTCTACTTTCTTTCAATAGGAATGTTGGGATTACATTACTAAAGAAACTTGGTTAGTTAACTTAACTAGAGAGGATGTTGGCTGAGAAAGCTTTAAAGTTCTACGCTATACGAAGTAATTATGTAATTCTTAGTAGTATCGCAAGCCTCCTTGTCAGAACTTTCATTAAGAGTTATTCTCCCACAAGGACCACAACCTCAAAATCAAAGGTTATTTTTTGTGTGTCGGGCCACCAAAAAAACAACCTTTTATTTAGGGAGGAGCCGAGTCAGTAGACTAGTTACTTATACTTCTAATGACTCACGCAAGGTCTCTATTCACAGGAAGCCTGACTAAGTCTCACATAGGGATGATACAATTATGTATAATGGGACCTCATTATGATATTACGTTATATAACGGAAAAAGTTCATTATTACATATTATTTATAACAGGGGTGGCTCGGACGCTACTAGCCCTACTCCGGGGTATTTCCAGCTAATAGAGGTCTAAGTTTTCAAACGAATTTTGCATCGCTCTAAAAATGTGTAACGAATACTCAAACTGGCTAACTAAACTTGGCTGGGTGTTCGCTGGTTGGTATGCTATGATAAGAAGAAGACTATCGGGTTGTTCACTTGGAAGTGAACTCGTTACTTGTATCAAAGATGTCAAACTAATATGATAAGATTGATAACTAAGTTGAGCACGAAGCTCCTATCTAATGGCAGACGTGCCAGTCTTATATAGAACCTTCATACTCCAGATGTCGACTATGTCGACAGTCGAGAGGTCGACCTGCATATGTCACGTGACTATAACCAATGGAAATCCTTGGATCGCTTAGCCACCCTAAGCGATCCTTACTTTGCTATAAGAAGCCTGGATATGCCTGTCGAGGGTTGCGCCTCCTATTATGACAAGCATCACGTGAACACGTGATTCGTGACAAAATGCTTCCTAATAAGGTTAGAGTAAGCAAGAATACTTAGTAAGAAGTAGGAAAGAAAAAAAATGCTATTCTAACCCTAGAAATTCTCTCTATCTACCCTATTTCTAGTAAGATTTTTGGCTACTTTTTATCCTAAAAGTGGGGCTAATATAATTCAAAAAGCTCATTATTACATAATTTGAAAAAAGCATATTATTATAGATTATATAATGTAATTTTGACCATCCCTAGTCTCATAAGGTTTAGGCTTATCTTATAAAAGCTTATTTATGCAGTCTTGAGACACTTGTTTACTAGATAAGCGAGGAGATAAGAGAGTCTAACCGGGACATTGTTAATTATGCTAGCATGTTTAATAATTAATGTTAGATATAGATAGCACTGAATTAGTAGCATAATTTCAGTCATGGTAAAGGGATACTCTGGGATAGTATCAAGTTCTATAATTGAACAATATTCGTTTGTATGGATAAGATTTGAGGTAAATGGACTTCAAGTATGATTGGAACATGGCATAGTTCCGGAAATGTCCTGATAGATTTAGTAAACAATATTCTTCTTTTCTTGTTAGTATTTGTTACTATTGTTGCCCTTTACTCGTTATCATGCGAGTAGCTATCATGGATTAAAGACTTGTCAAGCTTGCACACGTTTTATTGTTGTTTTTCAAAATATGTGGGTTTGGTAGCTTTGGTATGTTAAGCGAGACTACCTGGTTAACTTTTTGGAGCGAATAATCCCTTCAGCCATCAGAACACTGCCGCCTTGAACATCCGAACTTCAAGAAAGGATTCGAGAGTTCTAGAGGGCTTAGAAAACGGTGCTTCAATGTCGAATCATCTAGCATTGTCTGACATTTTGATTTCCAATGCCCAATTTTCCCGCTTTCAAGCTCTTCACCTTGAAATATCAAAACTAGCACTGCATGTCCCCTGATAGACTTTGTTTTGAAATGCGTGTAATATTACGGGGCCATATTTGTGTCAATAAAATTCAAAGTATCACCATATTTGGGATATTGACAGGAGAAGCTCGGTAAGGTCTCTCTTGAGATAAAATGTCTGGTTTCCTAAAATGAACAATTATGTTACGGCGCTGATGAGTTCTCAAAGCCCTTAAACTCCTGTTGATATTTCATTCGACTGAAAATTACTCGGACGCACTTTTACTGCTGGCTATACACGAAGTATCATGATTGGGAAGAATCGTAAAGCTCTCAATCGCTTACTCGTACTCCGCTAATATTCCTACCAGCCACTTTAAATTCTTCTCGTCACACAGTGATAAAAGCCGCAACATCCACTCTCCACCCCTTTATAATGCATTCCCATCTGAATACTCAGTCCTTACCGCTCCTTTTACCGTGGAAAACATTGAAGTGTCTACTTGAAGAACGAGTGATGACCATGCACGAGTAGCAGTAGCAGTAACCTTGATGGGTGTTTTGAGAAGTCGACGCTTCTGGGCTCAGAGACCAGGACTTAGAAGCAACTGTACAGAAACCCAGAGTCGAATTTCTCTGTCTGGGGAGGGAAAGGAAGGGAAGCGACTCCTTTCTTTCTATAGTCCATGGAATAGCCTTCCTCCACAAGCCATCATTCAAAACCCCAGTCATCCATTGACTTGATTTCACAGTGAGTTTAATTACAATATGAATCTCTTTTGAGCCCAAGTCTTCGAGAACCTAGCGGCATAGCTAAAAAGGAGGATGGTCATGAAAAAAGAATTCATCACACCTCTTGATTAGCAGAATGGGACATAGTAGAAAACCTTTTAATATTCTGTAATAAAATACTTGTTAAGAGATTTCTGGCTTCAATAGCCAATAAGGATGCCCAATCCAAGGATTGATATCTAGGCTGCTATTACCAGTGATAAGATCACTTCGTTGAAGAAAGGCCATTCAACAGGCGTTTCTTAAACTTCCGCTACATAATGATCGCGATCAGTGTAAGGGTGCGATAGCGACAAGGTCAACTGTATGCGCAAGAACTAAATTGTCTACAAAGAGTGGAAGTGATCGTAAGATCTGAGGCTATTTACAGTTCCAAGGGCACGGGCCACATCGCTTCCTCCACGTCTGTACCCTCACAATCAGCGCCATTTTACGTTTCTCTCTTGAACATTTCTACTGCAGTCCAGCTTTTTGCTTTCCTAGTCATTTTTATGTCTTTCCGTAAGTAGTCAGCCATCCTACTACGTGGAACTTTTTCCGCTAAACTAGATGAAAACTTGGTTCATATTGTTACTGTAGTCTTTGAATCATCCTCTGCTGTCAGGTTGTAGGTGAGGGGTTTTCTGGCTCTTGTTTTTATTAAGAATCGTTAGGGTTGTGGAGACACGAAAAAATCAACTTCCCCTTGCTGTTTGGTGAAAATGCAGTTTTAATACACAAGCAGAAGAGGATATAATCCGAATAGAAAGGATATAGTAAAAGCTTTATATATTAAGAGTCAGACAACTGGGGTGGAAGGGGAAAGAGAGGAAAAGAGGAGGAAAGGGACTGATAAATATATGGTGTTTTGTTGGTTTTTAAGGTAGATCACATGGTAGTATGTTTAAATCAGCCTATCCAGCTGATTCAGATGTTATTGAAGAATGTCCTTTATAAGCCGGACTATACTTGTAGCAGATGACAAGATCAGCAACCCACAAGTCTCTGAGCCATTTCACTCTAGCGTTGTTTCTCTGGTAAAAACACCCTGTACTCAATCCGAACCGCCACATATTCAAGCTAGTAGATATAAAGAGATGAAAATCAAGAATTCAGGTTTACAACAGAAGAAGAAAAACAATAAGAAAACAAGAATTGGAGGAAGAGTTGTCTTTCAGATATCTAACGATTGTGGGATAGAACCTTATAATTCCCACCAACAAACAATAGTAAAGAAACACAGAATATCAGATCTACATAACACCTTCATACTGCCCCCACAAGCTCCCTATATAATATCTGAACAAAAGTCATCCACTGTCGATCTCACCTCTGAGCTCTGAACTACTGTCAAAAGAATCACAAAGTTCAAATGGACATTGAAGCCTAATAAGACCCTAGCAGAATCAATACCTGAATCTGAGTTTATATGAGAGGGGCTACAACTGTAGATACCTGCACTTAAACTGTCTTGATCCTGATCTGTAGGGACGTATTCGCTGACCAGTCTTGGGCTATTCATAGATGCTATTTACAGGTGTAGCGATGAGGGTACTTATATTTATTCTGGTCACTTACTAATAAGTGCTAAGGACTACTTATCTAGTCATCACTTAAAGAATCATAGAGTAGATATTCATTAGAGAGTACGAGTACATCGGAACATAGCAAAACATCTTTTCCAGATAAGTAGAATAGTTCAGAAAACACCATTTTCTGTTTATGCAGCTCTTCAATTACTCTCAATTCGTTGTTTTGCCATTGACGTGTTAGTTGAGTTGCCAAGGCAAGGTCAGTGATTCTTTGAAAGTTCTATTCTAGGAGCCTAAGACCATCCGTATTGTTGGAGGGTTGCTTGTTCTTAAGTCCTCACCTAGATAGAGCCCATAGAAGTGACGCTAGATAGAATAATAGAATGGCTTGTGCTGTGAAGAGGTGTAAGGGTAGTGTAGTGCTTCAGTGTATATTTCGGTGGTGTATCCAGTAAACTTCGTTCCAGTAATGCAACTGAAATATGGTACGAGATATATTTCGATGTGACAGTTTTCTATATTGTGCTTGTATCACCAGCTAAGCTGTTAGCGATACCTCGGCCAGCATCTTGAGGTTTCACGCTCAGGTTCAACGTATAAAGCAGGTTGATCTTAGCGTCGAGGAGAGTCGCTCTCCGCCTCCCACGTCTTTCATATTAGTTGGCAGTTACTGCGATCTGACAAAGCAAGGGAAGTTCTTGAGATTGAAGGGAATGCGCTGGCGAAGGAGACAGGGTGTCCATACCTGGAGGTGTTCAAGTATCGCATTGATGCGGACAAGGTGTTCTTGAATCTCGTGAAAGTGACACTTCAACGGCGAATTGATGAACGAAACCAAGAGAAAGCGATGCCCACGGAGGATTCAGTCCGCCGGGGTAAGCTTGTAAAAAGATGACATTCTAACGTGTCTTCGGTGGAAAAAGGCATGAATCACATGTGAACTACTATCTACTACTCTCGAATTATTCCTGCAACGGCATCTAATTAATTCGAGTGACCAAAAAGCGCAAGATCCTCGCCAATGGCCCAGGGTATTCCAGGTCCTTGTCTCGAACTCCAATCTCGCTAAACGGAACCAAAGCTGCACCACTTTTCCATTCCGTACCAGTGTCCTTCCCAACCGCATCCCACATCTCGGCCCAAGTCTCCGGGTTTTGTCTCATTCAAGAATGCCACTCACTTTCACCCACTTCCTTGGTTGCTTCCCCCGCTGTTCCAGCTTGATATCCGACGATGAGAGAGCCGGGTTTGGTGTATTTGGCCAGTTGTTTTGCGGCTTGGATTTGACCTTTCCATCCCCATTGATGAAGCACATGAGTGACTTGAATTCTATAAACTGTTAGTACGACATGTATATTGATTATACCGCGGGGAAGAGAGTTCTCTCCTTGGACGAATACAAAGGGAATGTGTACTTACATGTCGATTTTTCCTTCCAATGCACTCAACTCTGCATTCGGCTTGAGGAGATCGGTTTCCATGAAATGAGCCTTGAATCTTCCCTCATCAAGGAACAATTCGTAGCCTAGATGCCTAATTCTCAAGATTTACAGATCAGAAAACAATTTTGCGACATCAATCTGAAAGAAAATCTGTATTAGCCTTGAACTCACCAATGACTGACGATGTCCACGCCGTGAAGATGATCGGAAGGCGCACCATCAAAAACTAGCTTCCTAAGATCTTGTCCCAGGAAACATCCAACATCCAGAAACGAAGCCCCATTTTTAAGTCGAGAAAGAATTTCGGGGTAGACTGGAAGTAGGGAAACAGTTGGTTGGAGGAAGTTTCCTAAGCCGGTGCATGGGTATGGTCTGATGGCCCAGGCTTTATCACGCTGGATGTTGGTATCAGCATGTTGGTATAGTGCTATTCTAATCTTTTCGTGACTTACGATTTCATGGACATGGCGTAGGACTTCATCGGCTGGAACTTTTGAGTATTCTTCTAGCAAACGACGAATCTGTTGATTCAATTAGTGTCACGAATCTTATAGAGTGGAATTATATAACTGACCTCCGGTGTGACTCTCCCTTTGAGATCGTCGAGGTACCACGCGAGTTCCTTGCTGGGTATAATGTCTTTCACGGGATCAGAATTCTCCATGATGAGAGTCAAATGAAGTTTGGTCTCCAAAGTTTGTAGTTGAAGAATTTATGTGAGTTGATGTACGAAATTTGTAGGCGGGTTGTTGAAGGTGGGTTGCTTGCTTTATATACATAACTTCCAACGACTCACCTCGCTTATTGGATTTTTCCGCGTCATCATTGGTCATGCTGTACCTGTTGGTTGCAACAGGACTACAACACAACGTCCCCGCGCCGAAAAATTCACTTCGGCCAAATTATTGTAAGGTTCGCTTTAATTCGAGTGCAGAGTTACATCGACTTGCGTTACTACATTCCAAACACTGCAAAGATTATCCAAAATCTGAACCCCACCGGCTCCAAAGCTTACAGTGCTTCATACTTTATGAAAAGAACAGCCCACTTGTTCAAAATCCCCAATACTAACCCTCCTCCCCTGTTACCTATTTCGTAACCTGAACCAAACCAAAGGCTATACCCATCGTTCCTCCAAACAGTGTCTCTACGTTCACTGATAAAACTTAAACTCATTCAGTACCTGTCAATAACCGTGGAACACTTCCTGTACGGGTCTTCTTCAAAGTTTGAAGTTCGGTATTGTCTTCCTTCAAATCAAAGCAGTATCATCGTAACCTTCTCGCTTAATACTTCGTTCCCTAGAGCCAAGCGACAGCGCGGATCGGATGCTGCCGATGATACTTTCTGGGGAATGACCGTGTGGAAGTGGCCGAAGATTGGGGAGACATCCACCAATGATTGCAACCCCAGTTTCGACTAAACTCCAAACGACATTACTCGTGTTGGCAGCTTGAACTCTGTCAAAAGAGAGCGTGGGAATAAGGGACGTTGTTACTAACAAAGAAGGTCGCGGGCACCAAGCCTTGTTCCTTAGGAGTTGGCTTCTTGTTCCACCAAAGTTCAAAGATACTCACCGAGTTCGAATACATATCGAAGTGATTACAAGTCTCACCACACCGGCCGCAGTTGATCTAGCACAATTAGCATCGGTGATAAAAAGACCTTCTTAAAATTGAATGAAAACTTCTTACAGAAGCCCCAGGGCAAAAACAGCGAAGAGGCCGAGTTTTGGGGTTTGGTGATTTGAAGCCTCTAAATCATTGGAATTGGTAGGGCCAAGATAATGATATCTGTGAGCACGTCGGTTACGTAGAAGGAAACCACCTTGTCGTAATATTTAGCTATTTCTTTCCCGCTCGTCCACTAGGCCGAGAAATGGGTACCGCATTGAGTCAAGCCTGCAATCCCAAATGAGATCGATTAAAGTACGATTATCGCAGCTACAATCAGTGATACAATGTCAAACCTTTTCTCGATTTGAAATGACCGCCGGGATAAGAGCACCACACTCAATTTAATCATCCCGAGGGTGAAAGCTTGAACAACGTTTATCCAGAGAATATACTAGGATTTTACGTTCATTCGTCAGTCGGTACACGTCACATCAAATAAGGCTTATTATTGGTTTTACTTTAGTATTTGCTAGCTAGCTTTAAGTGCTTATAATTCGCCCACATAGCATAGTGAAAAGCGAAGTATCAAGTACCCTCGGCCGTATTGAGCAGCGCGAAAGGAAGTAGCCACAAAACAAGGGGGAAAACCAAGAATAAGACGAAAAAGGAGACAAAAGGAAACAAGGAAGGACTATCCTTATAAAACTCTCTAATCCAGTAGGCATATCCACCGCCTGCCTGCCCTGCAACCATATTTCTATCCCTCTCACATTTGTGTAACAAGTATGGGAAAACCTATTTTTAGGCCAAAACCACACCTAGAGAGCCCTCCTTGCCTGACGAATCCAGTCTATCCATCTCCTTGCCTAGACATTCCGATCCACATCTACTATGCCGACGCCATTTTGAGTGTGTCGGTAGTTGAGGATCGAGCTCAAAAGGAGTGAATCGAGCGCGTTTGTTCTAGTACTACTACTATCCTTACACCTTTATATCGTACTTGTTAGATTGTAGGATTGTAGGATTCATATCGAGGACCAAGTAAAGAACACACAAACAAAAGAGCTCACAATAAAAGATAGCTCACAATAAAAGATAGCTCACAATAAAAGAGAGCTCACAAAAGTGTAGCTGACGATAGTGGATATTGTTGTGATAGTGTTGAAGGTATGTGGCAGTAGTGGGGTGGGATATATATCCTACCATGGCTTACTAAGCCTTCATCCTCATTCACTATAAATCCTACCATTTAATATAGTACTATTATAATATAAACGTCCTTTTTACTATACTATACGCGTTACCCTTTTTTCCTATTAATCTCTAGTAGCCGCGAATCTCGCCCGCGACCATCGTAGTCTACCTACTCTTTTACTAGCGCTATAGTAGTGTTTTCTTTCTTTTCTTTACTAACTAGGAGTAGAATTATCGCGGGGCGCGATGGTTATTTTTCTGTGAGGACTTATTACGTGTTATACGTAACCCTTGTTCATGTCTATAAACCATTCGCAAGAGACCTAAGAAATACATGCTTTATAACCTATACAAATAACAGCCTTCTGGGTAAACCCACTCCGTGACACCCCTAACCGAACGAACACCATTCGTTTACCTACTTACCTCCGCCTCTCAAACTTTCATCGAATCGACCCTAGAAATTCAGATTAGAGCAGATAGTAAACCCCCTAGTACAGAGAAATGATTTCCTGCTATGTTATTAAATCCATCCTCTTTGAGTGTAGTCGTACGCCAGGGCGATAATCCCTGGACCCGATCGTTAATCATTCTTGGTCTTTTGAATGAAGGGAAGGTAGGGTTTATATGGTATCTCATCTAATGCAAGCTATTGCCTCACATATACTTACTCGACGTTTTTAGATTCTTATACGGAGAGATACCGTTCAGTTCAGTGATATCGAACGGAGCATTCGGGTCAAACTCTGGAATGACTTCCATGAAGAGGTCCGTAAAAGTAGAAAATGTGTTGGTCTTTTCTCTCGTCGCAGTCGGCATACCAGGATACCATTTTACGAGTACACCAGGCTTCTTGGCTGCCTTGCGAAGATTGACCCCGCACAAAGAAGGGTGTGACATCAGTACGAATACTTCGCTTTGGTTCAACCCCAACCCCTCTCTTTGGAGCGATCACCAGATAACTGGGAATATTGTAACTGCCATGAACCTGGGATGGGGGGGTACTTAGGTTCTCTAGCTCATTACCTGTAGAGCTTGGGATCACTCTAATGCATTGCAGTACTTCCTGTACCATTGTGCTCGAGTATCGCGGATAGGACGAAAAGTGTAAATTGACAGTCGTTTTCCACCCCACCGTCTGAAATGCGGGATTGATTAATGAGAAGGAGGAAGAGTAATTGAAGGATGGAGATCCGAGAAACTGCAGAGTGGTATACATTGAGACCCAAAGGCGCGTTAATTCAATCTTTTTCTCCACAGTCAGGTATCATTGCGTCCTTCATACATTGCGTGGGGTCGGAGAGGATACAAGTCACCCCACCGAGTGCGGAGAGAAATCTGCTGACCGAGGGGATGACGCGCTTGAGAGGTACAAGTGTACGAGTACTTTTTGAAACATCTGAACTTAGGGACAAGTCGTGGATGGATGATGACTTCTTGTCATGATGGAGTCGTGATATAAATACGACTACCCCGCCTCGCACCTTAAAGGGTGGGATTGTAACTGCGGCTATTGAAGTTAACCATTATTGTGGCCGTACAGAGGGACTGACCCATATTTAACATAAGCATACGTATATATTCCGTAGATGCAATGCAGAATGCAGATGGGTGCCGAGAATAGATGATATCTACCACACCACACCCTCCCAATCCTTTCAGATACTGTTGCAGCCCGAGGGTTCGGACAAAGGTGGCGATAAATATCAATCCTTGCGGCGAAGCGAGCGACAGTGACCAATGAGAAGTGGTAGATGTATGGAATTCTTATGCGGAGTGACTTGTTGGAGTTGATTTGTTGATGCGATTTCTTCGCCGAAAAGTGGAAGTTGCGGTGTGTAAATGGGGGCGGTGGTTGGGAGGAATGGGAATGAGTATTGATATGGTAATTGATGACGGTCTTTCTCGGTAGACTGGAGATGGATACTTATAATTCTGATGGGGAGGAGGCAGTTCTTGAGGGTCCCGCGAAGGGTAGTTGGTCACGATATCGGATGCGGGTAGCAGCATGAGTGTGAGTGGTGGTGGTGGTGGTGGTGATGTGAGGGAGTACGTAGTGTTCGTGCATATGCACGCAGTGGCCATGAACTAGCGACATGCTAGAAGGAAAACGGTAGACCCTAGAAGGCCTGTACCGTAAGTGGTGCTGGTGCCCTACAGACATGGAGTTAGCCACTGCTTGCGCAGTTAGCCACTGCAATGCAGAAGTACCCGGTGTCCTGCTTTGGTGTGGCTGCTCCCAAGATTTCTGTTCGTCTGACCACGATACTTTGTATATTCTGTGGTTGATCTGGAAACAGAAGACCATCCGGGCACTTCAAGCGGGTCCAGAGTAGACATCCGACCCCGTGAAGATACAGTGGATCTGCTATATCTTTATGGCGTAAGAAATCCCTGGGAAGGAAGGAGCCAGTAATCCGTAGGTAGGTAGCAGCAACCTAGGGTAGGTACCTAGGTAGAGAGTCTGTAACTCGTCCTCGTGGTGTGTTCTCGAGTAGGTACCTGTAATTCTGAAATCTGGAGAGTTTTCGGGTATTTGTGGCAGGTCCAACTGGGGATAGCTTTTTCTGCTTCTGCCCCCACTCACTTCTCACTCGGCCAGCCACATGTTTTTCCGCGGCTATGAACGAAAGCAAGAATGCGCCATGCCACTACTACAACTGCCACTGCCAGTGCCACCTATGTCTATGCCTCTCTAGAGTACTCGTCCCTAGTCACTGGACTGGTTACTACTACTGGCCGCTACGGGTCGCACCTCCACGCCAATGTTTTGACGTCGCGCAAACATTGAACATTGCACGACGCCACCATCTTTTTTCTTCTTCGTTTGTGCGTGTATCGTGTATCGGCGACGGCACGGACGTTGATAAGGACTGGCCGTCCTGTAGCTGTCTCCCTTGCGCCTCGCAACGCCGGAGACTGGAAGGGCGAAGGGTCAAAGGGCCTTGTGAGAAGGCTGGGGATACGAAAAAGATACCTAGAGTACCCCCCCTCCCCAGATTCATACCCACATACTCGAGCAGAGTACACGCCCACAACACCCCACCCTACCGAGACTTGGATGCCAAATTACATTACACAGACACAATCAAATTCTCACTACCGGCACATCAAGGCCAATTCCGGCCATCGAAGCTACTGTCTCGAACACAGGACCTGCACCGTAGTCTGTAGCTACAGGGTGCCCGCGTAGCCATTCCCATTGCACCAATCCCCATGGTCGAAGCCAGCAACAAACGATAATATTACCTACTGTTGCCCCAACGATTCCTTGCTCGCGAACGACGTCTGCTGCGAAGAGAGATTTCCTGTGTGACCACTTCAACAGATACAACTTCCTACGACATTCCAATCCCCACTCCATAGCAGAAACAGAGCTTCCTGAATCGAGTCGCAAGGAGAACCCATCCGTGATTCGCCACGGCTCTCGCATTCCAGAGCAATCCAGCCTGCTTTAGCTCCCTCTTTTTTCCTTATCCTACAAGAATTCGCCCATACCCCGACCAGCAAGCCTTCTCGTTCCCGGGTAGAGACTAGCCTCGATGAGTCTGACGGGAATCTGCAAATACACCAGCTCGAGAACCCAGAATGGCAGCCGTCGAGGTCTTACAGTATGGCGGCCATCACCCAAGGAGCGATTATGGATTGCAGGCGACCCAGCATTGGACGATTGGGTGGGATGAGGAGGATACACGCATGAGATTGAGAGGTTTGGCTCAAACCTGGGTCGCATTGCAGAGCCGTAAGGCAAGAGATGTGAAATCAACAAAACTGGTACGAGACCACTGCGAACTTCCTCAAGAGATATGATATTTTGGTTGAGTTGTGAACGGGCGAGGCGAGGCATGGCTGCAGTGCAGTAGCGCTGATGCCCGCTGCGGTTCAGCGGTGTGGACCTTAAAACAACTCAGATAGCTAACGAACATCAGAATACTATATTTCCCCATTCGGAAAATACGTGGCGCTGCGGACTGGACCGAGATCCTCTCCAGATACCACTCCGAGGATCAAGATGCCCTCCCCAATGCGCCGATATACCGCAAAAAACAGGAGAAGTCATTGACTTTCACGATACGGAGGCCCGCGCCCAGAAGCACCCCTCTAGCTTGACCGACTTTCCCATACCGCCCTCGAGGCTACCCCAGAAACAAGACGAGCACCCCTCCTTGTTTCAAGACCCTGCCATGGCCCCGAAGATAGACTTTAATGCAACCGATGGCTTTGGATTTAAACAGGCTGCAAAGAAGAAGAAGGCCGCGCAGAAGGCTGCTCTTGTCAAAAAGGAAGATCCTCCAGAGGAAGAGAAGAAAGAAGAAGAGAGGAAGGAAGAGGGTGGTGATAAGGCTCCTGGGGACTCCGGTGCTGGCGCCGGGGATGACGGCGGTGACAAGAAGGACGAGGGCAAGGGAGATGGAGGAGATCCACCACCCCCAGATGATCCCGTGGATAGTTTGGCTGCCGCCAAATCCAAGAAGAAAGGTAAGAAGGGTTTGGTCGGCGCCCTCGCAAGTAAATTCGAAGCTTTTGAGGATATCAAATTAGACGCCACACCTATGCTAGACTTGAATTTTGATACAGGAATATCTGGATCCAAATCACCCGTGGGCACGTGGGGCTCAAGCTGGAATACGGGAGGGACCGGAGGAGGCACAACCACTAGGTAAGCGAGGCCGTTGCATTATTGTGGATATTGCCAGCACTCAGTGCAGATCCAGGCCCAAGCTCTAGTGATCAGGGTATCATGCGGCTTTTTGATTCGATCCATCTCATGTCTTCTACTTACACTCTGTCCTCATGTTGATCAACAAGCAATGTTAAGTAAGCTAATATCTCTTAGTGCATGGGATTTCTCAGCCACCGACACGAAGACCAAGGAAGAAGGTAATACTCCGTGGAGCCTCGATCGTGGAAAGCCAAAGAAAAAAACTACTGGATTCTCTTTTGGGGCTCTTGACGACGAAGAGACCAAAGCTGATTCAGACCTGCCAGATAAATCCAAGGAAGAGACATTTGATTTCGGTTTCGGATCGAAAAAGGACAAGAAGAAAAAGAAGGGGGGTTTATTGGATTTTGAGGAAACCAAAGAGGAGCCCATTACAGTAGTCGAAGAGAAACCAGCCGAGGACGATTGGGGTGGAGCATGGGGGGCGGCTCCCAAAGTCAAGGGTAAGAAGGGCAAGAAAGGCGCCGAACCTGATCCACCCAAGGAGGAGCTAAAGGTAGAAGAACCCCCAGTTGATGACGGTTGGGGATCGTTTGGCTCCACTGCCAAAAAGGACAAGAAAGGAAAGAAAGGTAAGACTGCATTCGAGATTGATGAACCAGCCAAGATTGAGGAAGTTGTTGTGCTAGAACCATCACCCGAACCCGAACCTCCAGCCGATGATGGATGGGGTTCATTTGGAACGACCGTCAAAAAAGACAAAAAGGGCAAGAAAGGCAAGACTTCTTTCGAAATTGACGACCCACCTGTAGTTGACGAGAAACCAGACCTAGAACCTGAACCCGAGCCAGTCATGGAAGCACCGGTGGATGATGGATGGGGATCTTTTGGTACTGCCTCAAGCAAGAAAGACAAGAAAAAAAAGGGCAAGACTGCTTTGAGCGGTTGGGACGATCCAATTGTTGAAGAGCCCGCCAAGGAGCCTGAGCCTGAGCCACCAGCTGATGAGGGTTGGGGCTCTCTTTTATCTTTGACTAAGAACAAGAAGGGCAAAAAATCAAAACTTGATGACCCTCCCCCACCAGCACCAACGCCTCCTTCTATGGATCTGACAGAACCCGAAGCCGACCCATGGGGTGATTTTGGCGATGAGGATCAGAAAAAGAAAGAGGAAGAGGAAGCTGCCGCCAAAAAACTCGAGGAGGAGGCGGCGGCAGAAGCTGCGGCCGCTAGGGCC